TGAGGGGCATGCAGGAGGCGGCCAGTCGATGTTCTCTCCCATCCATGTTTCTATCTCTCTCCCTTTCCCTTCCTCTCTCTCTAAAATCAATAAAGAAAAAAAACTTCAAATATTGAATATGTACCACCTTTCAGAAACTGTTCTCGGTTTCATGGTAGTTATCAAACCTCAGGGCCCTACCTTTGTGGAGCCTACAGCTTTGAGGGATTGACAAACTCATAAAAGTAATAATAATAATTATGACTTGTATAAATGCAATGATGCAAATAAATAGGATTTTTTTAATCCTCACCCAAGGAGACTTTTGCATTTATCTTCAGATAGAGGGGGAGGAGAAGAGGGGGGAAGAGAAAGAGAGAAACATCGATGTGAGAGAGACACATGGACTGGTTGCCACCCACACAACCCCAACCTGGGCCAGGGGCAAACCACAACCGAGGTATCAGAGTCAGGTGTCTCTGGTCCGTGGGCTGACACTCCAAACCAGCCAGGGTGAAAGGAATTTTGTGATAAATAATGAAGGCATACTTCAGTCGGGGGGAAGGCAGTGGGGGAGCTGCTGTCCAGAACCATCTGAAATACCATCATGCTGCTGAGCTGTCTTGTTAAGGAGATTGTTAGCAGTGTTTAGTCAGCACCTCACTGGTGTTGCATTCACTTAGTTACTTCTTAGGCAAGCTCATGTACCAGTTATTTGAACTGCAGTTCTTGTACTGAGCAGAATATTATGAAGATAAACTGTCATCATTGGAGTAAAACCAGCCTATCTCATGAAGGTCTAAACCCAGCGCTATTACTGTATGAACAGTCCAATGATAGATTAATTCTTTTACGTGGTATCTTTTTTGATACTTTCTACTTAACACTAAAAAGTTCAGAAGAATTGAGAGACCCCACTTTCAGGGTCTGTATTCCTACTGAAAAATCTAGATAAAGTGAATGTTTTTCTATGTGCTTCACTGCCGTTTTCTCTCTACTTAGCTTGACTTAGAGTACCTGTTATGCTGTGACAGGTGTACTGGACCCAGCCTTGCCTGCCCAAGGTATAGAGGGGAGGGGATAGGGAGGTGAGTGGCACTGGGTCCTCCCACTTCACTTTGGCTGACTAGGGTAATGCTCCACAGGGTTGTCTTTGTTGCTGGTTCTCTCAGAGTCAATGCCCCTTAGCTGTTGTGGCTTTACGAGAATAGTGAGAATCTCTTGTTACATGTGTGTCTCACATTAGATGATGAGGCATTTGTCTATCTTAAGAGAATCATACAGTTTGTCATTTACGTGTCTTCACTGAATTTCTTCAGCTGACGTTGAAAGCACTGTGCAGAAATCACATCACAGCAGCACTCACTGTTGGTCCTTGTTAAAGTCAGGTTCCTCTGAGCCATCTCATCTGAAGAAACACATTTCAAACTGTAGTGGAAGCTATGGAAGGGATTTAAAATTTTAAGCAGAGGGATAATGTGATTTGTCTTATGTTTTAAAATGATACCCCTATGGCAGATGAATTAGATGGGAGGAAAAGTATGCAGAGGAAAACAGGAAGGAATTAGGTTTTTCAGTAGTCCCAGAGAGAGCTCGTATAGCAGGCTTGGACTTCATTAGTAGCAATACAGATATAGAAAAATGGATGGATTGACATAGCATAGAAGGAAGAACTGACAGCTAATGTTGATGATAATTTACACATACATTTAGCAATCAGGAGAGAGGAGGAGAGCCAAAGATATATTTGAGAGTCAACAGGTGAGCTGTCCTGAGAGGGAAGAGGACATAGGACGAATTCCTGGGGAAATTAGTGTGAGGAAGAGTCCATGAAGGAGTTGGAGAAGGAATAGCCACCTAAGGAGAAAGTCAAACAAAAGAAAGCAGGATGTCTTTGAAGTCATTTATGAAAGGAGTATTTCAAGAAGATGGGTGTGATTTCAGAGTATTTTTTTCAGGTTTTATAAGAAGGAAAAATTAAAACATATAAACAATTTAAACAATTAATTAAATTATTGTAGTCCATCTGCTGTCTCATCTGCCCTAGACTGCCCTAGTTAGCCACTTTATTCTGGTTTCTGATCAAGTAATTTCCTTAAAGAGACCTCTTCTGACAGACAGCCCTGCCTCTGTCTTATTTTATAGAATTTATAATGCCATTGTTTGTGCCCCACCACCATTACCAGCTAAGAAAGAAACATTTCCAACTAAACACGCCGCGTTAGGATGTCTGTGAGACCACTGCTGACTTTAGCTTTGTTAAAGTGTGACGCGCTGCAAATGATTGATGGAATGTTGTGAAATAGTGCTCTGTCCCGCTCCCATGCTATTTGCTTGTCATTTCTAAAATGCAGGCTTTTTGAAGGCAGAGACTTTAGGTTTATTGCTGATTCCCCAGTGCCTGGAAAAGTGCCTGGTGAATAGTAGGGACAGTGAACAAATCCTGAATATGTATTTTTTACAAATAAAATTGTTACCGGTGAGACGACGAGACCTTGGTTCTTGTCTTCTAGAAGGAAAGATTTCAGTTGAGAGACAGAGTGCAGAGACATGAGCAAGAATTAATTGGCTACAGCGAAAACACACTTAGGACAGTAAAACAAGGAAAGGCATAGGAGAAGCAACAGGAGAGCATACATAGACTGGCTGCTTTGGTTCACTATGAAGTCAGAGAAAAGGGGGCCTTAGAGACATTTTCAGGGGTGAGCCCAGGTTGAGCTGCTGCTGCCTACTGCTCCCCTGGTTGCAAGTCTCCTGGGGCCCCTTGGAGTTTAGGAGATAACCTGCCTAAAGGAATGGAGGAAGGTAATGGCAAGGGTGGGCTCCCCAGAAGGAGAACTGCAGGCTGGGTCCTTTGTGTTGAGGGTATTTATCTCTTGCAGACAGGAATCTTAGGGGAGTTTTCAGGGGAGGGTCTCAGTAGAATATTCATCAGCTTTCCAGGTGTGCTCTTTCAGGGTCCTGGTGTCTGCTGATTGGTTGGAGCCTAATACCTATTGTCCTAAGGCAGCCTTGGTATCATGTGTCTGGTTTTGCTGCTTTTCTGGGCCTGGAGATGAAATACAACTGAGGCCTAGATGGTTTCCTTAGGGATAAAAAGGTCAAGGGGTCTAAACTGCATGACCAGTGATACGAAAATTCAGGTGGTTCAAACCCCATGACTAGCGATATGTTAGGGAAGGAATGGTTAGCCTAGGGGTGGTGAGGTCCTTGTTTTCTCACTTTTGCCCCTTGCTAGGTACCCTGGGCTTTCCACCCTGGTGACTTTCTGTACTTGGCCCATCATCCTTGCTCTGCTCATAGCTGACTGCCTATTACAAAATGAATAAATAAAAATATGCTGATTTGGCCCTGGCCAGTTTGGCTCAGCGGTTAGAGCATCGGCCCGCGGTCCAGAGAGACCTGGGTTCGGTGTCCGCTAAGGCCGCGTACCTCGGTTGCAGTTTGTCCCCGGCCCTGGTTGGTTGTGCGGGTGGCAGCCACTCGATGTGTCCCTTTCACATCAATGTTTTTCTCTCTTTCTCTCTCTTTCTCCCACTCTATCTGAACAAAAAATGGAAAAATGTCCTCGGGTGAGGATAAAAAATAAATATGCTGGTTTGTAGACTACTGTTTTTTATTTAGCATCTTGATTTTTTTCCTGTGTCCTTGTGCAGTTTTATTTATCTTTTTAAATATGTTTTTATTGATTTTTTTTTTTTTTTTGAGAGAGAGAGAAGGGAGAGAGAGAAAGATTGATGTGAGAGAGATCAATCAGCTACCTCCTGCACTCCCCCCACTGGGAATCAAGCCTGAAACCCAGGCATGTGACCTGACTGGGAATTGAACTGGGACCTCTCAGTCCATGGGACATGCTCAGTCCTCCGAGTCACACTGGCTTTGCTCTTTGTGCAGTTTTAAAAAAGAAGATGTTTGATGGCTGTATACTCTTATCACATGTATATAACTTTATCTACTGTGTCCAAGCATTCTGGACTTTGGAGCTTATGGACGGATATAAAACAGCCAGGGTGTGGACTTGACTTACTGCCAGAAAAAGTCAATTTTTATTTCTGCCTTTTTAATTCCTTAAGTATAAAATACTAATCTGTACAGAGAATAGTGCCTGGGTCAGGTAATCCCCAGTGCCTTAATAGGTCTGAAGTAGCTGCTTATTCTTTCCTGTAAAGGCTTTCACATGGCAGAAGAGGCGTTCCTGGTATACTCCCCTCCACCCCAGAGTCTCTGTTCACTTATGTGTAAGGTGAGAGAGAGGCACCACATGTTTTCTATGGTTGCTGACATGAAAACTTTTTTTTTTTAATCCTCACCTGAGGATCTGCTTACTGGGAGTGGGGGTGGGGGGGAGGGAACATTGATGTGAGAGGGAAACATCAATCAGTTGCCTCCTGCATGTGACCCAACTGGAAATGAAACCTGTAGCCCAGGTATGTGCCCTGACCAGAAGTCGAACCCACAACCTTTCTGTATACAGGACAGCACTCCAACCAATTGAGCTACATTGGCCAGGGCACTGACATAATTTCTGATGTTGTCTTATGTTGCTGTACTTAAATTTGTTTTCTTGTATGATGAGAATTATGTGGAATCAACGGCTTTTAGAATACACATGCATTTCTACAAGCAATTTCTTTTATCTTTTTTATGTTGTTGTTAGTCCCCACCTGAGGATATTTTTCCCATTGATTGTTCCAGAGTTTAGGAGGAAGAGAGAGACAGACAGACAGAGACATTGATGTGAGAGAGACACATCAATTGGTTGCCTACCACACGTACCCCAACTGGGGCCAGGGATTGAGCCTGCAACCCAGGTACATGCCCTTGACTAGGAATCAAACCTGTGACCCTTTGGTGCACTGTCTGATGCTTTAACCACTAAGCCACACAAGCAAGGGCATCTTTTACCATTTAAGTGAACAAAATAAAATAATATTAATCTCGTTGGGACAGATTTTTAGTTCTTGTGAAAATTGTTCAGAAGTTAAAATATGAAAAATAAAAAACTTTTAATATTTTTTCAGAAGTCAATGAAGGGATTCTATTTTGCGAAGCTGTACTATGAAGCTAAAGAATATGAACTTGCTAAAAAGTAAGTACCAAACTGAACATGCTTTGGTTTTTTAAATCAATGCCTTTACCTTATCTCATGTCCGTCCTTGAAGTGGGTAAAAAAAATTTGTGTTTTTAAAATGTTTTAAGCAGCCCTGGCCGGTTTGGCTCAGCGGTTAGAGCGTCCGCCTGCGGTCCGGAGAGACCCGGGTTCGGTTTCCGCTAAGGGCGCGTACCTCGGTTGCAGTTTGTCCCCGGCCCTGGTCGGTCGTGCGGGTGGCAGCCACTCGATGTGTCCCTTTCACGTCGATGTTTCTCTCTCTCTTTCTCTCTCTCTTCCTCTCTCTCCCTCCCACTCTATCTGTACAAAAATGGAAAAATGTCCTCGGGTGAGGATAAAAAATAAATAAATAAAATGTTTTAAGCAGTTCTTTATAAATATGTCCTAGAAATAAGGGATTCATCACTAAGACTGATGTTAAGGACTACCCTAGATTCCATGGAGATTGAGCCTTAGACTGAGTGATTTCTGCATGCCTGCCTAAGGCAAGAAGAAATTGTTTAGCTTAAAACATTTTTTCACTTTTTTAAATCCTTACCTGAGGATATTTTTCCATTGATTTTCAGATAGAGTGGGAGGGAGGGAAGGGAGGGGAGGGGAGAGAGGGAGAAAGGGGGGGGGAGAGAGAGAGAGAAAGAGAGAGAGAGCGCGAGCGAGCACACGCCGCGCGAAACATTGATGTGAGAGAGACACATTGATTGGTTGCCTCCAGCATGACCTAGGGACCAAACCATAGCCGAGGTACATGCATGCCCCTGACCAAATCAAACCAGAGACTCTGATCCACAGGCTGATGCTCCAGCTGCTGAGCCAAACTAGCCAGGGCAACACTTCTTCTTGATTGTCCTGGGTTAGAATAAAAGACAACCATGCTTACATCTTAATTTTTTTTCTGGTATATTAATTAGCTGGAAAATAGCAATGAATACAGAGTTAAACTTTGATTTCTGGGCAGGAGAATAGCTTGTATAAAAGATTTTTAATTGACTCAGTAGATGACACTGAGGCTTTGTCTCACCAGTAAGGCCAAGAAAGCTGGTAATCTTATTTGCTGATTTGGAATAGTATCAAGTAAGAAATGAGGAGGGAGGCAGGCTATTAAAGTCATTGATGGGAAGATGGAAATGCTGATAAGGAAAATGAGAGTCCCTTTATTTAATAGTATTGGGATTGTTACCCCTCATTCCTTAATGTGACATTTTTTCCTTCAATGTTGATCTGTGCTTTAATCTCTCTTATGATATCACTCACTGAGCCTAAAAGATGCTTCCTTATTTTTAGTTGTGACTTGATTTAAGAAATGAAAATTGTCTTCGTTTCATACTGTATTTAGTATTTTTTTCTCTGCTCTATTTTAGCTGGGTACAGTGCTGTTAGATATTATTTTCTTGTTTAAAAGGTAAATACATTCTCTTAGTTGTTATTTGGGAAATTGTTGCTGTTCAGTATTTTGAATTATGATGACTTGAAAATATTTACTGCCATCCTTTCTAATTTCTTTTTTTAAATCCTCACCCAAGGATATTTTTCTATTTATCATCAGAGTGGGAGGGAGGGAGGGAGAGAGAGAGAAAGAGAGAGAGAGAGAGAAACATCAGTGTGAGAGAGACACATTGACTGACTGCCTCCTGCATACCCAACCAGGGCTGGGGATGAACCGCAACCAAGGTACATGTCCTTGATTGGAATTGAACCCACGACTCATTGGTCTGTAGGCCGACACTCTAGCCACTGAGCCAGACTGGCCAGGGCATTACTTTTTAATTTCTATGTAAACTCTTCAGTGCTTAATGAAAATGTAATCAGGAAGAAAAAGCAATTTATGTATTCATTTCATATGTGTGCTTAGCACTGGAAAAGAATTTGATAAATGTAGCATTTCGTGCTGAAATTAGTGAGTGTGTTGTCAACTTTGTTTTTCTTTCTTTTTTTTTTCTTTTTTTTATCCTCTTCCGAGGACATTTTTCCATTTTTGTTCAGGTAGAGTGGGAGGGGGAGAGAGGGAGAAACATTGACATGAAAGAGACACTTTGAGCGGCTGCCTCCCGCAGGACCCCAACCGGGGCCGGGGACAAACCGCAACCAAGGTATGTGCCCTTAGTGGGAACTGAACCTGGTTCTCTCTGGACCGTAGGCCGATGCTCTAACTGCTGAGCCAAACCGGCCAGGGCTCAACTTTGTGTGTTTGTGTTTAAGTAGTATTTGTTTCTGTGGGTGTTTTGAGTTATTCACATATTCTAGTTTATGTATTTGTGTATGTATGTATGTATTTATTTATTTTTAATCCTTACCCAAGGATATTTTTCTATTTATCTTCAGATAGAGCGGGAGGGAGAAAGGGGGGGAGAGAGAGAGAGGAGAGAGAGAGAGAGAGAGAGAGAGTGAGCGAGCGCGAGAGATACATCTGACGTGAGAGGGACACATTGACTGGTTGCCTCCTGCAGGAGACCCCAATGAGGGCTGGGGTTGAGCCGCAACCGAGGTATGTGCCCTTGGCCGGCATCGAACCCGCGGGTCAGTGGTCCGTGGGCGACGCTCTACCGCTGAGCCAAACCGGCCAGGGCTGCATATTCTAGTTTAAATAGTGGTAGACAATAATTAGAGTAACGATTTAATTTGTTGAATGGTTGCTTTGGTGTAAGATGTACTCTTCAGTTATTTAAATATAGTTGTAGATGTGATTATTTAAAGATTACTGAGTTTTATATTATTATTTTAAAACAGATACATATCTACATATATTAATGTGCAAGAAAGGGATCCCAAAGCTCACAGGTTTCTCGGTCTTCTTTATGAAGTGGAGGAAAACATAGACAAAGCTGTCGAATGTTACAAGGTAAACTACATAAGATTAAAATTTAGGCTTTACACAGCCAAACACACGATGCCCAAAGTAATTTGTGTAATAAATAATTCAAATGTTTACTATGGATGTCATGAAAACAAGCATCAGTATCACAGTACTATTAAGTCACACAGCTTGGAACTGATTTTAAATTATTTGGCCCCAAGTACACTATAATTTGTAATTAAGAGGTTAGCACTTCTAGAAGATGACTAACACCTATAAATTTAAGTCTAACATGGTCAGAAATGCTGTTTTTATGTACCCTGTGATTTTTTTTCTGTTTTAGTTTTTCTTTCTGGCATTTATCTAATAACATAATTTTTATTAAATTCATCTTCAAAAATATTTCAAGACATTTTAATTTTAACAACTTTGAAATAGTATGTTATTATTTAGGAATAGAGTTTTTCATGTTCATATATGAGTGCAGGTACTTCAGGAATCCTACTAATTTATTATTTATTTTCTGATATCAGCGTTCAGTGGAATTAAACCCAACACAAAAAGATCTTGTGTTGAAGATTGCAGAATTGCTCTGTAAAAATGATGTTACTGATGGAAGAGCAAAATACTGGGTTGAAAGAGCAGCTAAACTTTTCCCCGGAAGTCCTGCAGTTTATAAACTAAAGGTAAAAAATCGAATGAAATATATAATAAAAGCAGTTGGGGGAAACTTAAGACACAACCATTTCTAATATTTGGAGTTAAATGACTTTTCATTAGGAAACTTATTAAACCATTGTGTGTGAGTGGGGAGTTGGTGGAGAATGGATGAAGGGTGGTCAAAAGGTACAAACTTTCAGTTATAAGATTATTAAGCTCTGGGGGATGTAATGTACAGCATGGTAACTATTAACAGTATTGTGCTGTATATTTGAAAGTTGATAAGAGAGTAGATCTTAAAAGTTCGTATCAGAAGAAAAACTAATTTGTAACTGTGAAGGGATGTTGTTAACTAATTGTGGAAATCATTGTGCAGTGTATACGTATATCAAATTATTATGTTGTATATCTTAAACTAATGCAATGTTGTGTCAATTATACCTATAAAAAATGACAAAACCAATATTTTTCTTCAGTACCTTTCTGAGCATACTACTATGGTTTACAAATGGTGTCTCACTTACCCTTATGTAATGATTACTATTTTAGAGATTTTACAGTTATGTAACTTAGATGGTGAGCTAAGAATTAAATTGAGCTTTTTGGTATAAAATGTTTACTTCATTGGGTGAAAATTACTCATAGAATGACAGTTTAGGGCCATTGTGAAGTCTTTAAGGATCTAAAAATGAAAAGGATTGTGTTACGGGTTAGTGAGTGAGGTTTTCAAGCAAAACTTAAAAGACAGTTTCTCCAGGATGTTACAGATAATTACTAAAAATGATAGGAAGTTGTTGCTTATGTATTAACCAATTCTGTTTGCTACTCTTTACTGAATAAAATATAATGGTTTACTAAATAATTCTTTCGGGCAGAGTCTTTCCAAATGTGCTAGGTAAATGGAATCTTAAGTGTATATTGTTTTAACAACCTCCTACCCCCCATTATATGTGTTTCTGATAGATTTTTTAAAAACTTTTTATTTGAAAATAATTATAGATTGTTTATAGAAAGTTGCAAAGATTGTACAGAGAGGTCCTGTGTATACTTCATTCAGCTTTTCCCAGTGATTACATCTTGTAACTAAAGTAAAATATAAAAACCAGGAATTTGGCATTGGTACAATGTTATGTATATTTAGTTCTTTTTAATTTTATTGCATGTATAGATTCAAGTAACCACCACTGCAATCAAGGATACAGACTTCCATCACCACAAAGATCTCCCTCGTGCTACCTAGTATCCACCTCCTTCCCATTATCCTTTTATTTTTTTAAATCCTCACCCGAGGACATTTTTCCATTTTTTGTTCAGATAGAGTGGGAGGGAGGGAGGGGGAGAGAGAGAGAGAGAGGGAGGGAGAGAGAGAGAGAGAGAGAAACATCGACGTGAAAGGGACACATCGAGTGGCTGCCTCCCACACGACCCCAGCCAGGGCCGGGGACAAGCTGCAACCGAGGTGCATGCCCTTAGCAGGAACAGAACCCATGTCTCTCTGGACCCCTGGCCGACACTCTAACCACTGAGCCAGACCGGCCAGGGCCTTCCCATCATCCTTAACCTCTGGCAACTCCTCATTTGTTCTCCATCGTTATAATTTTGTAATTTCAATCTTATACAAGGTTGGCTTTTTTCATTCAGCGTAATGCCCTTGAGATCCTTCTAAGTTGCATGTACCAATAGTTTGTTTCTTTTATTGCTGAATATTTTGTGGTATGGATCTGTTCTATACATTAACCTTTTACTTTTTTTTTTTCTTCATTGATTTTAGAGAGAGGGAGACATAGAAACATCGATGAGAGAGGACATCGATTGGCTGCCTCCTTACCTGCCTCCTACATGCCCCCCACTGGGGATTTGGCCTACAACCTGGGCATGTGTCCTGACTAGGAATCAAACTGGTGACTTCTTGTGTCATGGGTTGATGCTCAATCACTGAGCCTCACTGGCCGGGCTTAATCTTTTACTTTTGAAGGACATTTTGGTTATTTCTTATTTTGGCTGTTACAAGTCTGGTATGAACAAGACTTGCACATATTTTACAATTAAGTATTTTAAAAATTCCTAGAGATAAATACTAGTAACATTATGTTTTTTTTTTCCTCCCTGTGAGAAACAGCTGAGTTTTAAATATTACTCTAGAATGTTAGGTCTACGGGTGTAGATTTCTTTACCTTAATATTTTTGTGTCATGCCTCAAACATAATCCCATTATTGGCCATGATAATTTAGTCTATTTGGTGACAGTGACATTAAGGAACATATATAATGGTAGGGGATTATTTTTCTTGTGGTGTAACAAAAGTTAGATGTTTCTGAAGCAAGTTGATTTTCTTTATAAAGTTGTTTAAAGCTAAACCTTTTTTATTTATAACTGTTTAGCAGAGTAATTCTTTTTTCTTTTTAAGGCTTATTTAAGGGAAATAGGTTTTTTGGCATTTATTTCATGAATGAAAATATTATTGGTATGAGAGCTTGAGTATGAGAGTAGAATTTTTAAAAAGGATTCATAATGGTGTTGATCTTTTATTTATTTTTAAACATACACTCGAAGTCTAGGGCTTTTTGCAGATATAGAAAGGCCAAGTATAAGTTTATGGAACTGATCCAGAAGAAGTAGAGCAACTGGTAAGGAGAGAGGGCAATGAAAACAGCTCTGCTGTAGAGTATGTTCTTTGCTAGGGGAAGGGAGCAGCGAGAAGTAAGTGCAAGTAGATGTGCAGTGTGACTGACGTGGTGGCTTCAGTTTTCTCAGTGAGGAGTTGATTGTGGTCCTAGTGGAAAGTGGGACATTTGAAGAAACAGGAGTCTAAAGTGACATTTTCAGGAAAAGGAGAAAGTGAGTCTGGTAGAGGTAAAGTAGGATTTTGTTCTAGGCATTACCTGTTTAGAAATTTGAGATTCCCCAAATTTCCAAATACCCTACTCTTAATTGTACAGCTGTTATTTTTTAAATAACTTTACTTTTTGTTTTTTTCTTCATTGATTATTTAGAGAGAGAGGAATGGAGAGGGAGAGAGAGATAGAAACATCGACAACAGAGAACATCGATTGGCCGCCTCCTGCATGCCTTCACTGGGGATCGGGCCCACAACCTGGGCATGTGCCCTGACTGGGAAACCCGTTGGTGCATAGGTTGACACTCAACCATGGAGCCACACTGGCCAGGCTGTACAGCTATTAGTATATAGGTACAGAGAAAACAGATGGTAGGCCCTGGCCAGTTTGGCTCAGCAGTTAGAGCGTCGGCCTGTGGTCCAGAGAGACCCGGGTTCGGTTCCCCTTATAGGTTCCCGCTAGGGCACTTACCTCAGTTGCAGTTTGTCCCCGGCCCTGGTTGGGTCGTGCGGGTGGCAACCACTCAATGTGTCCCTTTCACGTTGATGTTTCTCTCTCTCTCTCTCTCTCTCTCTCTCTCTCTCTCTCTCTCTCTCTCTCCCTCCCTCCCTCCCTCCCTCCCTCCCTCCCATTCTATCTGAACAAAAAATGGACAAATGTCCTCGGGTGAGGATTAAAAAAAAGAAAGAAAACAGATGGTAGGCTTCTTCTAAGGAAAGATTGATGGAATTAATTGAGGAGATGTTACACAAGTAGTTATTATGGATATTAGGGATTATGGTTATTTTAGCTTAACAGAAGGAATGTGTGTATGTTTGTGTTTTATGAAAAATTAAAACGTGGTGATATCAATGTATTGAGTGGAGCTCTTCATGTGGTAGATGCAGATATCTGTGGCAGTGAGATTACGTGAGTTCCCGATGAGGTGGAAGAGCAAGAGGGGTGTGGTGGACTGAGTGGTATGACCAAAAAACATATTTTGAAGAACTTTGTCAATGTCAAATGGATTGCTGAGGCTGGAGTGTGGAACAATGCCAGTGGAGATGAGGTAGTTAAAACTGAGTAGATAGGCAATTGTGATTGTACCTTGTACATCTTTCAGTTGGTAATACCAGTGACAGTTAAGGATGAAGGAAGAATGTTCCAGTTGACAATGAGGAGTAATAGATGGAGTAGCTGGATATCATGTCCTTTACAAAGCACGTTATGAACAGTTGTGGGGAGATATGATTTGGAAGTGACATTGAGAGCAAGGAGGTCACAAACTCCACTTCCTCTACTTGTATGTAGGTTAGCAGAGGAAAAGCTACTGTGGCAGAGAAATGATGGGGGCTGTCTCAAATTATACTTTCTTCAGTTAAGACTAGAGGCTGAAGACTCTGAGAAGATAGCAGAACAGTAGGAGCCCCAGTGCAAGAGTGTAGTGGGGAAGGCATTGAGTCAGATTTAGGGAGATCCAGAGCAGTTGGAGGGTAAGGACCCTGGTATGAGGGTTGATAGGCCTAGGCTTCTGGTGGTGACTGGGGTGGGGGGTGGACAAGGATGTGGGGTAGTAGTTCTGGCAGTCTGAGGTGATATGGGCAACCACTGCTACTATGTAATCGTAGATGCTTCCACATACATTTTTTGAGGTTTAACTTCAACTCTCTGAAGGGATAATGAAGTATGTAAGATAGTATTTCTGGTGATAATTATTAAGCCAGACACAGTTGAATGGGCTCATAGGAGCCATCATGTATTTAAAATTGCACTGATTTCTAAATTAATGATTTTTTTTTTTTAATTAGGAACAGCTTTTAGATTGTAAAGGTGAGGATGGATGGAATAAACTTTTTGACTTAATTCAGTCAGAACTTTATGCACGACCTGATGATGTCTACGTGAACATTCGCCTAGTAGAGCTGTATCGCTCACATCAAAGGCTGAAGGATGCTGTGGCCCACTGCCATGAGGCAGAGAGGAACACGGCTCTGCGCTCCAGTCTGGAGTGGAATTCGTGTGTGGTGCAGACCCTTAAGGTAGGTGAGACTGTTGGGTGTCTGCCCTTCTACATGGGTAATGGCTATACATTCCTTTATATTTAAGCAGTGCCCCCAAGAGTTAAATTTCTTTTATTTATGTACAGCAACTGTGAAATGAAATGTTTATTAGGATGATCTCAATTTATAATTGTTGGTTTGAAGAGAGAAATTTGAAAAAAAAAAACATAGATAATATGGTGTTTTTGTTTTTTTATTTTTTCTTTATTGATTTTAGAGAGAGGAAGGGAGAGGGCGAGAGAGATAGAAACATCGATGAGAGAGAGCATCGATTGGCTGCCTCTGTATGCCCCTCATTGGGGATTGGGCCCACAACCTGGGCATGTGCCCCGACCGGGAATCGAACCGGTGACCTCTTGGTGCATGGGTTGACATTCAACCACTGACCCAACACTGGCTGGGCTGTTTGGTGTTTTTATAGGCTGATGTAAAAATATGGTTTTACACATACAGGAAAGGGCAGAATAATTGATAGGCAGAGACTGATCAATTTTATAACAGTTGATAAGTTTTATAACTTAGTGTTCTTTCTTCAAAATAGGAGTATCTGGAATCTTTGCAGTGTTTGGAGTCTGATAAAAGTAACTGGCGAGCAGCCAATAAAGATTTACTTCTGGCCTATGCTAACCTTATGCTTCTTACACTGTCCACCAGAGACATGCAGGAAAGTAGAGACTTATTGGAAAGGTATGTAGATGTCGGTGTAAATTACAGATTTTCCTTGTTGTAGCAATTCATTTCATTGGTCTAAACATCCTTACTGCATCATTTTTATGTGTGCCCATGGGTAATAGATAATACAATGAACCACTTAGAAGGAATTTTCTTGTGTGGGGATATTATAATTTGTATTTTATGACTTTGATTTTAAAGAACTATGTAATTGTTCAGGCTTCATTAAATTATTTTTGTAGTTAATATTCAATTTTGGCTGCTTAATAAAGAGGCAAGGCTGACATTGAATGTCCTAACTGCTATTCCATACACATACACACACACACATTTTTTAAATCCTCACCTGAGGCTATTTTTCCGTTTATTTTCAGACAGTAGGAAGGAGGGAGGGGGAGAGAGAAAGAGAGAGAGGCAAACACACACATCCATTGGCTGCCTCCTGCAAGACCCCAACGTGCCCTGGGCTGGGTAGTAGTTTTTTGTTTTGTTTTTTATCCTCACCCGAGGACATTTTTTCTATTTTTTTGTTCAGATAGAGTGTGGGAGGGAGAGAGAGAGAGAGAAACATCGACGTGAAAGGGACACGTCGAGTGGTTGCCACCCACACGACCCAACCAGGGCCGGGGACAAACTGCAACCAAGGTACATGCCCTTAGCGGGAACCGAACCCGGCCGGGTCTCTCAGGACCGCAGGCCAAAGCTCTAACCGCTGAGCCAAACCGGCCAGGGCTGGGTAGTAGTTTAATAAGTAAAGATCAGTAAAGGAGGTGGGTGAGCTCTGGATTGGTTGGTTTGCATATGAAAGGCTCACTCCTAGGAGAGCAATTTGCCTTCTCTTAGAATTAGCTAACCCTGGGAGGTGCTGTCTCCCCTGATTTCGCAAGGTTCCCAGATATCAGAGCATCAGAAAATACAGAAAACAGGGCCATGCCCTTGACCTGAATCGAACCCTTGACTCATTGGTCTGCAGCTGACGCTCTAACAGCTGAACCAAACCAGCCAGGGCAACCATATTTTGTTTCCAAAAATGATATAATCTCGAGAGAAAAAGCCAAGGATTAAACTTCATTTGTCAGATGTAGTATAAGCAGTTTACATGACTAGTGTTTCAGAAAACAACAATTTAAAAGGTAATGAAAAGATATGGTTTTTCTGTTTTCCTTAATTTTGATTTTGAAGGACTAGTATCTTTTTTTTTTCTTTTCCCAATCCTCACCGGAGGATATTTGTCTATTTATCTTCAGATAGAGTAGGAGGGAGAGAGAGAGAAACATTGATGTGAGAGGGACACATTGACTGGTTGCCTCCTGTATGACCCGACCAGGGCCGGGGAACCACAACCGAGGTATGTGCCCTTGGCTGGAATTGAACCTGTGACTCATTGGTCCACGGGCCGATACTAACTGCTTAGCCAAACTGGCTAGGGCCAGAGCAGGGTTTAACCAGGGCCTATGGGTCAAATAATGATTCACTGCCTGACTTTGTGGATAAAGTTTCATTGGAATACATCCATGCCTCTTTGTTATATATTGTCTATGCCTACTTATACTACAATGGTGGAATTGAGCAGTTGTGGCAGAGATTGTGTATGCCTGCAAAGCCACCCATCTGGCATGTGCAAAAAAGTTCTTTCCATTGGGGTATAGGGAAGTAGGTAGTTTTCTTGGAGCACTTGGTGTTCTAAGATAGTAGAGTTAGGGTAGTGTCCCAAAAAACTAATTTAATTTTTTAAATTATTTTAGAAAATATTTAGGATGTTTTTATTTATATGGCTTATATACTCAGAAATTTTTCCTCAAATGAGAAAACAGGGTAATAAATGACATAATTTATTGGTAATGCTATAAAAATAATTTTAACTTCATAGATTCCCTGAAGGAGTCTTGAGAACCTCTAGGGGTCCCTGGAACTCACTTGCTAGAAGAAATATCTATTGCTCATATTTCTTAATATAATCTTTTAGAATTATGTTTTACTTTTTTTTTGGTTAATTCTCACCTGAGGATATTTATTTATTTATTTATTTAGACAGAGTGGAGTGGGTGTGGGGGGGGGATAGAGAGAACGAGAGAGAGAGAGAGAAAAACGTCAGTGTGAAAGAGACACATCAATTGGTTGCCTCCTGCATGACCTCAACCTGGGCCAGGGATTGAACCTGCAACCCAGGTATGTGCCCTTGACTAGGAATTGGACCTGCCACCTTTGGTTCTCAGGACGAGGCTTTAACTGCTGAGCCAAACCAGCCAGGGTATGGTTCACATTTTTATTAAGTGTTTATGTTTGCTTTTCTTACAAAGTGAAGATTCTGAGGACCATTTGGATTTAGAAGCACTAATTAGTACATAGATTACAAATAATAGTGAGAAAAACAATTTATTTAACTCTGTAGTTATATGGTAAAAAGAGCAATTATGGTATTGACAACTGAAATATCATTTATTTACTTAAAATTTGACTAAGGCACATCTGATTTGAGAACTTCTAACTTTGAATTAAAGAATGAAACCTATTATTGAAAAGACATTAGAAAATATTTTAGTTTGACTAAGGCACATCTGATTTGAGAACTTCTAACTTTGAATTAAAGAATGAAACCATGTTATTGAAAAGGCATTAGAAAATATTTTAGTTTTCCAGTTTTGTTCTGGTATGTTATGAAACATATGCCATAATCAGTAATCTTACTATTTTATTTGTTGTATCTTTTCTGTAATTGGAAGGCTCGAAATAACTATTTTGTAATATAGTTTGACATCATTCTAGAGGTTACGCTTGAAGTATAGGGCATATATGGAATAAAAATTAGTAGGTGACTCATAATTTATAAAACGGAATACGGATTATTGGGTGTTTGAATATGGAAGAGGAAGCTTGAAATAAATATATTTTGAGTTGAATAATGAAACCATGATTACTCATAATGCAACATATTTCATATCTATTAAATATTTTAATATTACAGTTTTGACAGTGCTCTTCAGTCTGTGAAATCTTATGTGGGTGGAAATGATGAACTCTCAGCTATTTTCTCAGAAATAAAAGGACATTTCTACATGCATGCTGGTTCTCTGCTTTTGAAGATGGGTCAGCATAGTGAGGTGCAGTGGCGTGCTCTCTCTGAGCTGGCTGCATTGTGCTATCTCATAGCATTTCAGGTAAGCCTTTCCAGTTTGTTTTTTTTATCCTCACCCGAGGACATTTTTCCATTTTTTGTTCAGGTAGAGTGGGAGAGAGAGAGAGGAACAGAGAGAGAGAGAGAGAGAAACATCGATGTGAAAGGAACACATCGAGTGGCTGCCACCCGACCAGGGCCGGGGACAAACTGCAACCAAGGTACGCGCCCTTAGCGGGAACCGAACCCGGGTCTCTCAGGACCGCAGGCCGACGCTCTAACCGCTGAGCCAAACCGGCCAGGGCGCCTTTTCCAGTTTTGATGCAATTGACGTTTCACTGAGACTGTTGCATTTCACATGGAAGCACGCCCTGGTATATAACGACAATGTGAATGAACCTATAGAATTAAAGTTGAAATGAAATAGTTAATTTGACGGGTGAAAAATAACAAGATTTGAAACATTGTGAGGTGGTAAGACAGGTGCATTGGTGCATTGCTGGTGGCAGTCTACATTGCTGTGACTTATGGGAGACCAGTTTGAAGAGTTTGATCTTTCTGCTGTGCCATTTCCAGTAATAAGGAAATAATCTCAAATATGGATAAAACTTAATTAAAAAAAATATGCATAACTTGGACAAAAATCCTAAGTAAGTTATGGGGTATGGTTATGTAAACTAGAAGAATGTGTTTACCAAAGCATTTTAACACATTAATTGGAAAACAGGTAATATGTTTATTATGAGAGTACAATATTTAGCAATATCGTCTATAGAAAGAAAACCTTGTCTTATACATAGAATATGACATGAGGAAGTATGTCAAAATGTTAACCTTTTTTTAGTTTTAATTTTTTCTTTATTGAGTTTGCATTAATTCTGAAATGAAAAATAAACAGTATGCAAAAAAAAAAATGCGTGAATTAGGCTTATATAAATTGTTAGCTTTAGAAGTGACCTTTTTGCCTGAGGGAAAGCAGAGAGTTCACTGTACTTACTATTAGACGAGGTCCTTCCTTGTTGTTCATATCATAAAGATCTTTGAACAGACTATTGATACTCTTGCTAAGTGTTAAGTGCTGTTTGCTCTGCAGAAGCATTCAGGTTCATAAGGAATACATTTATAGTGAATATGAGTGAAGTTAACGAAGTTTTCTAATTTACATAAGCAGTAAAATGTTCTTATGATTAATATTTTATAGATTCTCATGTAGCTAACAGTTTTTTTTAATGGAAACTAAAATCTATTAAAGTTTTTAATATATATTTTGTAAAGTTAATATATACAGTCAGCTATTTTAAACTTTGACCTTTTTAAAGAGTACAAACTAAATTTTCCACTTAACCCATTCACTCAAGTCTCCTTTGCTGGAAGACAATCAGTGTTAATTAACAGTTTGTTGGGCATTCAGAATTCCTTTTGCACATGAAGCATGTAATACGCCCTTTTTGTTCTTTTAAAACCTGTTTTGCTTCAGTGGAGATGTGCTTCATCTGTTGTTGAAAACCTTACTTTTTTTCTTTGTTTTTCCATTGTTCCACTTTAGCACATAGACATTTACCCTAGTCTCTCTTTTAACTGGGTTTCTCTGTACCACGGGCCGACGCTCCAACCGCTGAGCCAAACTGGCCAGGGCAGTTTTGGGGTTTTTTAAACCAGTGCTCTAAAGCCAAGACATTAGGTTACTTTTGCTTCTTTGCTATACTACTTCAAATAATTCTATAGTAGCTACTAACCTGTGCCATTTCACATGCAGAGTAATGGGTAGAGTAAACTTCTGAAAGAAGAATCGGAGGATCAAAGTGCATCTATGCATTTATAACTTTTAGAGCTATTGCCAAAATTCTGACATCACAAGTGTGTGTACCAAATTACACTCCTACTACCATTTAGGAAATTCATTAGAAATTAACTGCAGTTACCCCAGCTATACTTACATGGTTACTTGTAGGATATTTCCAGTAAGTAGTCATTGACTGTGACTGAACATTTTCAGTGGTGGACATTTACTGCATTTCAAGATAGCCCTTTGCATTTTTTGAATAATTTGGTTCTTAGTGCTTCCCTATGTGGAGTAAAAATGATTTTCAAGCTGCTATCCTATCCATTGGTGGTGGTTTTTTTTTCTTTTGATGCTGTTAAAAAAGTTGAACTCTTCTTTTACAAGGTAATTTTCTCAATATCTGAAGGCAGCATGTTGTGGTTTTTTTCCACTATTCTATTTTTTCATCATTTCTTTCAGCTCTTCTTTGTAGGATATGACTTGGAGTCCTTTTACTCTCTTGGTTGTTCCAGTCTATCCCACTGGTATCTCCAGTTATCCATGCTGTTAGAAAATGTGCTGTTTAGTGCAGCATTTCCCAGTGTGGTCCCAGTGCTGAGTCAAGTAGGGCTCTTTTCTGTGCTGTGGTGGTTCTGCTTCTGCAGGTAGAAAAGTTCTCTAATGACTCCATTTCCCCAGATGCCATTTGAATGTGTTTTTAGTGGGAAGTAATTCCTCAGAAGTGCTCTTTGTAAGCGTCTTTTATGGATTACCTTAATTCCCAGGTGCCTAGTGTTATGCATTTGGTTTCCCAGTTCAGTTTAGCTACTGGTTAACTGTTTATGCATTCTCAAAAAAGCATAATGTACTCAAAAGGACCATCTTATTATAAGAAACATGGGTATCACTAAATTAAACATTTTGATTAAAATTACCAGGTTCCAAAACCGAAGATTAAGTTAATAAAAGGAGAAGGTGGACAGAATCTGCTGGAAACAATGGCCTGTGATCGTCTGAGCCAATCAGGTAATAGTAATGTTAACTGGTTTTATTTGAATAGAAAAAAGGAAACTTTCTCTGTTAGAATACATCTTATGATAATGTTGTCTTTCCAGGAGAGAATTTGTCATAATCATGTTTTTCTTTGCCATATTGGATTAGGGCAAGGGATAAAGAAAGGATGAGAAGAAATGGTATATTGGTCTTGCCCAATGTGGCTAGTGGTTAGAGCATCATCCCGAACACTGAAAGGTTGTGGGTTTGATCCCCAATCAGGGCATGTAGGCGAAGCAACTGATAGCTGTTTCTCTTTCACATTGATGTTTCTCTCTCTCTCTCCTTTCCCCTTTATCTAAAATCAATAAACATCTCCTCTGGTGAGGATTAAATAAGAAAAGAAAGAAATGGTATATTCTGGAAAAGGAACAAATATTTGATATTGTATATTCCCAGATGGAGAAACCCCTCCTTTATCTAGCTGCTAGAGCCTGAATATTTTAAAGCAGTTTTTATACTAAGAATAATTACTGACTTGCCAAACATTTATCAGATGCTTGTCAGATACCGCTATGGTGGGTACAAAGGTGAAGATGCAGATCTCTCTGTTACGGAACTGAAAACATAGTAAGGAAGAGAGAAGATTATGCTCGCATTCTGTTAGGCTGCTGGGATTTGTAGATTTATTCCCAGGTTCGAGTATTTGGGAAAGATCCTAAATGTCTGTTATATGTTACCTGGTTTTGCTAAGGCAAAAGCTTCAAGTTATTCACATAGCTCGTGGATCAAACAGTGAACTAAATGCTTTCTATAGGAAGCAATTTTGACATAAATTGAATGAACCTTGTAAAGAGGAAGATTTAGTATTAAATAAAAGTTTTTCTAAGTTTCGGCCTGTAGTTAGGCTGTTGGTCTAAGCTTACACTGCTGTACTAGCTGACAGCATACTTTTTTTGTGGGAGGTAGACTTTCAGTTCTTGAAGTGACTTTCCATTTTTTTTTTCTTACATTTCTCTTCTACCTTTGCAGGGCTGTCACAGTTCATACAGTGAACTGTGTTACTGTCTTTGATCTGGCATTTCTGAGCCTGTCCCTGCAGACTTTGGGAGAAATAATAGTCTGGTGGTAACCAAACCCGACTGACCAACAGAATACTTCCAAGGAGTGTTTTTTTGTTTTTGAACAGTTTAATTGAGATAAATTAACATAATATATAATTTACCTATTTTAAGTATGCATTTTAGTTGTTTTTTTGTGTGTGTTCATAGAGTTGTGCAACCTTGACTGCAGTCAGTTTAAAAACATTTTCTCACCCCATACAGAAGCCTCATATTCATTAGCAGTCATGCCTCATTTTCCCCAAACTTCCTAGTCCTAGGTAACCAACCACTGATTTTCTTTCACTTTATGGACATTTCATATAAGTTGAATCATATAATACGTGGTCTTTTGTAACTGACTTCTTTCACTTAGGTTTATTGTATTTCAGAGTTCACCCCTATTGTAGCATGTACTAGAACTTTATCCAAGGTGTGTTTCTGAAATAGATTACTCAGCCGAAACCTGTGGAATCAGTGTCTCTGGGAGTGGGGGCCTGGAAATAAATACGTATTACAGGCTTTTTAAAGGAGAATTCTGACCAGCCAAGATTAGAAATCAGTGTATCAGATCAGAGAATTTGAGCTTGGCCCTGCTATCTTATGGCCACATTTAAATCCCACACTTTTCCATTTAAAATGTAAATATTTTTGGTATTTTGCACACACATTCTAGCATATAGACACAAATACTACTAACCCTGTAATTTATATTCATTTTTTTACATAAGCATTCTTTTTATTGTCCACGTGTGGTTGTTGGGTTGGATGTTTATGACTCAGATAATTGTTATTTCTCCTTAGGGGATGTGAATAAAACTGTTGAGAGATGATTACAGATAGTCTGTATATTTTAAATGATGGAAATAATTTGTTTTTTAGGGCACATGCTGCTAAACTTAAGTCGTGACAAGCAAGATTTTTTAAAAGAAGTTGTAGAATCCTTTGCCAATAAAAGTGGACAGTCTGCATTGCATGACGCTCTGTTTTCTAGTCAGTCACCTAAGGACAGCTCTTTCCTTGGTAGCGATGACATTGGAAACATTGATGTACAAGCACCAGAACCTGATGATTTGGCTAGATATGATGTTGGTAAGTTGTATCTTTCAAAGAAAATATTCTGCATATTAATCCTTTTATATTAGGAGAAAGAAAAGCAGAAAGGGAAATAAGTTGTCCGTAATCTTATTGCCCGAAAATAATGACAAGATTTTCCTGTATTCCTTTCAGGTTTTTTGCAGAGAGGGGTGGGTGGTGGTGGTCTTGGGGGGTGTAAAAGGTTGGTAGTGGTGCCATATGTTTTTTTTTCCCTAAATAGTTGTTTATACTATACATATGATTTGTCGTCTTTCAGGAATTCTCTTCCATTATATCTGTCTCTGTAAATACCACTATTAATGGCGATACAATCTGTTTCATGAATTAGCCATAACTTGCCACTTTTTACTGTTTAGGATCCAAGTTGTTTCCAGTTTTTTTCACTATTAAAAATACTACTGTGGCCCTGACCAGTTTAGCTCAGCGGTTAGGGTGTCAGCCTGTGGACCAGTGAGTCACGGGTTCGATTCTAGTCAAGGGCGGCACATACCTCAGTTGCGGTTTGTCCCCAGCCCTGGTTGGGGTCGTGTGAGAGGCATTTGGTCCATGTGTCTCTCTCACATCAGTGTTTCTCTCTCTCCCTCTCTCCCTCCCACTCTATCTGAAGATAAATGGAAAAATATCCTCGGGTGAGGATAAAAAATAAAATAAGATAAAAATAATACTGTGGTCCTGGCTAGTGTGACTCAGTTGGTAGAGCATCCTCCCGTGCACCAAAAGGTGGCGGGTTCGATTCTCAGTCAGAGCACATAGCCAGGTTGAGGGTTTGATTCCCCCTTTGGGGCAGTTATGGGAGGCATTTGATTGATGTTTCTCTGTCATCAATATTTCTCTCTTTCTCTCTCTAAAATTGATAAATCTTAAAAAAATACTGTGATAAAAACTTTAAAATGTCTCCATTTCAAATTTTTCAATAGATTCCTAAAAACAATTACTGGGACAAAGTTGATGAACATATTTAAGTCTCTTGCAAGTTGCCATATTGCCAGAAAAGCTGTACCTCTGTATGCTTCCAGAAGCTGGTAACTTTTTCAGTACTGAATATCTTCTAGAAGAAACCTTTTTTTTAAATCTTCACCTGAGGATATTTTTTCATTTATCTTCAGATAGGGAGGAAGGGGGAGAGAGAAGGAGAAACATCAGTGTGAAAGACATGTTGATTGGTTGCCTCCTGCATGACTCCGACCAGGGCCAGGGACTGAACTGCAACCAAAGTGTGTGCCCTTGACCGGAATCGAACTCACGACTCTTGGGTCCGTGGGCAGACGCTCTAACCACTGAACAAACCCGGCGAGGACAGAAAACTTCTTTTTATATTATTCTAATGGATTAATGTAGTGGTATCCTACTATTTTAATGAGTCTTTACTGAAAGGAAAATCCATTGTTTCAGGATTTCTTAGTGGGTGGCTATTGTTTATTTGGCCCCTGGCAGGTTTTATTGAGTTCTAGTGAGTCTCTCTTTTTATTTATTTTTCTCAGATGGAATTGAGAAGTCTCTATCATCTATTTTTAAATTCCTAAACATAAAATGTGAATACTTTTTTAATAAGAACATAAGTCTTTGTTTACCATATAATTTCCCCACGTTCTGATATAGAAAATTAAGATACATTTAATGTGAGTAGGTTGTTTGCAAAACTTGTGACATAAAAAGTTTTCAAAGCCAATTTTTTCCCTTTGTTTCAGGTGCCATTCGAGCACATAATGGCAGCCTTCAGCACCTTACCTGGCTTGGCTTACAGTGGAATTTGTTGCCTGCCTTACCTGCAATTCGAAAATGGCTAAAACAGCTTTTTCATCACTTGCCCCAGGAAACCTCAAGACTTGAAACAAATGCACCTGAATCAATATGTATTTTAGATCTTGAAGTAAGCAAAGATTTTAACAAATTACATATTTGACTTTTGTTTAGTTTTTTTGTAACTTAAATTGATTTTTCTTTAAATAAAACAGGTATTTCTACTCGGAGTAATATATAACAGCCACTTGCAATTAAAGGAGAAGTGTAGTTCTCATTACAACTTCTATCAGCCACTATGCTTGCCACTTCCTGTGTGTAAACAGCTTTGCACAGAGAGACAAAAATCTTGGTGGGATGCAGTTTATAATCTAATTCACAGAAAAGCAATGTAAGTAGTAAAACAAAAAATATTTCTTTAACTTACTACATAGATTTTTAAAATTTAAAAACTCATTAAATTTAAAATACTTATTCCTTAGGTATTTAATTTAATTATTGTGTTAATTATGATTAACAGACATGTAAGTGTTGAAATGCATGTTTATAAATCAGTTTTATTGAATAAAACTTTTTTTTAGCCCTGGAACCTCAGCAAAATTGCGACTTCTAGTTCAGCATGACATAAATACTCTAAGGGGCCAGGACAAACATGGCCTTCAACCCGCTCTGCTTATACATTGGGCAAAATACCTTCAGAAAACCGTGAGTTTATTAAAGTGTAAAGCATTTTTAAGAACATTACCTTATTTTTTTTTTAAAGACTTAAACTTTTTGTTGAAAGTCATTTAGTGCTAAAACAGTTATGCTAGGAAAAATGTATTTTTAAAATCTTGTTACATAGTAGTTTTAATATATAAGCACTTAGAACAGTGGTTTGGCACAGTAAATGTTATATAAGCATTAGCTATTATTATTATTACTTTTTTTTTTTTTTTTTTTAATCCTCACCCGAGGGCATTTTTCCATTTTTTGTTCAGGTAGAGTGGGAGGGAGAGAGAGGAACAGAGAGAGAGAGAGAGAAACATTGACATGAAAGGAACACATCGAGTGGCTGCCACCCACACAACTGACCAGGGCCGGGGACAAACTGCAACGGAGGTACGCGCCCTCAGCGGGAACTGAACCCAGGTCTCTCAGGACCGCAGGCCGACGCTCTAACCGCTGAGCCAAACCGGCCAGGGCTATTATTATTACTTAATAATTAGGTTAGAATTATTGTCTAGTCTCAAAATTTTTTTTTTAAATCTTTTTTTAGATAGAGTGGGAGGGAGGGAGGGTAAGAGAGAAACATCCACGTGAGAGAGAGACACACATAAACTAGTTACCTCTGGCATTACCCCAAGGGATCGAACCCGAGACTCTTTGGTCCTCAGGCTGAAGCTCTAACCCCCGAGCCAAACTGGCAAGGGAAAAAAAAGTGGCAACTTTTAAGATATGGTTTTATTTATTTATTATTTAATCCTCACTGAGGATATTTTCTATTTATCTTTAGATAGAGTGTGATGGAAGGAGGGAGAGAGAGAAACATTGATGTGAGATGGACACATTAACTGGTTGCCTCCCACCCGACCCTGACCCTGACCAGGGACGAACTGCAACTGAGGTAATGTACCCCTGACCGGAATTGAACCCGAGACTCATTGGTCCTTGGGCTGATGCTCCAACTGCTGAGCCAAACCGACCAGGGCTTTTTTGTTGTTGTTAGAATGACGAAGGGAGAGAGAGACATTGATTTGAGGGAGAAATATCGATTGGCTGCCTCCTGCATGTGCCCTGACTGGTAATTGAACTAGGACCTCTCAGTCTATGGGATGATGCTCAATCCACTGAGCCACACTGGCTGTGCAAAAGTGACAACTTTTAAAAAATGGATTGGGCTGCCTCATTAGGTTATTGTCATTTAAAGTGTTTAAAAGTTGAGTCTGAAATGATCAGGGGTGTTAGGTGGGTTGTTATTCCAGTATTTGGAGAGTTGAACATATGACTTGAGATTCTTTTTTTCCTTGATTTGAGTTTTGTTTGTTTTTTCTCCAAAGAAAGAACAAAGTTTAGCTGCTGCACTAATAATACAGGTACAAGCAGATAGATGATAGATAGATAGATAGATAGATAGATGGATGATGGATTGATAGATGAGAGAGAGAGGGAATGATTTGAAATTTAACCCGTTTCTTAACCATTTGTAAATGAATTTTTAGTTCTGATCATTTGTATTCCTTAGGTTACATGCTTCTAACTTTCTATTTTAGGGCAGCGGTCTTAATTCTTTTTATGATCAGCGGGAATACATAGGCAGAAGTGTTCATTATTGGAAGAAGGTTTTGCCATTATTGAAAATGATAAAAAAGAAGATGAGTATTCCTGAACCTACCGACCCTCTATTTAAACACTTTCATAGTGCAGACATCCAGGTAAGTGTCCCTTGGTTAACTAACTGGTGATGTGAATTCGCAGTATATAAATGAAGAAATGGAGGTATAAACTACTTAAATTCATTGTCTGACTGTTCTTGTTTTCGAAATGCAGTAGATAAAAATAAAATATGGAACAAAAGAGTTTTGAGATATCAGTCTCATTAGAACATGTAAAATCTTTGGGAAATCATTTGGGTTTGATATTCTGGGTTGAGGCACTTTGACTAAAAATCACTAAATGTGTTTAGGCATCTGAAATTGGGGAATATGAAGAAGAAGCACACATCACATTTGCTATACTGGATGCAGTTAATGGGAATACAGAAGATGCTATGACTGCTTTTGAATCTATAAAAAATGTTGTTTCTTATTGGAATCTTGCACTGGTAAGGAGATATACTTGAATTAAAATTTTTTATTTTTATTTTTTTTAAAATATTTTTTCTTTATTGAGTTTAGAGAGAGAGGAAAGGAGAGGGTGAGAGAGATAGAAACATCAATGAGAGAGAACGTCAATTAACTACCTCCTGCATGTCCCTCACTGGGGATCGGGCCCACAACCTGGGCATGTGTCCTGACTGGGAATTGAACTGGTGACCTCTTGGTGTATGGGTCCACACTCAACCACTGACCCACACTGGCTGGGCAAATGTTTTTTGTTTTAAAAAAATCAAATTGGTGCTTGCTTCAGCAGCACATACACTAAAATTGGAATGGGTCAGAGAAGATGAGCGTGGCCCTGTGCAAGGATGACATGCAAATTCGTGAAGCATTTCATATTTCAAACAAACAAAAAAACCCTAATTGTTTCATAAAAGTATTCTTTATAGATTTTTCACAGAAAAGCAGAAGACATTGAAAATGATGCTCTTTCTCCTGAAGAACAAGAAGAATGCAAAAATTATCTGAGGAAGACCAGGGACTACCTATTAAAGATTTTAGATGACAGTGATTCAAATCTTTCAGTAGTCAAGAAAGTAAGTTGCAGGTTTTTTGTTCTTATTATTGACAATTGGGTCATAAGTATTTTTGTCTTGGTTTTATATTTTGGTAATTTCAAAAATGCTCAGTAATACCTCATAAGCAATTTATTGCACAGAAGGGGTATGTGTTTAAATATTTAATAACATTGCTTTGTCTTAGGTTTGATGTTTCTTTTTTTAAATTGAGAATCTAGGTTTATACTGTTACAAAAATACTTGTTGGGGAATTAGAAAAGGTTTCTAAGGCAGGAGATTTATTTTTGTTATCCTGGCAACATAGTACTACCTAAGAATAGTTATTTTATTTTATTTTGTTAATTCTCACCCCAGGATGTTTTTCAATTGATTTTTAAAAAGAGTGGAAGGGAGGCAGGAGTTGGGGAGAGGCGAGGGAGAGAAGCATCGTTGTGAGAGAGACACATCAATTGGTTGTCTCTCACATGACCTCAACCAGGGCCAGGTACATGCCCTTGACTATGAATCCAACGCAAGACCTTTTGATCCTTGGGCTAGTACTCTAACTGCTGAGCCAAACCAGCCTGGCAAAGCTAGTTCTTAATGACTTTGACAATTTACACATTTTAGTGAGATCACAGTGGATGGCTGACAGCTTCAGAGGGTTTCTTCTCATCTCCACCTTTTTCTAACTTCCAGCAGTTTGAGACTCTCATGATGGCTTTAATGTCAGTTACATTCAACTTTACAAGTATTTTGTTGATTGATTTTTGTTGCTACTCTCAGATTAGGGTTTATATTATCTGGTGCATCCTAGCATCTATATATCTCTCCCCATTCAGAACAACTAGTAAACGTGTTTTGCTTACATTGAAAAATTTCCCAAGTTAACATTCTTCTGTCTTTATTATGACTAACAGAAAACAGAAAGAGCATAGATTTTAGGCCTGGCTGGTTTGGCTCAGTGATTAGAGTGTTGGCCTGTGGACCAATGGGCTGCGGGTTCGCGTTGCAGTTTGTCCCCAGCCCTGGTCAGGGTAATGCAGGAGGCAGTCGGTCGATGTGTCCCTATCACATGATGTCTCTCTCTTTCTCCCTCCCACTCTATCTGAAGGTAAATAGAAAAAAAATAGCCTTGGGTGAGGATTTAAAAAAAAGAAACAACTTTAGAGTCAGACTTTGGGTTACATAGCAGTTTTGTTTCTGTTATTAAGGTGTAAACTGCTTGTTACACAAAAGTGAGAAAAAATAAGTAAATTAGTAAAATAAAATCTTGCATTTATTTAAGAATTTTTACTTTGATATTTTTCTAACTTAAGAACCTTGATTATTCATGCCTTTTGTTTTTAGTTGCCTGTGCCCCTGGAGTCTGTGAAAGAGATGTTTAATTCAGTCATGCAGCAGCTCGATGACTATAGTGAAGGAGGTCCTCTTTATAAGAATGGTTCTCTGCGTAATGCAGATTCAGAAATGAAATATTCCACACCATCTCCCACCAAGTACTCTCTGTCACCAAGTAAGAGTTACAAGGTAAGTAGGAAAGAAGTGAATCATTTCATTGTGGAATATGTTTCTGTTTTAAGTGTTTTAAATACTGTTGTTTTGTTATATTTTTAGTATTCTCCCAAAGCGCCACCTCAGTGGGCAGAAGATCAAAACTCTTTACTGAAAATGATCTGCCAACAAGTAGAGGCCATTAAGGTAAATCAGTTAATTTCTCTGTCCTGTGCCTTCCTTATTTCAAGATTTCTTCCTTGACTGCTCCCTCACTTCTTTCTACAGCTGTTCAAAATGTTCCTTTGCTGTGCTACTGTAGAATTTGCATAAAGATTTTTATATCAGTTTTGTTTAATTGTAGCCTATTAGAGATTACACACGTCTTGACTTGCCGTACAGGCCCAGGCACCACCAGTGTGTGCTGTGGAAGGGCAGCAGGGCACTCGTTGATGTGCCTGAAAAACCGTTCTGGTACTGACTCTTTCTCTCATTAGCCCTGGGGCCAGGCATTTTCTTACCACTTCCTCTGGCTTCTCATCTATAAAGTGAGAATTGTTGAAACCAGTTCTCATCACATTTTCTAGTTGTTTAAGTTATTAAAATTATGACTATAGCATTAACTGCGTATTGAGAACTATGGTTCACATCCCGTAGTGACCAGTAGGCTTTTTGTTGTTGATGCCACCAGTTTCTCATTTATGGATATACAGCATCTGGACTAGACACAGTCGATGGGTGGGTGTTGGAAAATTTAGCCCGGAAATTTGAGAGATTTTTGACCCCAGTAGTTACGACTTTTGGGAAATTTGTATTTGCAAATACAAGAAGAAGGCAGCACACATCCTGACTGTAAGTCATGCATAGCTAGCCGGGCACCCGGGCCACACAGAAGTCTTGATGCTTTTTCAAAAGTGACCCGTTGTCCGATAACATGATAGTTTTTATTTTCTGGAAAACAAAGTATTTTTTTGATAAATGCCTGTTGTGTAAGGGATATTTTATAGGATCTAGGGGTGTGGGGGGCTGTTGTCATTTTTTATTTTTATTTTTTGTTACTCTTCAACTGAGGGCATTTTTTCCATTGACGTTTAGAGGGAGTGGAAGGGAGGGAGAAAAGGGGAGGGGCTAGAGAGACAGAGAGGGAGAAACATTCATGCGAGAGAGACAGATTGATTGCCTCCTCATGCCCCAACCAGGGCAGGGTACTGAATCTGCCTTGACTGGGAATCAAACCCGAGACCCTTTGGTCCACAGGCCAACCCTCTTAACCACTGAGCCATACTGACCAGGGCAGGGTGTTGTCATTTAGTTGTTTATAATAAAATGACATCTGATAGCCACATAGATACCATTAGAAAGCCATGTGTTTGCCTTTTTGTCTAGGCAGCAATGTTTTTATTTTAAGATCTGTTTTCAGTTCTAGCTTTGCTATTTCCTGCATCTTTTTAAAGATGTAAGTTACTAATATTACCTTTGTAACGATTAAAAATCTTAGGTAAAGTGCTCGGAATATATTATTATATATATAATACAGGGTGGGGCAAAAGTAGATTTACAGTTGTAAGTATACAAATTATATTCCATACAAACAACTGTAAACCTACTTTTGTCCTGTCTTGTATATTCTGAGCAGATACTAACTTTTTCCTTTTCTTTTTTTTTTTTTTATCCTCACCCGAGGACATTTTTCCATTTTTTGTTCAGGTAGAGTGGGAGGGAGAGAGAGGAACAGAGAGAGAGAGAGAGAAACATCGATGTGAAAGGAACACATCGAGTGGCTGCCACCCACACAACCGACCAGGGCCGGGACAAACTGCAACCGAGGTACGCGACCTTAGTGGGAACCGAACCCGGGTCTCTCAGGACCGCAGGCCGACGCTCTAACCGCTGAGCCAAACCGGCCAGGGCTAACTTTTTCCTTTTCTAGTGGAGCATTTAAGCATCATCTTAAAGGATAAGTAGTGTTTTGTCACATCAGATGTGGATAAGTGGAAAGCTTGTATTGGGAGGTAATTTGGAATGTCGAGTAGTACAGACGGATTTAGGAGTGAAGCAGTGTGTAAAGGAGACATGCTGGAGGATGTTTGGGATAATACTGCTGAGGACCATGCGTGTCAGAGAAAGAAATGTAGCTGCTTGTCTTGGCTAGAGCTGAACGTTAGAAAGATGAATTTAGACAAGTGTAGATGAGGCCACTTAGAAGCCACTTAGGAGGTTGCTTAGTTGTTTAGGTTAGAGCTAACTTTAATCTAGAGTGAACGAATTAGGTAATGATACTAAGGAATGAAAGAATGGGAGCAAATGAGTTGTTAACAAATTAAGGATCATGTTTTTTGTTGTTGTTGTTGTTAATCCTCATCTGAGGATATTTTTTCATTGATTTTTAGGGAGGGAGAGAGAGAGAAACATTGATGTAAGAGACACATTGATTGATTGCCTCCTGCACAACCCCAACCGGGGCCAGGTATCAAACCTGCAACCCAGGTATGTGCCCTTGACCGGAAATCAAACCCGAGGCCCTTAGGTCCGCAGGCCGAACCGCTGAGCCAGACCAACCAGGGCAAGGATTGTGTTCTTAAATCAGCATCTGGTAATCAGATCTTATTGGAATGTAGAGTCTCTTAAAGGGCATCAAGTATTTATTTATTTATTTTTTAAAAAGGGCATCAAGTATTTAAATTTAAAGTATTTGTTTGCTCTATTGCTGTTTCTGACATTATATAATTGCTAACTTTTTTTCTTCTTCCAACAGAAAGAAATGCAAGAATTGAAACTAAATAGCAGTAACTCAGGGTCCCCTCATCGCTGGCCTACAGAATGTTATGGACCAGATTCAGTGCCTGATGGATATCAGGGATCACAGACTTTTCATGGGGTTCCACTAACAGGTGGGTTGGCAACTGGGTATGTTAGTAAATCACTGTACTTTTCCTGAAACTCCTCTAAATAGATTAGTTGTGAAATTGTATATACGTTCGTTTTTATATATGTCTATGTCTGCTTATATGTTACTTAAGCTGTATTTGGTATTCCTGAGATGTTTTATAACGTCAGGCAGAAACAAAACAAGCTTTATCTGATACCGTGTATATAAAGGTTTAAAGAATAACCCTTTAATGCACATGCCAGAGGAGCTGAGACTGAGGTGGAACTATTCCTTATACTTGAAAAAATGTTAACTGATAACATTACATATTAAGTGATGCCTAATTAAAAACTTAAACTTCTTAGTAATTATTTTGATGATCTACTCAGAGGTATGACATTCATAGGAAATCATGTTTGATTTAAAATAAATGGTCATACATAAAAGGAAGGAGTTTGAAATTGGACCATAATCGATTTTGAAGTTGTGTTGTATCACTTACCAACCTCTGAGCCAGTTTGTCTATTTGAAACATGGAGATGATACTTGACTCACATGATAATTGTGAGTGTTTGTGTAAGTATGGATATGTATTAGGTGTTTACTAACAGTATACAGTAAACACTTAATGAACAAAAGAGTATTAATAGTGCCTCCTATGGGTTGTCTGTGCAAAAGTGCTAATCCCAGTAACCCAGAGTGGTAGGTACTATGACTAATCCTAATTTTATAGATGATCCATTATTGTACAAGTTAATTATTGATAGAGCTGGGGTTCAAACTTCAGTAGTCTAACTTTAAAGCTGTTTGCCGGTATGATACATTGCACTCAGGCACCCAGAAATGATAACAAAAATAGATTTCTTTTACATAGGACAGATTCCTGAAATGGCAGTAGTGTATATTTTTTTCTAGTTGGTTTTAACCCAGGAAAGATTTTGAATGCTTTGATTTAGTTTAGATAAGTACAGTTATGTGATAGTCCTTGGGAGCCATACTTAAGGCTGCCCCACTATCTTCTTGTGACAGTGTCTAGCCTTTTGAGTGCTGTGTGGAATTATTTGGCACCTTTTGGATCACAATTTCCATTTCTTCTGTGTTCAGGCATAAAAAGTTGTTAAATGTAATATTTAGATCGTCTCATTTTATTCTTGCAATTACCCTATGAAATGTGTAGAAGCAGCACATTCTCATTTTCCAATTGAGAAAATAGGAGACACCAAATGGCTAATTGACAAGGTCACAAAGCAGCTTTGTGGCCTGAAAGGAGAGCTCAAATTTCCTGATCCCCATTCCTTGTTCACAGATTTGTTTTTCTTAATGAAAGTAAAAATATACCGAGATGGTTCTTGCCTTATGAACATAAAGATGATTTAGCCCTGGCCGGTTTGGCTCAGCAATTAGAGCGTTGGCCCGCAGACCAGAGAGTCTTGGGTTCGGTTTTGCTAAAGGCACGTACCTTGGTTGCAGTTTGTCCTCGGCCTGGTTGGGGTCATGTGGGTGGCAACCACTCAATGTGTCTCTTTCACATCGATGTTTCTCTCTCTCTTCCTCCCTTTCTCCCTCCTGCTCTATCTGAAGGTAAATGCAAAAAAAAAAAAAGTCCTCTAGTGAGGATAAAAAAAATAAAACGAATAAATAAAAATAAGATGATTTAAGAAGTGATTAATAAACTTATAGGTAGTTTTAAGAAGTACTGAAAAGTGTAAAGAAAACTAAAAGCTAACAGTACCACAAAGAGTTCTAGTAACATTTTGGAGCATTTCCTTCTGATTTTTTTCTCTTTGTATACGTAAAGAATTTTGAATGAGATTTTTACCATGTTGTTGTGTTGTGTGTAGATGAGTAAGTGTTTTTTTAAACATTACTTTTAAGTTCTGAGAATTTTGTGATTAAATATTTTTTGAAAATACTATTAATAAATATACGCATTCTATCATGTGGAAGTACTGCAAATTTTATTCCCTTATTTCTGTTATTAACAGTTTTTGCTATTATTAGTAATGCTATGGACACATTCCCAGAATTTTAGGGCATTTTATTTATTTATTTTATTTTTTTATCTTCACCCGAGGACATTTTTCCGTTTTTTTGTTCAGATAGGGTGGAAGGGAAAGAGAGGAAGACAGGGAGAAACATTGATGTGAAAGGGACACATCTAGTGGTTGCCACCCCCACAACCCCAACCAGGCCAAGGACAAACTGCAACCGAGGTACGTGCCCTTAGCGGGAACCAAACCCGGGTCTCTCAGGACCGCAGGCCAACACTCTAACTGCTGAGCCAAACCGACCAGGGCTGTAGGGCATTTTAAAAACTCTTTTGTGTTGGGAAATTGGTTTACAGAAAAGCTATGCCAGTTTATCTTTTTTTCATCAATATCTAATAGTGCCTGTCTTTGTATTCTTGCCTAGTGTGTTAACAATTATCAGTTTATAAAAACCTTTGCCAGTTTTAAAGAACAAAAATACTATCACCAGGCGTATTCAACACTTAATCATCTTTTACATTTCCTGAGTTACCTATTTCATTTGGTGCTTTTTCTAATAAGTTTATAAGAATTCTTTAATAGTTCATTTTCTCTCCACTGTTTAACAGTAGTCACTGATAAAGTCACTAGTTAAATTTCAGACTGGATGATTCTTGACTCAGATCCATCAGCTTCTTCTATACCTGTTTCTCCCCAGAATATTCCAAAATAATCATGTTTGCCAGGCAGTTTCATTCGTTTTCCAAAGTCAGACTTGGGTTTCTTTGACAATTTTTTTTAGACTGGCTAACTTTTTTTACGTCATTTTCAGTGCTTTTAAAAATCAATTCATTAGCATCCCTTGGGTCACAATTTGTATTTCTTCTTTTGTGAGACAGCCTAAATAGTCTTTAAGTTGTGTTGTTTTCTGGTAAAACTTTTTTGTAATCAACTTGACTGTCTTCTAGGTGTTGATTTCCTGATGAAACTCACATAAAACAGATCAGATGGAGGAAATAGTTTGCACATTAGAATGAGTGTCAGTCATGATGTGTCCTCCTCTCCTTCCCCAAAAGGAACAATTTTTGTTTTGTTTTGTTACTCTTCACTCGAGGATATCTTTCCATTGATTTTTAGATAAAATGGAAGGTAGGGAGAGGGAGAAAAACATTGATGTGAGAGAGACACATTGATTGGTTGCCTCTCACATGACCCCAACCAGGGCCAGGAGTTGAACCTGCAACCCAGGTACATGCCTTGACCGGGAATCGAACCTGCGACCCTTTGGTCTGAGGGCCACCACTAACCAGTGAGCCAAACTGGCCAAGGCAAGGAACACATTTTGTGTTATTTGTGAGATCTTTTTTCATGGATTTGTCAGGTGATTTTTGACTTGAACATTCTAAGTTTGAGTTTATAAAATGCAATCTTATTTTGTGCAGATTTTCAAGCCTCACTTCAAAAACATGGTTCTGAGGCCATCAGATGCATTTTGGTTCCTTAAACCCTTCCCATGACTAGTGTGCGTTCAGTACTTCTGATGCTGGAGCATGGCTGTGCGCTCACATCCTGTCACTCTTCTCAGAGAGTGGACCAGCCAGCTCCTGCCTGCATTTTCAGTTGTTGAGAGATGCTTATTCTTGTTGATTGCTGTGGTGCTTCTATTCCTCTTGTGTCATATTTAGCAGTTTTTCCTAGTTTGTCATTTGATTCTCTTCTTCATGGTGTATTTTGATATAGAAATTTAAAAGTTTATGTAGTTGTAAATCTTTCTTTGATTTCTATTGCTTTTGTATTTATAGTTCTTGCCTAGATAGTCTTAACTGTAGTACAGATCTTTTTTAACAATGTTTTCTTTGCTTTTTTTTTTCCTCTTTTAGTTGCAACTACTGGTCCGACAGTATGTTATAGTCAGTCACCAGCATATAATTCCCAGTGTCTTCTCAGACCAGCAACTAATGTTACTCCCACGAAGGTAACAAAGGAATAATTTATACATTTATAAATATTGTTTAGGCTTTCTTCAAAGAAATTCAAGAAGTAGTTCAGCATTTTATAACTTCTATGTCCCACAAGATACAGATATTTTAAATTTTTCTCCAGATACAGAGGTTATGCTTCTAAGCCATCTTATTTTTATGTTCAGTGTGAGCATTTAGAATATTTTAAAATGGGGTGGTAATGGGTCCCTTATCATTCTGTTTTGGCAGAAATAAGACTAGAATGTCCTTGTTGAACCACCATGTTCAGGCCTAAAGAGGCAAAGACCCAATATTACAACAGTATCTGAATGTGAAGCTTAAAGACAGAGGGTTTGAGTGCATGCAGGTCCTGGCTTTTTTGATCATTGTGACCTTGGGCAGGTGTCTTAATCTTTCTATACATTAGTTGCCTCATAGATGAAATGAGGATAATAATGTCTTAATTCATAGGGTTTTTGAGGATATTAAAATCAGATAATATATGTAAAGTACTTAGACATTGCTAAGTTGGCACATTAGTAAAGGCTCAATAAATGTTATCATCATCATCGTTATTTTCTTTTAAATATATTTTTCTGTTGATTTGAGAGAGAGAGCGGAAGGGAGGGGGGAGAGAGAGAAACACTGATGAGAGAGAACCATCTATCGGCTGCCTCCCACACGCCCCCTACTGGGGATCGAGCCCACAACCTGGGCTTGTGCCCTGACTGGGAATCAAACCAGTGATCTTTTGGTGAATGGGTCGATGCTCAACCAACTGAGCAACACTGGCCAAGGCCATCATCATCATTGTTACATCATTTGACACATTGTTTAGAAATGAAGAAAATATTTGTCCTATGCATTTATTGTAGGAGACTTTAAATTTTAAAATGCTGTCATGAGTTAAGGCAATTTTTATTATATGCCAAGAAGGAATATAATTGTAAGTATCTTTGTAGTAATGATGTCTTCCCTTAATGATGTACTACATTAAGTAATGATATCTTTACCTTATAATACTTATGTTTATAGTTTGTGACCATTGGTTTGTATCTAGTTACCTGTAGTTTTATAGACAACGTACAAAAGTTTTAACTTCTTCTTTCTTTCAGGGCCCAGTCTATGGCATAAATAGGCTTCCACCTCAACAGCATATGTATGGCTATCCGCAACAGATGCACACACCACCTGTGCAAAGCACATCTGCCTGTATGTTCTCTCAAGAGATGTATGGTCCTCCGTTGCGTTTTGAGTCTCCTGCCACAGGAATTTTGTCACCTAGGGGTGATGATTACTTTACTTATAATATTCAACAGACAAGCACAAACCCACCTTTGCCAGAACCAGGTTATTTCACAAAACCTCCAGTTGCAGCTCATGCTTCAAGATCTGCAGAATCTAAGGTTATAGAATTTGGTAAAACTACTTTTGCTCAGCCAGTGCCAGGTGAAGGAATAAGGCCATCGTTGACAGCACCTGCACACACAACACAGACAACTCCTTTTAAATTTAACTCAAACTTCAAGTCAAATGATGGTGATTTCACGTTTTCCTCGCCACAGGTTGTGACACAGTCCCCTTCTATGGCTTACAATAACAGCGAAAGCCTTTTAGGTCTTTTGACTTCAGAAAAACCTTTGCAAGGTGATGGTTATAGTGGAGCAAAAGCCATTGGACCCCGAAATACATTTAATTTTGGAAACAAAAATGTGCCTGGGATTTCATTTACTGAAAACGTGGGCCCAAGTCAGAAGAATTCTGGTTTTCGTCGAAGTGATGATCTGTTTACCTTCCATGGTCCAGGGAAGTCACTATTTGGAATACCTGCTCCAGAGCTGGCCAATAAGAATCATGAAGCAGATGGAGGGAGTGCGCATGGTGATGACGATGATGATGGCCCTCACTTCGAGCCTGTGGTTCCTCTTCCTGATAAGATTGAAGTAAAAACGGGTGAGGAAGATGAAGAGGAATTCTTTTGTAATCGTGCAAAATTGTTCCGTTTTGATGCAGAATCCAAGGAATGGAAGGAACGTGGAATTGGCAATGTAAAAATACTAAGACATAAAACATCTGGTAAAATTCGCCTTTTAATGAGACGAGAGCAAGTATTGAAAATCTGTGCAAATCATTACATCAGTCCAGATATGAAACTGACACCAAACGCTGGATCAGACAGATCTTTTGTATGGCATGCTCTTGATTATGCAGATGAGTTGCCTAAGCCAGAACAACTTGCTATTAGATTCAAAACTCCTGAGGAAGCAGCACTTTTTAAGTGCAAGTTTGAAGAGGCCCAGAACATTTTAAAAGCCCCAGGAGCAAAGGTAGCCACAGGCACAAATAAGGCTATGAGAATCGTAAAAGAACCTACAAGTCATGATAATAAAGATATTTGTAAATATGATGCCAGAAACATGAATTTTGAATTTCAGGCAGCAAAGAAAGAAGGATCTTGGTGGCACTGCAACAGCTGTTCATTAAAGAATGCTTCAAGTGCTAAGAAATGTGTTTCGTGCCAGAATCTAAACCCAAGCAACAAAGAATTCCTTGGCCCACCGTTCGTTGAAACTGTTTCCTCTCTTAAAACTAGCACAGAAAATACTCCAGATAGGTTTGCGTTGATCATGCCAAAGGAAGTAGGTCACTGGGATTGTAATATTTGCTTAGTGAGAAACGAACCTACTTCATCTAAATGCATTGCATGCCAGAATACAAAGTCTGCTAGCAAAAGTGGATCTTTATTTGTCCGGCAACCTTCCTTTAAATTTGGCCAGGGAGATCTTCCTAAGTCTGTTAGTGTCAGAAGATCTGTTTTTTCTGTAAAGGAAGGACAGTGGGATTGCAGTGTATGCTTGGTACAAAATGAAGCAAACGCTACAAAATGTGTTGCTTGTGAGAATCCGAGAAAACAAAACTTGCCCACTTCTGTTTCAGCCCCTGCTGCTGCTTATAAGTTTGGTGCTTCAGAGATAAGTAAAACTCCAAAGAGTGGAGTTGACAACATGTTTGCTAAAAAGGATGGACAGTGGGATTGTAGTGTATGCTTAGTACGAAATGAAGCAAATGCTACAAAATGTGCTGCTTGTCAGAATCCTGGTGTACCGAGTCTGTCTGCTGCTGTTACAGCACCTGCCTCTTTTAAGTTTAGTACATCAGAGACAGGCAAAGCCACAAAGAATGGATTTGAAGGAATGTTCACCAAGAAGGAAGGACAGTGGGATTGTAGTGTTTGCTGTGTGCGAAATGAAGCAAACACTACCCAATGTGTTGCTTGCCAGAATCCAAGTACACAAAGTCAGCCTACTCCTGCTATACCCACACCTACCTCTTCAGAGACAGACAAGGCCACAAAGAGTGGATTTGAAGGAATGTTCACCAAGAAGGAAGGACAGTGGGATTGTAGTGTTTGCTGTGTGCGAAATGAAGCAAATACTACCAAATGTATTGCTTGTCAGAATCCAAGTACACAAAGTCAGCCTACTCCTGCTATACCCACACCTGCCTCTTCAGAGACAGACAAGGCCACAAAGAGTGGATTTGAAGAACTGTTTGCTAAGAAGGAAGGACAGTGGGATTGTAGTGTTTGCTGTGTGCGAAATGAAGCAAATACTACCAAATGTGTTGCTTGTCAGAATCCCAGTACACAAGATCAGCCTACTCCTGCTATTCCCACACCTGCCTCTTCAGAGACAGACAAGGCCACAAACAGTGGATTTAAAGGAATGTTCACCAAGAAGGAAGGACAGTGGGATTGTAGTGTTTGCTGTGTGCGAAATGAGCGTTCTTCCTTAAAATGTGTGGCTTGTTCTGCCTCCATGCCAGCTCATAAACCTGTTGTGGAAGCTCCTTCAGCTTTCACATTGGGCCCAAAAACTAAGTTAAATGACTCTTCTGGAAGTCAGGTGGGAACAGGATTTAAAAGTAATTTTTCAGAAAAATCTTTTAAATTTGGCATCACAGAACAAGGATTTAAATTTGGGCATGTGGATCAAGAAAATACACCTTCATTTCCATTTCAGAGTTCTTCTAATACAGACTCTAAGTCAACAGTAGAAGGGTTTAATTTTTCTATTCCTGTGCTTGCTGATGGATTTAAGTTTGGTGTTCAGGAACTGGGAAATCAAGAGAAGAAGAGTGAAAAGCCCCTTGAAAATGACAGTGGTTTTCAAGCTCAGGGTGTTAGCAGCAGTCAGAAGAATGGGAGTGGTGTGATTTTTGGTCAGACTGGAAGCACTTTTACCTTTGCTGATCTTGCAAAGTCAACTTCTGGAGAAGGATTTCAGTTTGGCAAAAAAGACCCTAATTTCAAGGGATTTTCAGGTGCTGGAGAAAAATTATTCTCATTGCAAACTGGTAAAATGGCTGATAAAGCTGACACTTCTGCTGACCTTGAGAAAGATGATGATGCCTATAAGACTGAGGACAGTGATGACATCCATTTTGAACCGGTAGTTCAAATGCCTGAAAAAGTAGAACTTGTAACAGGAGAAGAAGATGAAAAAGTTCTTTATTCACAGCGGGTAAAATTATTTAGATTTGATGCTGAGATAAGTCAGTGGAAAGAAAGGGGTTTGGGGAACTTAAAAATTCTCAAAAATGAAGTCAATGGCAAACTTAGAATGCTAATGCGAAGAGAGCAAGTACTAAAAGTGTGTGCTAATCATTGGATAACTACTACAATGAACCTGAAGCCTTTGTCTGGATCAGATAGAGCATGGATGTGGTTAGCTAGTGATTTTTCTGATGGTGACGCCAAACTAGAGCAGCTGGCAGCAAAGTTTAAAACACCAGAGCTTGCTGAAGAATTCAAGCAGAAATTTGAGGAATGCCAGCGACTTCTATTAGATATACCGCTTCAAACCCCCCATAAACTGGTGGATACTGGCAGAGCTGCCAAATTAATACAAAGAGCTGAAGAAATGAAGAGTGGACTAAAAGATTTCAAAACAGTTTTGACAAATGATCAAACAAAAGTCACTGAGGAAGAAAGTAAGAATTCAGATGCAGGTGCTGCCCTTGTTTCAGACGTAACCAGCAAGCCGAATCCTGAAAACACTGGGCCCACGTTAGAGTGGAGTAACTATGATTTAAGGGAAGATGCTTTGGATGACAGTGTGAGTAGTAGCTCAGTACATGCTTCTCCACTGGCAAGTAGCCCTGTGAGGAAAAATCTCTTCCGCTTTGGGGAGTCAACAACAGGATTTAACTTCAGTTTTAAGTCTGCTTTGAGTCCATCTAAGTCTCCTGCCAAGTTAAATCAGAGTGGGACCACAGCTGGCAATGATGAAGAATCTGATGTTACTCAAGATGAAGAGAGAGATGGACAGTACTTTGAACCTGTTGTCCCTTTGCCTGATCTAGTTGAAGTGTCCAGTGGTGAGGAAGATGAACAAGTTGTTTTTAGTCACAGAGCAAAACTCTATAGGTATGACAAAGATGTTGGTCAGTGGAAAGAAAGAGGCATTGGTGATATAAAGATTTTACAGAATTATGATACTAAGCAAGTTCGCATAGTGATGAGAAGGGACCAGGTATTAAAACTTTGTGCCAACCACAGAATCACTCCAGACATGACTCTGCAAAACATGAAAGGGACAGAAAGAGTGTGGGTGTGGACTGCATGTGATTTTGCAGATGGAGAAAGAAAAGTAGAACATTTAGCTGTTCGTTTTAAACTACAGGATGTTGCAGACTCATTTAAGAAAATATTTGATGAAGCAAAAATAGCCCAAGAAAAAGATTCTTTGATAACACCTCATGTTTCTCTTTCGACCACGCCCAAAGAGTCACCATGTGGTAGAGTCGCTGTCGCTGTATTGGAGGAAACCACAAAAGAGAGGACAGATCTGCTGCAGGGTGACGATGCAGCAGATGTAACCTCAGAAGCTGGAGACATGTCTGGTGCCTCTGAAACAGCAACTAAAGCAGTGGTTTCTCCCCCAAAATTCGTATTTGGGTCAGAGTCTGTGAAAAGCATTTTTGGTAGTGAAAAATCAAAACCATTTACATTTGGCAACAGTTCAGCTACTGGGTCTTTGTTTGGATTCAGTTTTAATGCACCTTTAAAAAATAACAGTGAAGCTAGTTCAGTAGTTAAGAGTGGATCTGAAAGACAAATGGAACCTAATAATCTCGAAGAGTCAAAGAACTCTGATATTAAACAGTCTTCAGATGGCAAAGTCAAAAATCTCTTTGCTGCTTTTCCGAAGGAAGAGTTCTCAACTAATTACACATTTAAGACACCAGAAAAGGGTAAGCATTTACTTTTAATAGATTAAGCAAATTTTTATTTTATATTTTTCTTTGTAATGTTTATCTTGATGCACTCTTTGTAAGATACTAATATTTTACCAAAAGTTGAGTCATGAACACAGTGTTTTGTGAACAGCCAAAAGACATTTGTGCAGAATATTTTTCTCCTGATCTTATTTTACCTGTGAGTGATCAAACAGTAACAGAGTATCTGTTCAAGTTATTTAGGAGGTTTTAATAACTAGAAGATACTCATATCATGCTTAGGGCAGAGCCCACAAACCCATTGCAGCACTGAAGATTAGTCACTTGTACTTGAATTATGAACATTAACTTGAGACTTTTTTTTAAAGTATTCTTTAATTTATCATTGCTATTTTATTGTCACTCAAAAATAAAAAACAACAACACAATATTGAGATGTTCACATTTTAGTCTTGCCACTATTTATTAAATGAACAAAGAATGAACTTGTAAATAAGTATGTAAAGTGGCCAAATTGGTATAAATTGAGGGACTCTGGCTTTTTATATTTTAACATTATATTCCTTTGATTCTCAAAATGTTCAAAAATTAAATACTCTTTATTTTCTAGGATTTAATTTTAGTCATTTTAAAACTAATCCAATGGCTTTTTGGACCAGCACCCCATCCTCACAGCCTGAGAACAAAGGTATAGAGAGCATTCTCAGTGTGAGGTGACGTCAGTTTTTAGCAGCTGGTAGTCTTTAGCAGAGTAACTGGCTGTACGGAATTAAGTACTTAACACTACAGTGTGCATGTTAGAGAATGCCAGTTTAAAAGCAAGTAACTTTTGACTGGTGGTGTAATACCATTTGTTGCTGTTTTTTTAAATGTACTTGGATGTCATTTTTCTCACTATTGCATAACATTATTTTGCTGTAGTTCAGTGTGGTCTTTACCTTTCACTGCTTTATACTTCATTACTCAGTTATTTTCTACTCTGCATAATAAAGACCTGTATTTTATCTAACCTTTATCTTTTTAAAAAAAATGTTTTCATTGATTTTTTTTTTTAAGAGAGAGGAAGGAAGGGAGAGAGATAGAAACACTGATGTGAGAGAGAAACATCGATTGGCTGCCTCCTACAGGCTCCCTACTGGGGATCAAGCCCACAAGCTGAGCATATGCCCTGACCAGGAATTGAACCAGGACCTCTCAGTCCAAGGGACGATGCTTAATCCACTAAGCCACATAGACCGGGCTCTCTAACCTTTATCTTTAGTCACTAATGTCGGCCTGTGTCCTAACATGTGATGGCAACAGTATGTATACAGCATAAAATGGGGTGTCCCTTTAGGGCTATTCTTTTGGACATGTTTGAGAAATGATTGTATTTGAAAGCATACCCCATTTTTAACATCCACCATTATATTTCTGGTATGTTATATATGCAGTACAGATCTTTCGTAAAATAGAGTGGAATCTCTTAAAGACCTTCAAGGGCACAATTAGAGAGATGAAACCTCACTATTAGTGTCTAACAGTGTATCTTGAGCAACCCAACTGTGTTATAGATTGCCAGACTAGTACATTGATAAAATGAAAATCCTTGATTTCTAGGGCCTTCAGTTTTAAAGTATACCCATTTTACTACTAACTAAAGCAACTCTTAAGCTTTATTTTAAATGATGTCGTCTTTGAGAAACTATGTGAAAAGTGTGGGCTCTTTTCTGCAAAGGATATATACTTACCACCGACTCTGTGGGCCCTAGGTTAAGAATCCCTGGCCTAAGAGCAATTTTACCGGTATACTTCTCTATGACAAACAACACTATTTTGTTTCAAATGTATGTCAGAGTCCCAAAAGATCTTAGAGACAAAGACTCCAGACATGCGGAAATGATGCCCAGCAGGCTATTCAATATGTTGAAGTTTTTACCAGCTCACAACAGATCTGGAACAAGAATCTGTCTTAACGATAATTTGTACTGTCCCTGGCTAGGAATTGAAACTAAGTTTTTGTAATGAAGGAGACTGAAAGGCAAGTTGAATGTTGCAAAAGGGCTCTAGTTCTTCAGGTCAGTGCCATCCCATAAAAATAAATATGACCTGTATGTGAAATTTAAAACTTTCTAATAGCCATATTAAAAAATAAGCAACAGGTGAAAAAAGAGAAAAGATGAAATTAATTTTAATAATAAAATTCAGCCCTGGCCGGTTTGGCTTAGCGGTTAGAGCGTCAGCCTGCAGTCCAGAGAGACCTGGGTTCCTGCTAAGGGCACATACCTCGGTTGCAGTTTGTCCCCAGCCCAGGTTGGGTTGTGTGGGAGGCAGCCACTTTCATGTGTGTCCCTTTCATGTCGATGTTTCTCTCTCTCTTCCTCTCTCTCCCTCCCATTCTATGTGAACAAAAAATGGAAAAATGTCCTTGGGTGAGGATAAAAAATAAAATAAAATAATAAAAAATAAATGTCAGTTTAACCCATTATATCCAAAGTATCATTTAAAATTCTAATGAGTGTAAAATTAAATACTTTATATCTTTTTGGTACCAAGTCTTCAAAATCCAGTGTGTGTTTTTATACTTGCAACACATCTCAGTTTGGACTGGCCACATTTTAAGTGCTTAATAGCCACATTGACTAGGCTACCATATTGGACAATGCTTCAGTTCCTTTACCTAGAAATTATTTTTTATAGACCAGAACAGCTTGTATGAAGAATTCCTTTTCTCTACTTTTTTTGTCCCTCCTCCCCGTTTTTTTGTTGTTGTCCTTATTGGTTTCTCAGCTATAGAAATTGTCTTAAATTTTTATTGTATTACTGATTTGTAGGACAATATTTTTATTAAATTTTATGTTACCGTGCTTGGAAACATTTGATACTGGATGTAACTCTAATCGCCTGCTGTCCTTGGCAATTGTTCACTTTCTTTGTGGGAACTAATCAAAGTAGGGTTTGCACTAGTTTTATATTTACACTACTTTTTCTTATGATTGCTTTAATTTTTTGTTATTGAAAATGCATGCATATTTTGCCGAACTGTTGTCTAGTATGTCAAATATGGTTATGCCAGCACTTTTTAAATACCTTTTAAAATTATAGACATTAATAGTAATTGTTTTTAATGATCAGCAAGTAAAAGCAGGATTTTGTTTAAATCCTCGCCTGAGGATATGTTTTTATTGATTTTTAGAGAGAGAGAGGATGGGAGAGAGAGAGAGAGAAACATTGATTGGTTGCCTCCTGTACATATTCTGACCGGGGATCGAACCTGCGACCTTTGGGTGCATAGGATGCTCCAAGTATTTGAACCACACCGACCAGGGCAATTTATAGATTGTGTGTTCACAGGTGGTTTCTGATAGAACATGACATTCAATATCTGTAATGTCTACTACTAATTCTAATTCAGTATTATTATAGAGTTCTTTCCATATCGAAGTATATATGTTTTTATTAGTATGTTCTTTTCACCTACAGGTAAGTTTTATGGTTTTTACTTTAAGTTAGAATATTGATGTTAATACTTACTTAATATCTTGTCTGTCAATTTTTTTGACTTGTGTTACAGAAAAAGAGAAGGTAACACCTGAAGACCCCCCCTCAGATGATGATGTTCTCATTGTGTATGAGCTCACCCCAACTCCTGAGCACAAAGCTCTTGCAAGCAAACTCCAACTTCCTCCGACTTTTTTCTGCTACAAGAATAGACCAGATTATGTTAGCGAAGAAGAGGAGGATGGTAAATCTTTTGTTATTTTACAAGCATTGTTTTTATGCTAATCTTAGTAATTGAGAGGTGTGGTTAAATTCTATTAAGCCTGTTTTTTTATCCTAAATATATGTGTAAATAGTCAGTGGATGTAATGATTGAAAGGACGGCATTCATTTATTAAGCAAGCAGTTTTTGGATGCCTACCATGATCAGGGTAGGCATTTTGAGGCATTAGAAAGCAATCATAATTTTCTTGCAGTCCTAGAGGGATTGGAGAGTGATGAGGCAGATGGGTTCGATTATGGAAAACTTGGTGTTCCCTATCAGATTTAAGCAGGGGAGCTACAGAGAAGTTTCAGTCGGACCATGTGGATAGTGGTATAAAGGATTGGGTTGTGGGACATGGACATAGCTAGGTAGATGAGTTAAAATAATAATAGAGCAGCTCAAACAAGCGGAATGCCTTAGTGAAAGTTCTAACAGAGGAAGCATTAGGGATATAGAATTGGCAACATTGTTTGCTATTTGGATGTGGGGAGTAAGGAAAAGGGAAGTTGGAGATAATTTCTAGATCTGGTTAGAAAAACTTCTGACACTAGAAATTCTTTTATTTAATAAAATCAATTATACTTTAAGATGAAGATTTTGAAACAGCTGTCAAGAAACTTAATGGAAAACTATATCTGGATGACTCAGAAAAATACAAACCATTAGAAAAAAATCTAACAGGTATGTAAAGTTAAAATAACTAATTTTTTAAAAAATCTTTTATTTGTAAGGAACCTCCCAATCTGATTATTTTTGTAATTGCCAGTTTTATTAATACAATGTGCCCTTGGTGATTTAAAGTATCTTTAAACAATATCGAGTGAAAAGCACTACTCTCCTGGTGGCGGTGGGTCTCCGCTAGTGCTCAGGTCTTGTCGCCTGGGTCTGCGATCTGCACATGTCATTGTGGGCCATTGTTGTAGAGTAGTTGTACTTCATCTACTTTTATCTTAACTTTCTTTTGTTTGTGTTGTATGGAATTTTCAGAAAATGAGAAAGAATGTATTATTGTTTGGGAAAAGAAACCAACAGTTGAAGAGAAGGCAAAAGCAGATACATTAAAACTTCCACCTACATTTTTCTGTGGCGTCTGCAGTGATACGGATGAGGACAATGGAAATGGGGAAGACTTTCAGTCAGAACTTCAAAAGGTTCGGGAAGCTCAAGTAAGAACACTTCCATTGTTTTCCTTCTGGTTCAGTTGGCTTTGTTGATGCAATAAACTAGAATGTTCTTACCAAATGGTAATAATGTGTGTTGGCATGAATTGGGCATCTACTAGTCAGCTATGTCCAGAGAAGGCATTTTCATAGATGACTATAAAGGTTCACCCCTCTTTGTGTGTTGGATTTTGGGGAATGGGGGTAGCATAGACTATGCAGATATTTTTCTTATCTTTTTTTTTATCCTCACCCCAGGATATTTTTCCATTTATCTTCAGATAGAGTGGGAGGGAGAGAGAGAGAAACATTGACGTGAGAAGGACACATCAATTGGTTGTCTCCTGCACGACCCCAACCAGGGCTGGGGACAAACTGCAACCAAGGTACATGCCCTTGGTTGGAATCAAACCTGAGACTCTTTGGTCTGCAGGCTGATGCTCTAACTGCTGAGCCAAACAGGCCAGGGCTACAGATATTTCTAAGAATGCCTACCTTAATACCAGGAACAGGATTGAGTGGTTCATTTCTTCATGTCAGTTAGTTTATTCTAGGGTGAGCAGAGTGGACAGGCAGTGACAGCATTTGAAACCTTGTATTTATACCTTGCTTTGTCAGTAATGTCATGACTTAATTCCTTTTTTAGCTCAGATGTAGTGATCATTTGAATAGCTGTCAACACCTTGGTGTTGTAATTTGTATTGCACAGAAATTGGAAGACAAGGTCTGTGTCTAGCAGTTTTTTACAGTCTAATACTGACATATATTCAGAATGGTTCCTTGTCTCCTCAAGTGAAACTATTATTGTTGGGAAGATGGTTAAAATGAAATAGAGTCCTGGAGCCAGTTATGAATACAATGGTTTAATGAAAGGATCTGTAGCTAGAGAGAGATGTGATCCAGTACATGGTCTGTGACTGAGGAATCTAGCTGACCACTTTTTCCAGGTGTCTACCTGGGAAGTGCCAGCTGTTCAGTAGGTCTCAATTTATTCTTCACTGTAATAGCCATCAGCTAATATTGCAACATCACTTCCTCAGTTATAACTGAATAGATTTACCTGTGGAAGTTCTCTTGGAAGTTTTTGCATCAGTGGCCTCTATGTATGCTAAATCTAAAGAGTTTTCAAATCATCAACAGTTTCTCTGGAAGTATACAATATGCCATTTCTGTTTGCCTTCTCTAATCACTGGTGTTAGAGGCTTTATCATGCAGTTATTCATTCCGCAAGTACAGTATTGTATTAATACAAATACGGATTTTGCAAACTGAAACAACACAATTTTTATTTTATTGATTTTTAGAGAGAAGGAACGAAGGAGAGGAAGAGAGAGAAAGAGAAGCATCAATGCGAGAGCGAAACATTGATTGATCGTCTGCCTCCCGTATGTGCCCTGGCCGGGGATTGAACCTACCATCTTTTCGGTGAATGGGATAATGGCTCCAACCAGCTGAGCCACACTGGCTAGGGCAACACAGTGCAGTTTAAATGTGCACCACTCGTATGTGCAAAACTTAAAAGTAAAACTGAAAAACAATTAACCTAAAATCTTATAAAATATCCTGTAACATCATAATGTTCACTAAGTAGCAGTACTAGAGCTTCTCCAAAAATACCTTTGGTACAGAAGTTAAATGAGATAATTACTGTAAAGGTTGAAAAAATGCTATACTAAATTGTAATTTTGCAGGAGAGCAGGGCGCCCTTTGATATATGGATGAAGAGCTAAAAATTATCCAAATTAAAATATGCTGTAGTGGATGGAGATTTCTGCCCTTTTAGATTTTTTTTTTAAATCCTCATCCGAGGACATTTTTGCATTTATCTTCAGATAGAGCAGGAGAGAGAGAGGGAGGAAGAGAGACAGAGAGAGAAACATCAACATCGAGTGGTCGCCACCCATACGACCCCAACTGGGGCTGGGGATAAACTTCAACCGAGGTACTTGCCCTTAGTGCAAACTAATCCTGGAACTTTATGGTCCGCGAGCCCACGCTCCAACCCCTGAGCCAAACCAGCCAGGGATCTGCCCTTTTAGAATACATTCTTCCTGCTTTACGCTCAGTCTCATTCCTAGTGGATGACGCAAGGTCTTCAGAAATACATATCCCTTGCATAAAATGCCTGTGCACAGTATTTATAAATGTGTACTATGAGCTAGCAGTGTGCTGAGGATCGGGGCTATAGTATTGAACAAAACAAGTAATTTGATTTGTTTGCAAGGAGTTTTTCATTCAGAGACTCTAAGGGGAGGGTGTGTTAGCCGAATTAAAATACACCCCTCCGCTCAAGTAATCTAGTCTGTATTTATTGTGATACAATTCAAATACCATTTTAAAGTGTGCATTTCAATGGTTCTTAGTATATAAGCATGGTTGTGCAACCATCACCACAAATCAGTTTTAGAACATTTTCATTGTCACAAAAAGAAATTTTGTAACCTCTGGTAGTCAACACACTCCCTCATTTTCACTCAACTTCTGTAGCTCTAGAAAAGCATGGTTGTACTTTCTGTCACTGTATATTTGCGTTTTCTGGAGATTACATATAAAAAGATCATAATATGTGGCCATTTGTGTATGGCTTCTTTCACTTATTTCTTTTTAAGAGGGTATCTATCTACATTTCAGCATATATCTGTATTTCATTTCTTTTTATGGCCAAATAATATCCCATTGTATGAGTAATACCACATTTTAGTTAATCGATTTATCTGTTGATGGCCATCTGGGTTGTTTCCACTTTTTTCCACTCTTATGGAAAATACTGTCATGATACTCTAAACCATTTATTGTATCCTTGTGTTTCAGGATATTAAGAAATAGTGACCTTTTTCATTTGCATCAGTATTTTTATATACATAAGCAGAATTCACTTTTGTAGTGTGTATGTGTGAGTGATTTCTGTGGGTTCTTACACATGCCTGCATTTGTTATCCCGCCACAGACAGGAGACGGAGCACATCCTCCTCCACCCATAACCTCTGGCAACTGCCGATCTGTTTTCTGTTTCTATATTTTTGCCTTTTCCAGACTAAAATATAAATGGAATCATACATATGTACTTTGATCCCAGCTTTTTTTACTCAGCATAATGCCCTTGAGATTTGTCTACATTATTATGGATAGTAATAGATTATTTCTTTTTATCCCCATGTAGTATTCCATTGTGTGGATGTGCCAGTTTATTCATTAATCCATTGAAGATTATTTCAAGTTTAGTTTCTTAAAAAGTGGAAGCTTATTTACTTAAGACTGTTTTTCATTTTTAATATAAATACTTCATACTGTAACTTTCTTTCTTAAGAACTGTTTAGCTCCATCCCACAAATTTTAATGTATGGCATTTTCACTTTCATTCAGTCTAAACATCTTTCCTTGAGACATTCTTTTTGAGATGAGATGTACATTAGGTAGTGGTATATTGCTTTCAAAAACTTGAAATTTTTTTTCCAGCTAGCATTCTGTTATTGATTTCTAATTTACTTCATTATTGCTTGTGTCTTTCAAGGAATTGGGCCATTTAGTCTGTTAGAAAATGTGTGGGTATAACACTGTTTATGAAGTTAGGAAGTTCATTAAAATTTATCACCTTTTTAATGTCCGTGGATCAGTAGTTACGGCTCCTCTCTTATTTCTAATATAATTTGTGTCTTTCTTCTTGTTTTTGTTTAGCCTGGTTAGAAGTTTATGAATTTTATTGATTTTTTTTTCAAAAAAATCAGCTTTTGATTTTTTTTTCTCTTCCTTATTTCCTGTTGTATTGATTTCTACTCTACTTTCATTATTTCTTCTTCTGTCTTTAGGTTTGCTCTTTTTATGGTTTCTTGTGGTGGAAGTTTATTGATTTTAGATTGTTTATATATGCATTCAGTGCTACCGCGTTCCCCCCTCCTTGTTTTTGCTGCATTCCACAAATTTTGATAAGTTGTAGTTTAATTTTTATTTAGTTCAAAATATTTTTAACTTGTCTTGAGACTTTCTGACACATGTATTATTTAAAAGTGTACTGTTTAGCCCTGGCCGGTTTGGCTCAGCGGTTAGAGCATCGGCCTGCGGTCCAGAGAGACCCGGGTTCGGTTCCCGCTAAGGGCTTGTGCCTTGGTTGCAGTTTGTCCCCGGCCCTGGATGGTCGTGCGGGTGGCAGCCACTTGATGTGTCCCTTTCACGTTGATGTTTTTCTCTCTCTCTCTGTTCCTCTCTCTCTCTCCCACTCTATCTGAACAAAAAATGGAAAAATGTCCTCAGGTGAGGATAAAAAATAAAAGTGTACTGTTTAATCTCCAGATATTTGGGTATTTTTCTGGCTATATTTCTGTTAATTCCATTGTGAACTGAGAGCATGCTTTGTGTGATTTGTGTTCTTTTGAGTTTGGTGAGCTGTGTTTTATGGTCTAGAATCTGGTTTCTTTTGGTACATGTTCCAGGTGAGCTTAAGAGGAATATACAAGGGTGGGCAGAAGTGGGTTTGAATTCCACCACCTCAGTAAGCAGTGGGGTTGACCCAAGCAGGTCACTGAAAATTCAGGTTTGTGTACTGATTTTTAAAGACTACAAGAATATGTAAATAATTAAGACTGGCAATTTAAGGAGATGACACTGTGCCATTGTGACATTGTTTTGAGTTTATAAAGTTATTGTAATAGTCATAATCATAAACTGCATATCTTTTTCCATACAAACAGCTCTAAACCTACTTTTGCCCACCCCTATATATTCTGTAAATTGTAAAATGTATGTTATTGTATTTTTCATTGTAAAATTCCCGTTTGATTATTTATACCTTCTATTTCTTTGCTGAGAACTTTTAGTTTTTCATATGTTTTAAAAGCATTTGTCCTTATCTCTTGGAGCTTTGTTATAATAGCTTCTTTAACGTCTTATCATTCAACACATGGATCATTTCATGACATCTCTCATTTCCCTGGCCAGAGAATTGGCTTTTCTTGGGACATATTCCATCTATGCCATTGACAGCTACAGTCTTTTATTTGTTTTTTAATCCTCACCCAAGGATATGTTTTTAATGATTTGAGAGAGAGAGAGAGAGGAACATTGATGTGAGAAATATCACATCGCCTCCTGTGTGCACCCCGACCAAGGATTGAACCCGCAACCTGGGTATGTGCCCTGACCCAGAATTGAACCCGCAACCTTTTGCTGTATGGAATGACCAACTGAACCACTCGGCCAGGGCGACAGCTCCAGTTTTAGGGGCTGTGCTAGCACCTGCTGGGATTTTGGTTGGGGGGTGTGTGTGAAAACCCACCCCATAAGGTTCTCACCACCAGATTATCCCTCAAGGTTTGAGATTCTCAATCCTCCTGCTTTCATTCACTTTTCACGGGCTTCTTTTAATTGCTTTATCTGTTTAAATTCAGTTTAGTTGTAGGTACTGGGAGAGGTAGGATGGAGTATGGAATGGGAGATACAAGGTGAAGTGTGCTAGATATCCAAGTGCTCACTTTCTTTTAAAATAGGGTATATGATCTTTCTTGTCAATCAGTATTTAATGGCAGTTTCTTGTTACTTTGCAGAAATCCCAGAATGAGGAAAAAGCTAGCACAGCTGACAGTGTGTGTGCAGATGGGACGGAAGTGACTGTACCATTTTTATGTAAATCTGAAGAACCTGATTTTACAACCAATGCTGTTAGTTCACCATCTATTTTTTCTGGAACTGGGGACAAACCTGTAGATTTGTCTACTAGAAAGGAAAATGATGCAGTTTCTACAAGCCAAGGTAAAATTTGATACATGTTTACAAAAACCTTCTAGGTATACATTACATGAGGTACACCTGTATGTTTGAAGACAGACTTTTAAATGTATATTCTAGAACTCCCTTTCTTAAAACAAATTTTAAAGTATATATAGGGGCCTAAGATATGTCATAATAATCAGAAAATACTGCCTTCCCAACAGAAAATAAACAAGTATTTTTATTGTTAGATTTGAAGTTATTAGGGAATACAAAGCATTATGACTCTGACCTATCAACCTGAGAATAAATAATAACAGTTTGCTTACATGGAAATTTTCTTTGTGATAGTATTTTTATTTGTAGTCCCCGCTTATTCATGGGATATATGTTTCAAGACCCCCAGTGGATGCCTGAAACTGCAGGTAGTACTGAACCCCATATACTCAGTTTTTTCATATATATATACACACACACACACACACACACACACATATATACATATATATATATATGTGTGTATATATATATACACACACATTTTCATCCCTCTGTATCTGTGGGGGTGTGGTTCCAAGATCCCCTTCTCCTTGCCACAGATACCAAAATTGGTGAATGCTCAAGTCCCTTATATAAAATGTAGTGTTTCCATACAAACTAGCACATCCTCTTGTATACTTTAAGTCATCTCTACACTACTTATAATTCCTAATACAATGTAAATGCTGTGTAAATGTTGTTACTGTATCATTTAGGGGATAATGGCAAGGAAAAAATCTACATGTTCAGTACAAAGGAATCATGGACCTAAGCACACAGTATAGCAACAACATAATGTTTTTTTGTTGTCGGATATTTTTTACCTTCATTTGATTGAATTCAAGGACAATGCAGAATCTGCAGATATAGGGAACTGACTATACAGACCTATAAAGTTTAATTTATAAATTAGGCACAGTAAGATTAAAATAACTAAAAAATAGAGCAATTATAACAATATATTGTAATAAAGATTATCTGATCTCTCTTTCCCTGTCTCTGAAAACCAAGACAGCTACCAAGTGACTAAAGGACAGGCAGCCTATATAGCCTGGATACACTGGGCAAAGGGATGATTCATATCCCATGTGGGATAGAGCAAGGATGGTGTGAGATTATATCATGCTACTCAGAACAGCATACATTTTAACATTTATGAATTGTTTGTTTCTGAAATTTTCCATTTAGTATTTTTGGACCATGATAGACCATGGGTAATTGAAACTGTGGAAAGCAAAACTGAATATAAGGGCGACTGCTATTTTGTTTGAATTATATTGTCAATGAAGTATATTAAAATTGTTTGAAGTTAATATGAAGAATTTGTAGAAATATTATAGTGGGCGTTTAAAATGTTTATGATACTATAGGTAACCCATGAACAACATGTCTGAACTGCATGGGTCCACTTAGCTGTGGGTTCTTTTCAATAAGTACTGTAAATGTGTTTTCCTTATGATCTTTTAAACATTTTATTTTATTTTTTATTTATTTTTTCTATATTGATATTGGAGAGAGAGAGAAGAACGAAGAGGGAGGGAGAGAGAGAGAGAAACACTGATGAGAGAGAACATCAACTGGCTGCCCCCTGCATGCCCCCCACTAGGGATCAGGCCCACAACCTGGGCATGTGCCCTGACCAGGAATCGAACCAGCGACCACTTGGTGCATGGGTCGATGCTCAACCACTGAGCCACACCGGTCAGGCTCTTCCTTATGATCTTAATAACATTTTCTTTTCTCTAGCTTACTTTATTGTAAAAATACAGTGTATAATACTACATAAAAATTTGGGTCCATCAACTTCTGGACAACAGTAGACTATTAATACTTATGTTTTGGGGGAGTCAAATGTTATATGTGAATTTTTTACTGTATTGGGGATTTGGCACCCACCCCCTAAATCCGTGAGTTTGAGTCAACTGTACTTGTCTTTTTTTTTCTCTACCCACTTCATTAAATTAGGTATCCGATTATAGTAATTAATATTTAATATGCTTTCCCTGTTTTTTCATTCCAATTGATATATTAGGAGGGGGGAATCTTTTAAAATTGCGTTGCTATATATGTGTACATTGTCTATATTACCTAATTTTTTCAAAAGTAGTTCTGAATAAATCACAAATGTTACATGTATAGGCACTTTAGAGTCTTAATATGCTAGAAGAGGATGGTAACTTCAGACCTAACATCCCATTTTCAGCTGAGGACACAGGACTCCGAGGTCCTGCAGCTGCACTTTGGCAGAAGTGAGACAAGACTCCCAAACTCCTGGTGACCAAATATTTAAAAGAATGTTTTTAATTAGTTTATCATTTATAATAGCACAGAACATCTTTATGGAGATACATCCGAATATTCTGCTTTAAATGCATGTTTTAGATTATAGAAGACAGTATAAATCAGAAACTATATACCTTTATATCTGGCTTAGTATATAGATCTACATCTCATTTAAAAAATTTATATTTGACATGCTTTTGGTGTAGTGTGCATTGAGAATAATACCTGTAAACTTAGAAATGCCGAAGAAGCTCAGAATTGGCTGAATTTTGTAAAAAATTTTTCAGAGAAATAACCTAAAGATAAATGCTCCATATCCAACCCCCAACCCCCTGAGTAATCAAGAAGGTTCTACCCCAATTGCCTCTGGGTCCTCAATAAAACTTTGATATTTAATGCATATTAAATGAAATTCTAAATTCTCTCTTCCTTTTGTTAGTGGAAAGCAAAATGATCTCATTTGGATTTGGAAGCAGCGCAGGGCTGTCATTTGCAGACTTGGCTTCCAGTAATTCTGGGGATTTTGCTTTTGGTTCCAAAGGTAAGATCAGGTGGAGGGATTCTGATGGTCATATGACAATTTAAGCACAACTGAATGAACTAGTCCTTTGCACAGTGTTGTAGCTAACTTGGACATTTCTTCCTCTTCCCTACCCTCTAGTTTGTTTAGTGTTTTTTTTAATTTTTATTCTTTACACTTTTTAAAATTTTTTCTTTATTGATTTTAGAGAGAGGAAAGGAGAGGGAAGCAGAAACATTGATGAGAGAGAACATCGATTGGCCGCCTCCTGCATGCCCCCCACTGGGGATCTGGCCCACAACCTGGGCATGTGCCCTGACCGGGAATCGAACTGGTGCCCTCTCGGTGCATGAGTCGATGCTCAGCCACTGAGCAATACCAGCCGGGCTCATTTAGTGTTTTTAATAAGAGAGGACTTCTATATTTCACTGTTAATTTCTATATTTATTACTATAATTATACGATTTTAATTCTGTATACAGGATGCTGAGAGTTCCCTTCCTGAAATGCAGACCTATCTTTCTAGTTGGAATAATGTTGATTTTGGTACATTGTTCTATTAGTTGTACTTTTAGATTTGATTTGTTAATATTTCAAGATTTGTATCTCTGTATTTTTTAAGGAGATGATTTTGTAGTTTTCTATTTTTGTAATATCCTTGATTAGATTTTAATTAAAGTGCCTTGCTAATTTATTGTGCTAAATTTATAATTGGTGAGCTTTCCCGTCTTTGCTGGTTGTTTTTCTATTTTTTGTCCATTTTGGTATCTTTTGTAGAAAATAATTTATTTTCTTGGTTGTTTTTGGCATATTTGCTCATTCTTTCTTCCCTATCACACTTATCACATATTTCACATCTCCTGGCACTTAAGGAAATACATGTAAAACTTTTATGAATTACCTTCAGATAATATGTTATGTTGGAATTTATAACTTTATTAATGTTAAGTTGCTTTATTTGTGTTTGAATTAAATAAGTAGCCTGAAGTCACAGGATAAGTCAATAAATACAGCAGTAGAGTGGGCACAATTATCCACAAAAAATAATGCCAAGTAAAAATTGATGTGTTAGGCCCTGGCCAGTTTGGCTTAGTGGTTAGAATGTTGGCCCGCGGACCAAAGAGTCACTGGTTCGATTCTGGTCAAGGGTACGCATGTACCTAGGTTGTGGTTCGTTCCTGGCCCCCTGGTCAAGGTTTTGTAGGAGGCAACCAGTGGATGTGTCTCTCTTACATAGATGTTTCTCTCTCTCTCTCTCTCTCTCTCTCTCTCTCTCTCTCTCTCTCTCTCTCTCTCTCCCCCTCCCCCCCTTCACCCCCTCCCTGTGGCCCCCCTTCCCCCAACTCCCCCTTTACTCTATCTGAAGATAAATAGGAACATATCCTCGGGTGAGGATTAAAAAAAATTTTTTTGATGTGTTTGGTTGCTTGTTACATATAGTACCATATCAGTATTGTACAAAGTATGAAATAGCAAGACTTGGATCTCAATGTGGGAGACATGCCTTAGGTGTTAGCCGACTGACCTTCACTCCTCACCATCATCTGTCATTTTCCGTGAGATTCTTCACCTGCCTCTCTTTTAAACTACATTTCTTACTTTATTTTGTTCTTAGATCTGACAGAAGTTTGTGCTTTGTCTTTTCAGAGAAGTAGCCTTTGGTTTTATCAGTTCTTTTTTGGTTTGTGTTTTTTATTCATCTTCAGATTTTGCCATTAATTTTCTTTAAATTCTTATTACTTGTGTGTTGAATGATTTTTAATTAGATTGTGCTAACAAGCACAAAACAGTATCTGCAACTGTAAATCCCCTGGAATCGATTTTCTTTGTATCCCATAGGTTTTTCATAGGGAATCTTCATATTTTACAGATTTTTTAATAATTTAGAATTTCAATGTTGCTTTTCTCTTTCATTAAGAGCTTGTATAGGACCTAAATTTTTTTTAAAGGTTATAAATTTCACTAAAAACATGGGTATCTTTCTCTTTTAAACTTCTTCTTGGTATTGTATGGACCTTTTTTGATCTTAAACCTTTTTCTTTTGTTAATCTCTTTGCTCACATATTATTTCTATGGTGATTACTTTTTATTTGTTTATTTCTTTTATTTTGTTTAATTTTGCTCCTTTTTTTCCTATTAATTTTCTTCTGAAAGTTCTATTCACACAGGTCTGTTGTATAGTATTTTATATGGAAACAGAGAATAATAAGGAACACCTGTTTAGCTACTGCCTGCCTTTGTCAATGATTGCCATTGTATTTCCTTCAGATTTTGTAGTGTCTTCATTAAACTCGGACACATAGTAGAAGCCTCCTAGGTACTATTACCTAGACTGTTATACCATGAAATTGATATTGATTATTGACATGCTTATTTTTATACTTCTACTGTATGGATTCTTCCTTCTGGTCCCAAGGGGAGCAGTGGTTTTCAACTCTTGGCTTCCTATTAGAATTTCCTGGGAGCTTTAAAAAAAAAAAACAACAGCCCTTGCTGGTTTGGCTCAGCGTTTAGAGCGTCGGCCTGCAAACCAAAGAGTCCCAGGTTCAATTTCAGTCAAGGGCACTTAACTAGGTTTCAGTTCATCCCTGGCCCTGGTCAGGGTCATGTGGGAGGCAACCAGTTGATGTGTCGCTCTCATATGGATGTTTCTCTCTCTCTCTCTCTCCCACTGTGTCTGAAGATAAATAGAAAAGTATGCTCAGGTTAGGATTAAAAAAACAACAACAAAAACCCAAACTACCTGATAGTTATATTGGGCTCCTTGGGAAGGGTACCCCAGGCATTGGTATTTTACAGAAGTTCTTGGTGTGATTTTAATATATGACCAGCATTAAGAACCATTGCTTTAGAGGAATTTTGAAAATTTCTGCCACACCCTCCAAGGGTTTTGGGGATAATTAAAATTTTTTCTCAGCTTGGTAGATCCTTAATTAGTTTTTATTGAGCCCCAAACCTGAATGTCATCTTGTTTCATGGAAGCCCCCATACTACTTGAGATTGTGCTTTCTTTTCTCCCCCCAGCGTTTTTTGGCAGTATTATCTTAAGGATTTTTGTCTCTTCTCATTTCCCTCCTATTCTCCCCGTCCTCATTAATTCTGGTGTAGAAGGAGTAACTCTTTTAGTTATTTTGTTCTTTCTTCACTGTGCTAACTTTTTAAATAGTCTGTTACATTTTTGCTGGTTTATGAATTTTTACGAGATACAGCGTTGTCTAAGTCAGTGATTCATCAGCAAGTGATAAAAAATTAAGAGAGATTTCTTTCCTCTGACAAAGTGGATAATGTATTAGCTGGTGGGTCATCTCAGTTGAGAGAATGATGAAGGAACCTTAGTTTTCACCTTCTCCAAGGTATGAGGGGGAGTAACAGTCTTTGTTTTTCTGCATGGCAATAGGAGGAGGCTTCTCACCCCCGCATAGTCCAGTATTCACCGAGGACAGTGGAGTCAGTGAGCTTCTCCCAAGGCCTGGCAAAGAAGTCTAAGCTCCAACACTAGTTACTTCAGGAGGAAGTTGAAGTAGAGAAGTTATAAATACATATTTATGCTGCTTTGGATAATTTGGAAGTAGCAGATTTGGCCTCTTTGAGTACATTATTAGGTTCAAAGTTATTTTTCTTATGTGATAAAATGTTTTATGAAATAAACTACCTTTGGAGCTGAGCTGAGGTTTGAGAATTCCAAGGTATGCACTTTTAAGAACCTATTTCTTGACTGAAAGTTCTTATGTGGTTTAGTGTGAAGTTTACCAAAAGGTAAAATGATCTTATCTTTATATCTCCAGGCATAAACAGTACTAAATGTACTGTGAACTCACTGCATGAGTTGAACTTGACAGAATAGTACAATTTAAAATATTTTTTAACTAGAAGTATATGTCACATAATTGGAAATTTGATGCGTTGATGAAATAATCTAACTGGAGGATTAAAAGTTTATAAAAATAGATATCACTGTTTAAATATCCTGATTTATTCATCAGATAAAAATTTCCAGTGGGCAAATACTGGAGCAACTGTATTTGGAACACAGTCAACCAGTAAAGTTGGCGAAGAAGAAGATGGTAGTGATGAAGAAGTAGTTTATAATGAAGATATCCATTTCGAACCAATAGTGTCATTACCAGAGGTAAATATTAAAAGATGAAAATCTTACTAATAACTTACTTCACATTTTAGGTCTCAAACTTGATTTGTAGGGCTAGTTTTGCTTGCATTTCTTTCTGAATATTTATAATTTAAAATGGAAGCTTTTTGTTTATTAGTTCAACCTTTAAGTGTAAATTGTCCTCTTTGTCAAAATATAAATGTTTGGCATATTATATATAAAATTATTGGAAAGAACTAAATTTTTTCGTATGTTAAAATATGTTTGTTTTCATAACGTAATTCTGCTAGCTAAAGTCCTATCAGTAAAAATAAACTACTTTTTCTAGACAAGAATGTTGTTTTAGACAAACGACTTTGTCAGTTTTAAACCTTAAGTAGTAATACTTCTTGTGAAGAACTTTTTGAAACCTCTTTTGTCTTATAAAAGAATGTATGTAATTTTCAAAAGGGGAAGAAGACTACATAAGAAAAAAATATTTAATGACAAATCAGGTCTGTACTGCCTCATCCAAATCAGATGTGTTCCTAGCCCTAGGCTATTACCGTTTGTTTCGATAGTACAGTTCAGAGCGCATTAATATCCTTACAAAGACGGTATTTTAAGAAATTTGTATCTTTGGAATTTGTTGTGGAATATGTTATGAGCAGCAGCTTATTTTTCATCTATCATAGGTAGAAGTAAAATCTGGAGAAGAAGATGAGGAAATTTTATTTAAAGAGAGAGCCAAACTTTATAGATGGGATCGAGATGTCAGTCAGTGGAAGGAGCGTGGTGTTGGAGACATTAAGATTCTTTGGCATACACTGAAGAATTACTATCGGATCCTAATGAGAAGAGACCAAGTCTTTAAAGTGTGTGCAAACCACGTTATCACCAAAACCATGGAGTTAAAGCCCTTGAATGTTTCGAACAATGCTTTAGTTTGGACTGCCTCGGATTATGCTGGTACATTCAAATGCTACTTTTCATTTTTTTGGACTTTGCTAAAATCCATAGGAAATATACAGTATTTTGATGCTGAGGTAATTGTGTTGTTTTGTTGTTTAATAGATGGAGAAGCCAAAGTGGAGCAGCTTGCAGTGAGATTTAAAACTAAAGAAATGGCTGATTGTTTTAAGAAAAAATTTGAAGAATGTCAACAGAATTTATTGAAACTCCAGAAGGAACAGGTATCACTGACAGCAGCAGACTTATCAAAGGAGACAAATCCTGTGGTGTTTTTTGATGTCTGTGCAGATGATGAACCTCTAGGACGTATAACCATGGAATTATTTTCAAACATTGTTCCTCAAACTGCTGAGAACTTCAGAGCACTGTGCACTGGAGAGAAGGGTTTTGGTTTTAAGAACTCCATTTTTCACAGAGTGATTCCAGATTTCATTTGCCAAGTAAGTACTGACTGGATGACAACTGAATTCTAGAAAAGCATACCACACTAATTGGGAAATTTGAGTGTTTCTCCTCGCTTGTAATTAAGATTTTTTTAGCTTTTCCACACATTAGGTAGTGTTACCACCCCTGTATATACTGCCCCCACAAAAACTTTCAAGCTAAAACAGTTGAAATGTCTAATATCTTTAAATCTGCTCTTAAATTGAGGGTGGGAAAAAGACCTCTTGTTATTTTTGTCTTCTTTCAAAAATGGATATTAGTTTTCAAACCACATTTTCTTTTTTTTTAATTATTATTTTTTGTTAATCCTCACCTGTGGATATTCTTCCACTGATTTTAGATAGAGTGGAAGGGAGGGAGGAAGAGAGATATATATATATCAATGTGAGAGAGACACATGGATTGGTTGCCTCCTGCATGATCCAGACTGGGGCTGGAGATCGAACCTGCACATTGGATGTTAAAGCACATTTTTAGGCAAGCTGGGTATTTAGGACTTATCCCATAATGGTTAGTTAGCTCTGTGTGTATGTTAACATTTTATTCAGGATTCCTATTAATCAAAAATTTTTTCAGGGTGGAGATATCACCAAACATGATGGAACAGGAGGACGGTCCATTTATGGAGATAAATTTGAAGATGAAAATTTTGATGTGAAACATACTGGTCCTGGCTTACTATCAATGGCTAATCGAGGCCGGAATACCAATAATTCTCAATTTTTTATAACACTGAGAAAAGCAGAGCATTTGGACTTGAAGCATGTAGTATTTGGGTGTGTTAAGGATGGCATGGATACTGTGAAAAAGATTGAATCATTTGGTTCTCCTAGTGGGTCTGTTAGTCGAAGAATTAGTGTCACAGAATGTGGACAGATATAAAATCATTGTTTTTCATAGTAAATTTTATCTGTATAAACAGTTGAATTGAAGCTTAGCTGTTACGACAATATGGTAATTATGTTCAGCTTTTGAAAATGGACGTTTCCAATGTATAAATGTAAAATTGCAGCTTATAGCTGTTGTCACTTTTTAATGTGTTATAATTGACTTTGCATGGTGTGAAATAAAAGTTTAAACACTGGTTTATTTCAGGTGTACTTGTGTTTATGTACTCCTGACATATCTGTATTAAAATGGAATAATACTAATCTTGTTAAAACAATAGACCTTCTCATACTATTGAAGAAATATTATATAAGCAATTTAATTTTAATTTCTTTTAAGATATTGGACTTCCTGCATGGATATATTTACTGTTTGAAAAAAGGGACCAAAACTTGGATAATTTTAATTTTAGATTTAAAAATATATTTGGTAATTTTAACTATTGGTGTTCTCGTTTATGCATTGAGACTCACTTATGAATGGGCAGAGCCCAGAGCGTAGAGACTTAACCAAAGTGCTCTTCATCATCCTTGCACCTCCTGGATAAGTAATTAACTTCTAAGTGGAGGACCTTCTTTTCTTAAAATGATATGTAGCTTCATGTGCCCTTTCAAAGGTGTTAATTTTTACATTTTAAACAAGTTGAGTATTTCCTTAGATTTTTAAAAAACTTTTCTGTTACCTGTTTCTACTACCTCAAACTGCAGCTTGGTTCTGATTGAACTTGAATTTTTCCTTGCAGTTATTGTGATAAAGTATGAATATTTTTAAAAAATCTATACCATGTTCTTTGGTTAAATATTTGCTCTATACTAGATTGTTGCAGTACCTTTTTCTGGTGAATTTTGTAGCAAAAATAAAGTGACAATTTTTAACAGCCATGATATTTAAACATTTTATTACTTGTGCATATAATTGTTTGTTCATTCTAGAACCAAAATAAGGAGGACAATTAAAGGTCTGTAAAGTCCAAATGCCACCTAATTTCCAGAGCTCCCAAGGAAGTGACTTTTTTCAAAATTGATACACACTGAAAATTTATTTGGAAAATGGTTAGTGTCAGAAGTTAATCACGCTGTTAAAAAGGGGGTTTGTTCTCATCAGCCTACTCAATGTAGAACTACAAAGAAGCTGGTTAGTACACAAAATTGTGTAGTCCTCCTGCCCTCTGGGTTCTTCCCAGTGAAATCACCTCATTTAGTAAAAGACAGTGGGGCTAACTCTCTTGGTCAGGGACTTGGAAATAGTCTATCCTATAATAAGTACCTGTTCAACCACCAAGTAAAGGCGGATAGGGATGTCATGTGTGGTTTGTATGAATAATGAGTGATGGAATACCATACCATCACCTGGCCATACACCTAGGTTGATACCCCGTATCATCTGAACTGCATGTATCTTAAAAGAGAACCATGGACTCATGTTTGCACATTTAATAGTTAAAATCAGCTTCTTTGGAACTTAATGTAGTATAAAGTGCTATAAAATGTATTGAATTATGCATTTGGCACAATTGATACCTTTGTTATTTTAGAATAACATGCAGATATAGGCAAGTGTAGTTTAGAGATTTTTTTTAGAGAAATCAGTGGTATCCTAAAGCATTCCAATTTTGAATTAAAACTTTAAAAATTAATACTTTGACCAAAAGTTTTATAAAAGTGACTAGTAAACTGACTTTTTTAGTATTAGTATTCCAATATGCTTAAAAGTGGCTTGAGGCAAAGGACTGTGATTTCTTTGTTATTTAATTGCTTGATATGTTATAAACCCACATTATGTTTTTTTTAAACTGGTTTGATTTTATATTGGCTCATATTCTCTTTAGAGATAGACTGTAAAGAAACTATTTGTATACTATAGTAATACTTGGCAAAAACTTATTGGTTTAAATACTATTCAGATAACTATTAAAATACTGATTTTATAAACATTTTGGCACTTGAGGAAATTTAACGATAACTCAGAGACTCTGGGAATTGTTCGTCCAGACATGCTGTTGAATACAATTTAGAAAAGTAAAGGATTATATTAGTGTAGTTGTATAAGAAATTAAGTGGTTATTTAGTCGTTCAGCTCAGTTATTCTGTGATTTAGATTGATATGCTATGCCAGTAAATACTGAACACCCACTAAATGACAGGCACTGTTCTGGGCACTGGGGAAAGCTGTTAAAAAAAAGTGTGCATGCTCATAACGTACTTGAACATGCCAATACTGCCCAATACCCCGTCACAGACCGACAAACGGGGCAAAGAGGAGGGATATTAGTAATACTTTAAATAATAGAGATAAATTTTAAAAACCTGTTAACTCCGCATAGGAAACGCCAATAGGCCAATGCAGTGGTAATTCTTGAAAACAGCTATGCTTTGTAGTCGATCTAGTCTTGATTTTCCCCTCCTTTATTACAGTCAGTCAAGGCCCCCACCTGTCCACACGCACGCTGTGTGCGTCAGGTGTGCCCCAGGCCAGGGTCCACCCGTCAGGTGGGACCACGCTGGTGAGGCCGGCCTGTGCACAGGTGTCGCACGCATCCCCGCCCCCACGCCAGGCGCACGGGGTTACCAGGCGGCGACCCTTCCGGCCCTGGAGCCCTGAGGCCGCGGCTCCAAGAGAGGGTGCGCGTCACGCCCACTAAGTGCAGTCTTAAGTGGACACAACAGAGGAAAACAAGTAGCAAGAAACCGAAAAGATTAAACACCATGTAGCAGCCCAAATAAGACTAATAAAGCAACTAGTAAACGTAACCCTAGGATGCTTCTAGCACAGGGAGGCGGCGGTCGTCAAACACGCGTCTCAGGTGCCCTGGCGCCCCTCGCGCCGCACGGGGCGGGCCGTGTCGTGCGTCATGACGCACTTCCGCCGAGCGAGCGCTGCTCCTGCGCGTCCCGCCGCGAGTTTCAACGCTGTTCCCGAGGAGACGACGGTGCGGTAGGATGCAGCCGAGGCTCGTCAAGCCGCCGGGGCAGGACTTCGCGGTGGAGCGTCTGAAAAGTCGCTACGGACTGCGGGGCTGCCGCCCGGCCGAGGTGAACCCGGCGCTCCCCACCCCTGCCCGGCCGGGGCGGGCGGAGGGCCCCACCGCGGGCGGTGTCGCAGGGTCCTGGCCGGCGGGCTCGCGGTGGGCGGGCGCATCTGCTGGGGACTGGTCTCCTTGGGCTTTCCTTCTCCGTGACCCGGGATGTCCATGCTCTGCGGAGCCTGGTGTGTCAGAAGTATTCTTGAACTTTATTTACGGTGATTGAATAGAGTTTGAAAACAATTTAACTTTGTTTTAATCCCCACCCTAGGACATTTTTGCACTTATCTTCAGATAGAGCAGGAGGGAGAGGGGGGGGGAGACACACACACACACACACATCCATGACTGCCACCTACACTACCCAACGTGGGTAGGGACAGACCGCAACCGAGGTTCGTGCCCTTAGCGGAACCGAACCCCAGACACTCTGGTCTGCAGACCTACACTCTAACCGCTGAGCCAAACCGTCCAGGGCCAAGTTAACTTCTTTAAATGTTGATTTGGAAACTAAAAAAGTTAGAATCATTCTCTTGGAGCCTTTGCTTGGATTCACCATAGTTAAACGTTTTGCCAAAGTCGCTTCACCCTTCTCTTTCCCTCTTTGACTCCCTTTCCCTACATGCATTTTCCCTGAGCTGTTGGAGGCTGCTTTGTAGGCATCTGACTCTCCTGTCCAATAGACACTTCAGTGCATCTCCCTAGAAATGACATTGTCTTAGACATGCAGTACAGAGTAATACATTCAGGAAACTTGTCATTGCTTCAAATTATGTACTTTAATACAACGGTATTATGTATTTCATACTCAGATTTTACCTATAATCTCAGCAATGTCCTCTGCAAAAAAATACTTTTTTCCTGATGCAGATACAACCCAAACGAGCATTGCATTTGGCTTTCTCTTTTGTTGCCTTTAATTTGGAACAGGTTCTGAAGACGTTGCCTTTTGTAATACTGATATTTTTGAAGAGTATAGGGCAGTTATTTATTGGGATGTCACTCAGTGTGGGTTTGTCTGATGATGCCTCATGATTAGACACTGGTTGTATGTTTTTGGCAGGAGTATTACATGAATGACACATGGCTTGCTATGTTCATCAGGTGGCCCCGGAGGCTGCTTTGCCCCCTTACTGTTGATGTTAACTTGGTTAAGGTGGTGCCTACCAGATTTCTCCACTGGTCTAATTAAAGGCTAACCTTTGTAGTTAATACATAGTTTGTAGGGAACTATTTTGCGACTGTAAGTTGATTGTCAGCATGCTACCAGAAAGGGGACTTGAGAGGGTCTGCCTAGGGCCAGCTGGTAGTGGGTGGATTCTTGACTTCACACTTGAAAGATTTCACAATACGAGTCCAGGTGAATTTTAGAATTTTAGAGGATGTTTATGAAAGCTGGGGACAGTGAAACAAGAAAGGGCTGGAGAAATGAGCCCAGGCTGGGCTGCTTTGGCTCACTAAGAAGTCAAAGAAAAGGGGGCCTTGGGGACAGGTTCAGGGGGTTAGCCTGGGGTGAACTGCCACTGCCCATTGCTGTCCTGCTTGCAACAACCTTTGTGGAGGCCCTTAGAGTTTAGGAGATGCATGCAGGTGGGGGAAGAAATGGTGGGGAGGGGAAAGCTCAGGTGTGCTCCTGGAGGGAGAGTGCATGCTGAGTCCTTTGTTTTGAGGGGTTTTGAAAGGCTGGGCATTTAGAGGAAGATCAATAGAATGTTCATTAGCTTTATGTAGATTTACCAAAATGAGGTTTATTTTCTTAACTTCATCTTTCCTTGGGTGTGGTTTGCAAATGGCACTAATTAGATTTCTGCTGTCTAAGCTTGGGGAGAAGTGCAAACCATTTGCTCTTAAGTGTCCCGGGTTTAGGGAAGATAGGATTTACTAGAGGGCTGCAAACAGCTCTTGAACTCTCTGTCTGTTTCCCCATTCTGCTTGCTCTGGCTTACTGGCCTGTTTCAAGTATACACATTAAATGTCACCATTTTTCTTTTTTTAGTATGCTGTTTCAAATTTTGATCAGGCTAAATGTAAGAGAAGCTCTCTAACCTCCCCAGGTAAGCCAGTAGGGAATTTTGTATATTTGGGGTTTTAGCAAATTTAATTTGAAAGAAAAGATTAAAAAAGAATGTTTAGACTTAATAGCTAATGCCAGATGTCTTGTGGTACTAAGCCTTTTTCAGTCCAGTAAGGAGCTAACAGTAATCATGATTTTGGGGGTGAATGTGTAAAATGTCTTTAAAAATCAAATTGAATGTTTTTGGTGTTTCAATTAGTGTTTTTTTTGTTTTTTGTATCCTCACCCGAGAACAGCATTCATCTTCAGATCGAGAGAGAGAGAAAAACATTGATGTGAGAGAGACACAGCGACGGATTGCCTCCCGCAGGAACCCCAACAGGGCCGGTGATGAACCGCAACCCAAGTCGGTGCCCTTGACCGGGATCAAACTCACGACTCATTGTTCCGTGGGCCAGGGCTCTAATTGCCGAGCCAAACCGGCCAGGGTACAATTATAGTGTTTTTATATTAAAAATTAAGCAGTATATTAGGTAAGAAAGATTAATTGCTACGGTTATGCAGAAGCTTTTCCAAGTTATTAGGGTAATTATTGCACTGAAGGAATTTATCAAATAAATTTACTTAGTAAAGATAATTAATTATACTGTGGAACTGGGTGTGTTGGAACATCGTGTGGTAATCTGTGACTAACATGTATAGCTACTTAGCCATTAGAGTTTTGATTTGTTGACACTTTTTAGGCAGTGTCTTTAGTAAGTATAATCATTGAACTTTGGGGTGATTATTGCCAAAATAGTAGTTAATATCTTTAAAAGTCGAATTTCACTTTTTTCCTAGCTTATTTCGTTTTGAAACTTTGTAACAGTTTTCTGAAACATTTGTTCAGTATGAAAAAAACATATTCCAGTTATTACTGAGTCTAGTATTTTTATTTTTTTTATTTTTATTTTTTATCCTCACCCGAGGACATTTTTCCATTTTTTATTCAGGTAGAGTGGGAGGGAGAGAGAGGAACAGAGAGAGAGAGAGAAACATCGATGTGAAAGGAACACATCGAGTGGCTGCCACCTGCACGACCAACCAGGTCCGGGGACAAACTGCAACCGAGGTACGTGCCCTTAGCGGGAACCGAACCCGGGTCTCTCCAGACCGCAGGCCGACGCTCTAACCGCTGAGCCAAACCGGCCAGGGCAGTCTAGTATTTTTAAAATATCTTAAATTAAGATTCAATTTTAGTTTTAAAAATTGCCCTAAACTTCCACTTTTCCAAAATATACCTGTGAAGTATAGGTCATTAAACCGAGGAGGTAAAAATAAGTGGTAGAGTTGGGTGCATCATTTTTAAGTGTTTCTAAATAGTTTATCGGAGACGCTCTTATTTCCTTTTTTTCATTGAATTTAGTATAGACTAACAGTTTATTAAACAAATCTTAATGTTTAAAGTATATAAAATTAAAAATGTTTAATGTTTGAGGACTGATGAGATACCATGAGTTGGTAGAAAGAGGGCTGGATTCTGAATGTTATTCTTTGTATTTGCTGGTTGTGTTACATGGAAAAACTTATATAACTTTTCTGGTTCTTAGTTTTCTAACCATTAAAATAGAATTAAAAGCACCTATTCTTCCTGGCCAGTGTGGCTCAGTGGATTGAGCGTTGTCCCATGGACTGAGAGGTCCTGGTTCAATTCCTGGTCCGGGCACATGCCCGGGTTGTGGGCTTGATCCCCAGCAGGAGGCAGCTGATTTTTTTTATCTCTCTCTAAAAAAAAAATCCTTTAATTAATTTTGCTGACTTATCTTCAGGAACCTAGAATGAGATCATTAGTATCTGATCTTAATAAGTAATCTCAGCTATTTCCTTTTTCGTTCAAGATGATTTGGATCTGGACTCTTCTGTAGATAAAGTTGGTTCCTTACTAAGATGGTACTCTGATGAAAGACAACATTCCACTGTACCTCTTCGCAGTTCATCCCAGCACTTCAACATGAACCGGTAAAGAACCCTGTGTTTTTACTATTCTACCCCTTCAGTATCTCAGAAAACTTAGGGCAAAAGGATGGACTACTTATGTGTTTGCTTTTCTCTGAGGGGATGTAGAAGCAGTGTGGAGACTGTTGAATGTAGCGTGTGTCCAGTCATGTGGGAAGCATGGATTTCACAGAAGTTGAGAGAGAGAGGTTAAAGGAGGAACTAACTACAAAACACGTATGTTATAGTCCAGGGGTCAGCAGTTTTGTCCAGGAGAGTCTACCTTGGGTAAAACCAGTATAGAAACAGTGGAAGCTAAGGTGAAATAAAATTCCGAGGTGAATCTTATTAAATTCCAGAAATATGTGGCACAAGGAAGTGCCATAGGTATCTAGGAGTAAATATTTTGAAATAATGTTAAACCACAAAGATATATGCAAAATGAAATACTGAGATAATTATGGAGAGAGAAAAAAGACAATTGTGCCTAAAATATGTTATTATTTTTTTCCTTTTTATTGAATTTATCGGGATGACATTGGTTAATAAAATTATACAGGTTTCAGGTATACAATTGTATACTACATCATCCGTATATTGAATTGCACATTCAGCACCCCAAAACAACTCATTCTTTTTTTGGTGGTGTTGTTTTAAACACTCAATATTTATTATGTTTTTATTTTATTTATTTTTTTATTAATTTATTTTTGTTACAGATGTTTCTCCCTTTTCCCCCCATTGACACCCTCCTCCAAATCCGGTCGTCACCCGCAACCCGGTCCCAAGCATTGTTGTCTTGATGTCCATTGGTTACGCATACATGCATAGAAGTTCTGTGGTTTATGTCTTTCTTCCGTCCCCACCCCCTCTTCTGAGGTTTGTCAGTCTGTGGCCTACTTCAATGTCTCTGGGTCTATATTGTTCATCAGCCCACCTTGTTCATTATATTCCACAAATAAGTGAGACCATGGGGTATTTGTCTTTCTTTGTTTGGTTTGTTTGCTTAGAATAATACTCTCCAGGTCCCTCTGGGTCGTCTCGAAGGATAAGAGATCTTTCTTTCTTACAGCTGCATAGTACTCCATTGTGTATATGTACCACAGCTTTTTTATCCTCTCATCGACTGATGGACACTTGGGCTGTTTCCAGCTCTTAGCAATTGTAAATAGTGCTGCTATGAACATAGGAGAATATATGTTCTTTCTGATTGGTGTTTCATGCTTCTTAGGGTATATTCCTAGAAGTGGGATCACTGGGTCAAATGGCAGTTCAATTTTTAATTTTTTGAGGTAACACCGTATTGTTTTCCATAGTGGCTGCACCAGTCTGCATTCCCACCAGCAGTGTACTAGACTCCCCTTTTCTCCACACCCTCACCAACACTTGTTTGATGATTTGTTGATGGCGGCCATTCTGACAGGTGTGAGGTGATACCTCATTGTTGTTTAAATTTGCATCTCTCTGATGATTAGTGACATTGAACATTTTTTCATATGTTTCTTGGCCATTCGTATGTCCTGTTTGGAGAGGTGTCTATTCAGGTACTCTGCCCATTTTTTAATTGGGTTCTTTGTCTTCCTTTTGTTGAGTTGTGTAAGTACTCTATATATATTGGAGATTAACCCCTTATCCAATGTACTTTTGGCAATTATACTCTCCCATATAGTGAGTTCCCTTTCCATTTTGATGGTTCTTTTTCTGTGCAGAAGCTTTTTAATTTGATGTAGTCCCATGTTTCCATGTTTTCCTTTGTTTCTTTTGACTTAGGTGTTGTATCAGTGAAAATTATACTGCTTGTGATGTCTGAAATTTTGTTGCCTACATTTTCTTCTAGGATTTTTATGGATACACGAGTCACATATAAGTCTTTTATCCACTTTGAGTTTCTTCTTGTGTATGGTGTAAGTTGATGGTCTAGCTTCATTTTTTTTTCATGTAGCTGTCTAATTTTCCCAACACCATTTATTGAAGAGACTGTCTTGACTCCACTGTATGATCTTGCCACCTTTGTCAAATATTAATTGAGCACACTGTATTGGGTCAGTTTCTGGGTTTTCTGTTCTGTTCTATTGATCTATATGCCTATTTTTATGCCAGTACAAGGCTGTTTTGATTACAGTGGCTTTGTAGTATAACCTGATATCATGTATTGTGATCCCTCCTACATTGTCCTTCTTTTTCAAGATTGCTGTGTCTGCCCGGCCAGTGTGGCTCAGTGGTTGAGCATCGAACCATGCACCAAAAGGTTGCTAGTTCAATTCCCGGTCAGGGCACATGCCCAGGTTGTGGACCTAATACCCAGTCGGGGGGCATGCAGGAGGCAGCCAATCAATGTTCTCTCCCATCGATGTTTCTCTCTCTCTCTCTCTCTCTCTCTCTCTCTCTCTCTCTCTCCCCCCTTCTCCCTCCTCCCTCTCTATCTAAAATCAATAGAGAAAACAAAAAGTTTGCTGTGGCTATTTGGGGTCTTTTTTTGGTTCCATATAAACTTTTAGATTATTTGTTCTGGTTCTGTGAAATATATCATTGGTATTTTGATGAGGATTGCATTGAATAGATTGCTTTGGGTAGTATGGACATTTTAATAATGTTAATTCTTCCAATCCATGAACAAGGTATGTGCTTCCACTTTTTTATATCTCCCTCTATTTCCTTTTTCAATGTCCTGTAGTTTTCTGCAAAGAGGTTTTTACTTCTTTGGTTAAGTTTATTCCTAGGTATCTTAATTTTTTTGCTGCAGTGTTAAATGGGATTTTTTTTTAGTTTCTCTTTCTATGAGTTCATTGTTGGTGTATAAGAATGCCGTTGATTTCTTGACGTTTATTTTATATCCCGCTACTTTGCCAAAATCATTTATTAAATCTAGTAGATTTTTGATGGAGTCTTTAGGGTTTTCTATGTACAATATTATATCATCTGCAAATAATGACAGTTTTACTTCCTTCTTTCCAATTTGGATCCCTTATATTTTTTCTTCTCGTCTGATTGCTATGGCTAAGTCTTCCGTACTATGTTAAACAGGAGTGGCGAAAGTGACCATCCCTGTCTTGTTCCTGTTCTTAAGGGAAATGCTTTTAGTTTTTGCCCATTGAGTATGATGTTGGCTGTAGGTTTTTAATATATGGACTTTATTGTGTTGAGATACGATCCCTCTAGTCCCAGATTGCTGAGTGTTTTTATCAGATATGGGTGCTGGATTTTGTCGAATGCTTTTTCAGCATCTATTGATCATATGATTTTTATCTTTCATTTTGTTTGGTTTCTTAAATTTTTTTTCTTTATTCATTTTAGAGAAAGAGATGGAAACATTGATGAGAGAGAACATCAGTTGTCTGCCTCCTGCATGCCTCCCAGTGGGGATCGTGCCCACAACCTGGGCATGTGTCCTGACCGGGAATTGAACCGGTGACCTCTTGGTGTATGGGTCGATGCTCAACTGCTGAGCCACACCGGCTGGACTGCGCTTGAATTTTTTTTTTTTTTTTTTATCCTCACTCGAGGACATTTTTCCATTTTTTGTACAGATAGAGTGGGAGGGAGAGAGAGGAAGAGACAGAGAGAGAGAAACATCGACGTGAAGGGACACATCGAGGGGCTGCCACCGCACGACCAACCAGGGCCGGGGACAAACTGCAACCGAAGTACATGCCCTTAGCAGGAACCGAACCCGGGTCTCTCCGGACCTCAGGCCGATGCTCTAACCGCTGAGCCAAACCGGCCAGGGCTTGAATTTTTGATATATAGCAATTGCTTCATTCTCTGCTTAAATGAAGTAACCCATATAAGGCACTTAGAGCAGCGTTCAGTACATAGGAAAGCATTTAAATAGGCTATTATCATCATCGTTATTATTCTTTGGCACTCATTAAGTAAGCTAGGTGATTTGGATTCAAGATTTGGACATTAGGAAGATTGAATTTAGAGTAAGGAAAGTGAAAATTGCTTTGAAATATGAACGCGTGGACATTATTTTCTTATATTTAACTGATAGTTTAATAATTTTTTAGTATTTCAAATTGTAATTTGAAGCTTTTGGACTATGAAGGTTTTTATAACAATGGACTGGTTTTTTTTCACAATCCCTAATTATGATATAATCTACAATTATAGTATTGTCTGGCACGTAGACTCATGTTGCTATTGAGTACTTGGAATCGGCTTATCTGAATTGAGGTATGTTGGAAGTCTAAAATGCACACATTGAAGAAGATGGGTTAAAGAATGTAAACTATCCTAATTTTAAAATATTGATTACATGTTAAAATGATTATCATTTAGATATACTGGAGTAAATCTAATAGATTGTTAAAATTTCACATCTTTCTATGTTTTCGATAGGGCTACTAGAAAATTTTTAATTCTTTATGTGGCTTGTATTATATTCCTTTTGAATAGTACTGCTTGAGAAACTTCAACTTTGTGGTCATCTTTTTGGCGAGAATACTTGGGAGCCTAGTTCTCTTTCACATTTTATTAGTTATGTCAGCTGTCAGTTACTTAAGGGATTTAGGGTTCAGTTTTCTCATGGTAAACAATAATTCCTTTAGCTAAATGGATAGACAGCCATACCTGCTAAGACCCCCCCCCCCCCCCCGAGGTATCAGGGCTCGTAAGGAGAGTGCAGTTGTGGAGCGTTCTGCGGGCAGGTGCAGTTTTCAGTTAAGCACATTTGTATGTGTGAGAAGATACTTTTTGTGAGCTTATAGGATCAGTGACTGTTACTTTTTATGATTTTACTTTTTACATTTAAAAAAATGCTTATTCCATTTCCTCAGTTGTGATGCTGTTAATATTTGACAAGCCGTTTTATCTTTGTGGAATGCTATAGTAAACTTGCAGAATGCTGTGATACAATTTTTCTTAAAGCCTAGGTGATGGACTGGATTCTCTTCATGATTCAAAGCAATGGGAAACAGAAGAAGAGCTAATTGAGAATGATCACAGAGCTAGTAACTCCAAAATAACCAAGCAGTCTTTTAAAGAAGTAGAAAAAGGTAAAAGGAATACTTGTTTTAGAATAGTTACTTAGCCCTGGCCAGTGTGACTTGGTGTTTAGAGTGTCGGTCTGCCCACCAAGGGTCTCAGGTTGGTTTTTCCTGTCAAGGGCATGTACCTGGGTTGCAGGTTCGACCCCCAGTCATGGGCACATACCTGGATGGGTTGCAGGATCCCCGGCCCCCCATTGGGGTGTTTGGGCAACAACCAGTCAATGTGTCTCTCACATAGATGTCCCTCTGTCTCTCTCTCTCTCTATTCTTCTCTCTCTCTTTTCTTCTCTCTCTCTCTCTCCCCTTTCTCTTTTCCACTCTCTCTAAAAATCAATGGAAAAAATATCCTTTGGTTAGGATTAACAGAACAACAACAAAAAAGAATGATCATTTAAACAATAGCACACATAAAACTTACCCCATAGTAATAACACTTGTCCTGCGTTTTTGTAAGCCATGAGATAGTTGCTGTGCTTATTATTAAACTGAAGTAAAAGAGAAAAATAAACTTCATTATTTTCCAGTAGTATTTCTAAACTCTCAAAACTTATGAATATAAGTTTATCGATTGAATACTTTTTACAATTTCTTTAGTTCTTTTTCATGTCAGTATTTATTAGGAAGTCAGTAAAAGATTGTTGGTAGTGTTTGACTAATTCTTTTTTATTTTAAGAAAATACCCCAGATTACATTAGGTGTGGCTTTCGTAGGCACTGAACTAGCAGTCGACCTCTGTGTGCCTGGCTACGTAGTTCTGTCAGGGTTTCAAGGACAGAGGCAGTCTGATGGCACCCTCCTCCTGGCTGCAGGGTTTAGGGAGTACTGTCACCACACACTGACAGCCTCTCTGCCTCTCTGCCTTTCTTCTCCTGGCATGGAAAAATATGAAGTAGGGTAAAGCTGTCAAGGTAATTCTGGCATTAAAACAAGAACATATTATTTAAAGGAGAAGGTTATAGAAATTACATAATTACATTATATAATTACAGACATTGTATAGAGTTAAAAACAGGCACAAAACCAAATAAGGCCTTTTTTATATAAGAAATAAGAATGAACCCTGGCTGGTTTGGCTCAGCGGTTAGAGTGTCGGCCTAAGGTCCAGAGAGACCTGGGTTCAGTACGCACTAGAGGCATGTACCTCGGTTGCAGTTTGTCCCCGGCCCTGGCTGGTTAGGTCGTGCAGGTGGCAACCACTCGATGTGTCCCTTTCACGTCGATGTTTCTCTCTCTCTCCCTCCCCACTCTATCTGAACAAAAAATGGAAAAATGTCCTCAGGTGAGGATTAAAAAAAAAAAAAAAGAAGTAAGAATGAAAAAGAAGTTATGCAATGATTAACAATATATTTAGATTAGTTGTTAATATATAATCAGGAGTTTCTGAGGTAAATAACATTTCTTGGCCCAGACGGTTAATACGTGAATGGTTTCATGTACTTTAAAATCTATTTTGAAACAATTTTAGACTTACTGAAAAGTTACAAAAAGGGCACAAGGAATTCTTTATAGCCTTCATCCAATTTTCTAAATTAACATTTTACTACCTTGGCTATGTCATTCTTTCTCTTCATGTATATCACCTGAAACTTTTAAACAGTACTATAATTCATATTTAAAGTAGTTCTTCCTGAAGATTACCTTGTGTCTATTTAAAACTAAATTAATAAAGTTTAGTATTTTATTTTCTTAGCAGTAGCCTCACCATCTAAAATGGCCTCAAATTCAAGAAATTGGACCGAATGTTGTAGTGATGCAGGTGACCCTCCTCTGAAACGTGTCAGCTGTCCAACATCTAATGCGTCGGAGAAGCAGAGTCTCCTTCCGCACCAGATCAATCAGATATACGATGAGTTGTTCCAGATACATCAGAAGCTGCAGGTGAGATGTGTATGTTCTACACACCAAACGTGTAAACATTTAAATACTACAGGGTATTTTATTTTGATTGTTTTCAGTAAGTGTGTCAAAACAAGTTTGGAAGGGAACAAACAATTTATCAGAACTATTGAGAAAATACAGTGAGAGGAAAATACAAACAGTGGCCTTTTATGGGTAGGTGTAACTCTAGATTTTGGACTTTATGTTTTATGTTATTCCAATCCCATTTTTGCTTAAGAAATAAAACAAAATCTGTCGGTAAAGCATGCTTTTTTTTCCCCTTACCCGAGGACATTTTTCCATTTTTTGTTCAGATAGAGTGGGGAGGGAGAGAGAGAAAGAGAAAGATCGACATGAAAGGGACACATCGAGTGGCTGCCACCCGCACGACCCAACCAGGGCCAGGGACAAACTGCATCCGAGGTTCGTGCCCTCAGCGGGAACCGAACCCGGGTCTCTCTGGACCGCAGGTTGATGCTCTACCGCTAAGCCAAACCAGCCAGGGCAAAGCATGCTTTTTGAAGTAGGTGTTCTAGATTCATCATTTTTAAACACCTGTATGGAAGAAGTTCTCTTGTCACCTCTCACCAAAATTCAGTTTAGAACACTGGCCTTTATCTTGGAGATGTTTTATTTCTTTTCTTTTTTTTTTTATCCTCACCCGAGGACATTTTTCCATTTTTTGTACAGATAGAGTGGGAGGGAGAGAGAGGAAGAGAGAGAGAGAGAGAAACATCGACGTGAAAGGGACACATCGAGTGGTTGCCACCCGCACGACCAACCAGAGCCGGGGACAAACTGCAACCGAGGTACGTGCCCTGAGCGGGAACCGAACCCGGGTCTCTCTAGACCGCAGGCCGACGCTCTAACTGCTGAGCCAAACCGGCCAGGGCGGAGATGTTTTATTTCTAAAGGAGGTAATTCATGAATTTATCAAGTGACCACTAGGTGGGAGTACAGAAGGAAGCAAAGTGTATGTAATACACAATTTCTGTTGAAATTGTAGTTGGAAATATGTTATATTTTTATACACATAAAATAGTTAAGCATTTTAAAAAATGAGTATCTAATTTTGTCTAATTCTAATTATAGTTACTATAGCATTTTAGAAAAAGGTAATTTTAGCCTAAAATCACTGGGGGGAATTCAAGGAGACTCTGAGTGGTACTTACTGAGAGAGAGCTTAAAGGAGGGGCAGAGGGAGCAGCACAGGTGCAAGGAGTGGGAGGTGAGGGATTTAGAAAGAGTGATTTGTCAGATTGTGAATGTGTTAGCCTGTCTGGGAAAGAGAATAGTGAAAAGTTAGGTTGGGTAGCACAAGTCTGTAAGCGTAAGAGTGACAATGAAAACAGTGCCTCGGGAAGATCCCTTTGCTGATACTTCAAGGGATAAAAAAGAATGAAGCAGGGTTGTAAGGATATATCTGTCATCTACAGTAAAGACAATAAAGACATTTAATTTAAAAGATGAAGTTTAATCTGACTCTAAAAATCCTTGCCAGGGCTCCTCTGAGGACTTTTACAGCAGAGGAATTGCAGTCTAATGTGTGCTCACATGTATGGACTGGAGGGGATGCGGTGTGGACTTGGGAGAGCAGATAGTAGTGCTGATGAGAGGATGGAAGCAGATGGGGTGGGTGATGCAGAGACATGGAAACGAATAGATTGGAGGTTTGTGTTGGAGGTACCATTGAGTAGACGGGGTAAGGAATTGGATATGGTATAGGGAGAACAAGATCCCCTCATCTCTGGTTTGTACAGCTTGGAGAGTTGATTTAGGAACGAGTGATTTTAATTTGGAATGGGTTACGTTTGTAAAATGGGGCTATAATGTAAGTAGTAAATAGTTAAATATATAAGTTAAGTAGAGAACGAAGTTCTTGGATGGCATCTACATTTGGAAGTAATTTACATATAGATACTTAGGTTGTCACCAGGAGCTGAGGTCCGGAGAGAGGCCAGAGCCAAGGGCGTGGTGGTAGTCCTGGTGTTCTGGGTTAGGACGCTGGCCTGAGGGACAGAGAGAAGTGGGTGGAGTCTAAACGTCGTTAAAGAGATTGGATCAGTAGGTCCTGGAGGTGGTTTTGGTGTGGGAGGAATGCAGTAGGGGTTCAGTCAAGAGCAAAATGCAGGTTTACTTCCTTGGTTATTGATACATGCTGCTGCTTTTCGCTGAGAAATGAAATAAAACTGGAGGAGGAGAAAAAAATCAGTTTTTAAAAAATTCATAACTATTATTTTTTGTAGGAAAGAAGGAATTATACATATCTTTTCATTTTTATTGCTTTACTATGTAACACTACTTCAGTTTTTAAAAGTTTGATTTGTAAAATACTTATATTTAAAAACAACTGTGTCCCCATTGTTTATATTTTACAAGGCCAGTATTAATATTTCTATTTGCTATTTTAAGAGAAATTGTTTCAGCTACAGTTGAAACACCCTCTCTCATCTCCTTTCCTGTTCCCCTTCCAGGATTAAATGCTCCCCTGAAATTGGTATAGATCCTTTATTCAAGTTTTATCACTTTTATGTGTTTATATGGATGCATTTTTTGAACGTTTTAAAATTTTACAAAACTAGTGATGTAGATTTGTTTTTAATTAAAAAAACAGTTTTGATTTTTTTTTTTAAGCAAGGGAGAGTGAGAAACATTGATTGCTGCCTCTTGCATGCCCCCTACTGGGGATGGATCCTGAAACTCCGGCATGTGCCCTGACTGGAATTGAACTGGCATCAGTGCATGGGATGCTGCTCAGCCACTGAGCCACATCGATCAGGGCTGTTGTGGAGATCTTTTTGTAATGTTCTTGCTTCATTATTATCTTTTTGAGATTCATATATTTGGGAAATGTTGATCGAGTTCATTCATTTTAATAGCCATATAGCATTCCAGCCTATACATAAACCACTATTGATTCATTTCTGTATAAATATAGGTGGAGTCTATCCTGTGCAGATAGTTCTGCTTAAGTATCCTTAATTTGTCAGAATAAATAGTAGTAGGGAACTACCAGATTGTTCTTCAAAGGGGTTTGAAGAACCCCTTGTTTATGTTCCCGTCAGCATCTGTTCATAGAGTTCGCTTTTCCCTGTAATCTGATGGATATTTCACTAATGTTATGATTTTCATTTTCTATCTTTGAGTGTTAAATTCACTGAGGTAATTCTCTCTGAGTTCAGACACGAATGATAAAACCATATTTTTAAGCAAACTGGGATAGGAATCTGATAGACTTAAGTAAAAAGACCAGTGTCCTTTATATCAAATACAAATGATGAGTTATATGAGATAACAGCCCTGTGTCCAGGAGTTATTTTTCAGTTCTCCAGAATTCTGTGGTTCCTTGTTAAACAACATAAGCATTGTGTTAGAATTTTTTGGCTTTCTTCTTATGATCAGGGTCTGGCAAGTTTTTGCCAACAGCTGACCAGTTGTGGAGAACTTTGAGATTGTATCAGAGCCCATCCCTTCCAAGGCCGTGTGCAGCTGCCTCGGGAATGGCTGGGACTGCGGTGGCTGAGTACACGTGCAGGCCTGGCCCCATGCAGGAAGCTTATGCACGTGGTCATCAGAACAAGGCCTGCCAGTCTCCATTCTCGTCGGGAGAAGGGAGAAGGTGAGGTGCCTTCACAGGCGCCTGCCAAGCCTGAAAGAAACCGTGAGCACACAGCAAGTAGTTCTGGGGGCAGCCCTGGCCAGTTTGTCTCAGCGGTTAGAGTGTCGGCCTGCGGTCCGAAGAGTCACAGGTTCGATTCCAGTCAGGGGCAAGAGCAAAAGTGCGGGCCTAGGTTGCGGCTCGATCCCTGACCCTGGTTGTGGTCTTGTGGGATGCGACCAGTCAGTGTGTCCCGTGTGTCGTCCCCCCCCCCCCCCCCATCTGAAGATAAATAGAAAAATATCCTTGGGTGAGGATTAAAAAAAAGTTCTGGAGGCTGGGAAGTCCAAGATCAGGGCTCTGGCAGACTCAGAGTCTGGTGGGAGCCCACATCCTGGTCACAGCCATCTTTTTGCTGTGTTCTCACATGTTGGAGGGGCCACTTTAATTTTTTTGAAGTGTACAATTCAGTTGTTTTTAGTATATTCAAAAAGTTGTGCTACCATCACCACAGCCACCTTTAGCATATTTCCATGATCACTGTAAGAAACCCCTGCCTGTTAGAAATCTCTCCTCATTTCTGCCACAACTCTCCTACTTTCTGTCTCTGTAGAGTTGCCCATCCTGGCTTTTCATATCAATAGAAGGACACAGTATTTAGTATGGATGGCGTTACTGGTTTCTTTAACATAGTATTTTCAAGCTTCATTCATATTGCAGCAAGTTTGAGTAGTTTTCATTGCTGAGTAACACATCATTATAGGGATATTCCCCCTTTTAATCCATCTACCAGTTCATGGACATTTGTGTCGTGTCCACTTTTTGACCGTCAGGAGCAGTGCTGCTGTGGACGTTCATGTTGAGGTTCTGTGTGTGGCTGTGTACTCCGTCGCTCTCGGGTGTACCTGGACTGGAGTTCCCGGGTCTGCGGTAGCTCTCTGTTTTCTGAGGGACTGTCAGACTGTTCCAAAGCGACTGCCTCATTGGACATTCTCAGTAGCAGTGAACAAGGATTCCAGTTTCTCCTTATCTTTATTTGTTATTTTGTCTTTTTGACTCTAGCCTTTTTAGTGGGTGCAAAGTCATATTTCATTGTTGGTTTTTTGTTGTTTTTTTAATCCTCACCTGAGAACATTTTTGCATTTATCTTCAGATAGAGTGGGAAGGAGAGAGGGAGGAAGAGAGAGAGAGAAACATCCATGTGAGAGAGACATATTGAGTGGCTGCCACCCACACAACCCCAACCAGGGCTGGGGACAAACTGTGACCAAGGTATGTGCCCTTAGCGGGAACCGAACCTGGGACTCTCTGGTCCACAGGCCAACACTCTAACCACTGAGCCAAACCGGCCAGGGCTCACTGTGGGTTTTTAGAAGTATTTTTTATTAAAGCATAGTTGATACACAGCATTACATTAGTCTCAGGTGCCCAACAGCGATTAGACTGTTCGTGCACCTCTGCTCACCCCACTGAGTCTGGTAGCCGTCTGTCACGGTGCTCCCCTTGACCTTCTCGCCCATCCCTCCGCCCGTTCCCCCTGGTGGCCATCAGTGTATCCTGTTTCTATGAGTCTAATTGTGTTTTGTTTTGATTTTTTAAGAAATTCTACCTATTAGTGAAATCATGCGGTATTTTCTCTGTGTGACTTATTCAGCACGGTACACTGTAGGTCCATCCGTGTTGCGGCTGGCAGGATTGTGTTCTTTTCGTTGCTGCTCATGGTGATGTTGATGCCATTTTCCTGATGCTAACTGGACTCCGTTTTGGCCATGCTTGTTTAGTGCCACCTGAAAGCATATAGGTAGAGATGTCAAATAGGCAGTTTGGACTTGAGTTTGGAACTTGGGAGAAAGCTGAGGAGTTGTAGGTTGGGCGCAATGAGCCAGTGTGTAGATGGACCCAAGCAGAGGGAGTCTGAAAAATGAGAAGGGGAACAGCCAATTGGGAATGAAAGGACAGCAGAGGAAGCGGAGCCTGCCAGGAGCCAGACACGCCACTGCCAGAGAGGGACATGGAAAACCAGCAGAATGTGGAAGTGGATGTTGGGAGAAAGGGACAGTGATACAAACCTTGCTGAGAGACTCACTAACACTAGGACTGAGGTGTGGCCTTTAGATTCTGTAGAAGGTGGCCATTCCAGCAGGTAGCGGGGCTGAGGCCAGGTTAGACAGACAGTGAGGAGAGGCAGAGAGAGGGCTCAGCAAGTGTGGATGGTTCTAAAGCAGTTTATGAAGGGAGGGGGCACATTTGGTGGCGTCAGGAGATTTCATTTCAGACGAGATGGAAGAGGTTGGAACATTAGCAGGATGGTCTGCATCCCAATCTCCATGAGAAGGCAGAAGGCGAGATCCTGAACCCATTTTATAACAGGGAGGGAAGGCTCTGGCCAGTTTGGCTCAGCGGTCAGAGCACCGGCCTGCGGACTGAAGGATTATGGTTCAGTTCCAGTCAAGGGCACATACTTGAGTTGCAGGTTCGATCTCTGACCCCAGTGGCAGTTGTGTGGGAGGCAGCCAATCGATGTGTCTCTCTCACATTGATATTTCTCTCTCCTCCTCGCTCCTCTCCTTCCTTTCTTACTCTCTCTAAAAATTAATGGAAAAATACCCTTGGGTGAGGATTAACAAAAAAATAAATAAAATATAGTGGAGAGAGAAGGAGAAATGAATGTGTGTTGAGGGTAGGTTGATGTTTCCTCTGTTCTCGTTTTCCTGTGAGACGAAGCTGTTCTCATGGAATGTTGTAGGAGTTAATGTGTTAGCATGAAAAGTGGGGGAGGTTTGTAACAGACACTGTGGAGAAAGAGAGAGCGCCAGCCATGAAAATATAAACAGGTTCTGGACTGCATGAATAACCCAGGAGAGTATAAAACCATACGTTCACAGTGGTACTGCTCATGGTGTGTGGTTTTCCCCAGCAGTTCTTAGCAGTGTAGCCCTGGGGCAGGGGAGGCTCAGTGCTTCAGCCCAGGCTGGGGTCTGCCCGAGGGAAGGGAGTGAGCGTAGGGAAAGGCCTGACTGCTGGACTGAACTGGAGCATGCAATTTAAGCTGGGTAGGGAATTGATTCTATATAGCAGTAATCAATTTTGACTCCATATATTTTTTTAAAATATGTTTTTATTAATTTTTTTAGAGAGACAGAAACATCAGTGTGAGAGAGAAGCATCGATCGGCTGCCTCCTGCATGCCCCTTACCTAGAATCGTGCCTGCAACCTGGGCATGTGCCCTGACCGAGAATCAAACCGGGATCTCTCAGTCCATGGGATGCTCCATCCACTGAGCCACCCCGGCCGGGCTTGGACCCCATAGTAGACTCTCACTGTAGTATCACGTCATTTTGCAGCAAGCTAGAAGTTCTGTGCAAGTTTACTCACTATTGTGCTAGTCTAATGTTAATTACTGTAATCCAGGTGTTACTTGGAACCTGTGAAGTCCTCGACATTATTTGATTAATCTGTTTTAGTAAATAAAGATATAATTAGTAGAATTTGTGAATGCACTTTTTCAAACGCTTCAGTCTGATATTTCGATACAGTGTGAGACTGCGGCACAGCAGGAGTTTGCTGAAGAACTTCAGAGGCGGGAACGTTACTTACTTGAAAGAGAACAGCTGCTCTTCAGACACGAAACTGCCTTGAGTAAAATGAGAGGTGTGGAGGAAGAGGTGCTCACCAGGTTTCGGGTTATGAAGGAGGTAACTGGTGTTCGATTTCAGAGTTTCTGTTTTCCCCTAATTCAGATTCACTAGTTAGCTCTCTCCCTCCCTCTCCCTCCCTCCCTCCCTCTCCCTCCCTCTCCCTCTCCCTCTCCCTCCCTCCCCCTCTCCCTCTCCCTCCCTCTCCCTCTCCCTCCCTCCCTCTCTTTCCCTCCCTTTCCCTCTCTCTCCCTCTCCCTCCCTCCCCCTCCCTCCCTCTCTTTCCCTCCCTCTCCCTCTCTCCCTTCCTCCCTCCCTCTCTCTTCCTCCCTCTCTCTCCCTCTCTCTCTCTGTTTCTTCTCCCCACACACCTCTCTCTCTCTCTCTCACTCACTCACACACATAAACATTTTGCCCTGGTTCATTTGAAAATAAGTTGCAAAAGTCATGACATAGCACCCCTAAATACTTCCTTAGTATTGTAAAGATTTATTTGTATCGCCTAAGAGGAATTATATTCTCTATACTGTTATCATATTAGGAAAGTAATATAATTAAACAATGCTAATTAAATAATTTAACTTAATATACAATTCACACTCACTTTCTCATTTGGTTCCCGAAATGTCTTTTTTTTTTTTTTTTAATCTTCACCTGAGGACATTTTTGCATTTATCTTCAGATAAGGCAGGAGGAAGAGAGGGAGGAAGAGAGAGAGAAACATCAACATGAGAGAGACACATCACTTTGAGTGGTCGCCACCCACATGACCCCAACTGGGACCAGGGACAAACTGCAACCGAGGTACGTGCCCCTAGTGGGAACCGAACCTGGGACTCCCTGGTCCGCAGGCCGACACTCCAACCGCTGAGCCAAACTGGCCAGGGGTTTGTTATGTCTTTTGTTACTGTTTTTTTATTTTGTTTTATTTTCTGATGAAGAAACTAGATGTAATTCATACATCATGTTTTATTTTTGTATCTTTTTGGTTTCTTCGAATCTAGAGCAGTCAGCTCTACTGGTTTTGTTGTTTGAGGGACTTTTCTCTGGAGGCTCCAGGCCAGTGTTCTACCGAGCGGTCTCACTCTGGGTCTGCCCTGTTGACAAGTGATCGTGTTCAGATCCCTGTCGAGAATGCTGTATAGTTTATGCTGTATCCTTCTTTGTTTCATATCGAGATCTGTTACTGTGTATCACTCATATGGACTGAATGTCTTTGTTTTAAAAAATGCCTGCAATCTTGTCATCACTGCCGTCATCAAGGCAACAGTTCCAGCACGCAGTTTCCTTGTGCTCCTTTGTAGTTGTCCCCGCTCTTGTAGTCAGCCCTGTGGCTCCGCCTTTTCCCACAGGACGTGGAAGTAGAATCATGACATGACTTTTCTGTAAGGAATCGGGGGCGCCGCCGAATAAAACAGAGAAGAGACTGGAGAGCCAATCAGCCGAATAAACAGGGATCAGGCTTTATTGGGTGCACTCCGGGTGGGTTCACAGACTCCGGGGGTCGAGTCCTAGAAGCCGCGCTCAATGTAGGGGCTCGTGTCTTTTATATCTGTCTGTTGTAGCTGGAATTTGTCCCTTAGGGTTTGGCCCTGCGGGGGCTATGCATGGAGCCTCTGGAATGTGAATCGATAAGAGCAAGATGGGAGTTAATCTACAAGCTTGAGGTAGGCTGTTCAGGGTGGGAGGCAAGGCTGAGCAAGTGAGACAATGGTCGAGCACTTTGCCTGGCGCCAGTCCCCAGGCCATCGGACATTTTCTTTATCTTTGGTTTTTAGCAGAAGTTCCATTGTGCTGTATCTCCACTTTTCTTTGAGTTTGTCCTATTTGGAACTCACTGAGTATCTTGAATTTGTACATTTTTTTTAATGTTTTTCACCAAATTTGGGATGTTTTTAACTAATATTTCTTCAAATATATATATTTTCTTACTCCAAGTGCTCCCTCTTCTCCGTTTGGATCCTGGTTGCTCACATGTTCGGTTTTCACTGTTCCCCACAGATCTCTGGGGCCCTTTCTCCTCGTCCTCATTTTTCCTTCTGTGGTCTTCAGATTTGTAGTCCCTTTGCATTTATTTACAGTTACTTCATGGAACATAGTTAAAAACCCAGCACGTGGATCATCTAAGGAGTGGTGTTTTTCTTGTCACTCAGTCACATGTTTCTGGTTCCTTAGATGTCCACTGACTTCTGGATTGTGTCTAAGACCTGTTAGATATTTTGTGTAGATTCTGAATGCTCGTATAATCCTCTGGAGAATGTTGGTTTGTTGTTGTTGTTGTTGTTGTTATTGTTGTTGTTGTTTGGTACGTGCTTCTAGCTGGAACCAAACCTGGGACTCTGGTCCGCAGGCCGACACTCCAACCGCTGAGTCAAACTGGCCAGGGCGAGAATGTTGGTTTTATTTGTTTACTTAAGCAGTCCGCTCGGTGAGGGTTGGCCAGTTCTCGCTTGCATTCTTTGGGCGGTGCCCAGACGGGTTAGGTGTCAGAACCTCAGTGGTGTTGCTGTGGGGTTGTGCTGTGCTTGTGCACTGGCTTGGTCAGACGTGGACAGTGTTGGAATCGGCTCGGTTCTTAAGCCCTTCTGCTGTGCTGCTGCAGCTCTTCTCCGTGCCTCTGCTGCGTGGCGGGGTGGTCGGACCTGGGTGGTATTTGTGATTGCTCTGATTGCTCCACCTTTGCTCTGCAACGTTTTTGTGTATGCTGTGCCTAGGCAGGTCAGGGTGACCCCGATTTGTACAGGTTCATATACACCAGAGTGAAAGGGTCCCATTTTTAATCTCGTTTCCAAGATTCCCCCCACATTTCACTCACGGGCCCCTTTTCCTGTTTTCCCTGGCCGGAAAGGCAGAGTTCCTCTGAGTGTTAGCAACCTGCACCAGTGCCGTCCATCTCTGACTGAGGCCTGTCCTGGGGCAAGGCTGCTGGAGAACAGGAGAACAAGGAACCTCAGGAAGCTGACTGACTTTAGGGTATTTCTGCAATTTCCTCCTTTGTTTCCTTTTCATATTTCTTATCTTTCACAGTTTTTGTGCCTTGTCTAGGGTTTTTTAGTTGTTATTACTAAGAGAAGTAGGGTGTAGTGAGCTTATCTTGCAAACAAAACTCATGTTTTCTTTTTTTTTTTTATTTATATTGTTCACAACACATTTATTTCCACTGGTTACAGCAGGTAAAATTAAGTGAAGAGAAAGTGTTTTATCTTTCTTGACTTGTTATATAATGAAGAGATCCTCTAGATTTCTGGGTAAGAGGCATAACTAGCAATCCCACAATGATTTCCACTGTTTCTTGCCATCCGAATATATCCTTGGTCACCAAAATGGAGGCCCCAGCTTGGGCTCCGGCGGCGGGAGGGCGGACTGGACTGGAACTGTGTCGGGACACTCGGGGTTTGGAGGGCGCTCAGAGCTTTGGCTGAGTGCAGCCACTCAGGACGGTGGCCACATTGCTCCTTCACTCATGTTTTCAACACCTTTTGGATGTGTAAAACTTTGGAAATGAGACTATTAACCTGATTTTTAAAGTGAGTGTATTTTAAAAACTTTTATTTTTCAATTACAATTTACATTCAGTATAATTTTGTATCACTGCCAGGTTCCGCGTAGTGATGAGACAGTCGTATGCCTCCCAGAGTGGTTCCCTGATGTTTGCAGTGCCCACCCGGCACCACACAGTTATCACGATATTATTGACCATCTGTCCTATGCTGTACTTTCCATCCCTGGGATTATTTTGTATCTACCAGTTTGTGCTTTTTTTGTTGTTGTTAATCCTCACCCGACGATATATTTTCCATTGATTTTTCGAGAGAGTGGAAGGGAGGCGGGGAGTGAGAGAGAGAGATAAAGAAACATTGATGCGAGAGATACACATCAGTTGCTTGCCTCCTGCACTTGCCCAAACCAGGCCAGGAATGAACCTGCAAATGAGGAACATGCCCTTGACCGGGAATTGAACCTTCAGAGAATGGGCTGACACTCTAACCAGTGAGTCACACTGGCCAGAGCCAATTTGTGCTTCTTAATCCCTTCACCTTATTCACCCAGGACTCCAACTCTGCTCCCAGCAGTTTGTTCTCTGTATCTGTCCCTTTTGTTCTTTAGATCCCACATATAAGTGAATCATACCGACATTTGTCTTTCTCTGACTTATTTCACTTTGCATAATACCCTCTAGTTTATCCGTGCTGTCTCGAATGGTAGATTTCATTCTGTGTATGGCTAACATTTCATTGTAAATATATACCACAACCTTTTTATCCACCGTCTATTGATGGGCACTTGGGTTACGTCCATATCTTGGCTGTGGTAAATGCTTCAGTGAGCATAGGTGTGCATATATTCTTTCAGATGAGTATTTTAGGTTTCTTCAGCTATATACCCGAAGTGGACTCTCTGGCTCATGTGGAAGCTCCATTTTTAATTTTTTGAGGAACCTCCACACTGTTTTCCGCAGTGGCTGTTTCATTTGCGTTCCCACCAGCAGTGCTGAGGATTCCCTTTTCTCCACACCCTCGCCAGCACTTATTGTTTGTTGGCTTATTGATGGTAGTCATCTGACAGGTGTGAGGTGATATCTCATTGTGGTTTTAATTTGCAGCTCTCTGATGATTAGTAACATTGAGCATCTTTCTTAATTGCCTATTGGCCATCTGTATGTCCTCTTTGGAGAAGTGTGTATTCAGGTCCTCTGCCCATTTTCTTATTGGATTTTTTTTGGTGTTGAATTATATAAGTTCTTTATAAATTTTGGATATTAACCCCTTATCAGATGTATTATTGGTGAATATCTTTTTCTATTTATTTATTACTCCTTACCCGAGGACATTTTTCCATTTTTTGTTCAGATAGAATGGGAGGGAGAGAGAGGAAGAGAGAGAGAGAAACATCGACATGAAAGGGACACATCGAGTGGCTGCCTCCCGCACGACCCAACCAGGGCCGGGGACAAACTGCAACCGAGGTACATGCCCTTAGCGGGAACCGAACCCGGGTCTCACCGGACCATGGACCGACGCTCTAACCGCTGAGCCAAACCAGGCAGGGCTCTTTTTCTATTTAGTAAGTTGTCTATTTAGTAAGTTGTTGTATGGATGGTTTCCTTCGTTGTGCAGAAAATTTTTAGTTTGATGTCATTCCTTTGTTTCTTTTGTTTCCCTTGCTCAAGGAGATGTATCAGAAAAAAATATTTCTAAGAAAAATGTCAGTGATTTTGCTGCCTATGTTTTTTTAAATTTATTAATTTGAGAGAGAGAGAGAAACATTGATTTGTTGTTCCACTTATTTTGCATTCATTCATTGATTCTTATATGTGCTCGGATTGGAGATTGAACCTGCAACCTTGGTGTATTGGGATGATGCTCTAAACAACTGAGCTCCCTGGCCAGGGCTTCTGCCTGTTTTCTTCTAGGAGTTTTATGGTTTTGAGTCTTAAATTTAAATACTTAATCCATTTGAGTGTATTCTTGTCTATGGTGTAAGAAGGTGGTCTAGTTTCATTTTTTGCTAGTATCTGCCGAATTTTCCCAGCACCGTTTATTGAATAGACTGTCTTTACCCCATTGTATGTTCTTGCCTCCTTTGTCATAGATTAATTGACCACTTAGGCATGGGTTCATTTCTGGTCTCTGTTCTGTTCCATTGATCTATGTATCTGTTTTTTATGTCAGTAACATGCTGTTTTAAATACTTTAGACTTGTAGTATAGTATAATTTGATATCAGGTAGCATGATACTTCAAACTTTGTTCTCCTTTCTCAAGATTGCTGTGGCTATCTGGAGTCTTTTGTGGTTCCATACAAAATTTTGGATTATTTGTTCTAGATCTGTGAAATACACCATGGGCATTTTGATAGGAATTGTACTGTATCTCTAGATTGCTTTGTTCATTAATTTTTGCACAGAATTTTTAACTTTATTATTAGCTACCGAGCTGTGAGATACAAACCAGTCAAAAACATTAAAGAAAAGTTGCATGAAACAGGTGTACACAGACATACTAGATATACTACACAGAAGCCCAAGTTGTGTCTTCCAATCCCAAAGCTGTCCCTGTGGGAAAGGATGACCTCCGCTGGGGCAGAGGCGTGTGGGTCACGGCAGTGACAAGAGTCCCCATCAAGGAGAGCAGCGACAGCTACAGCCACACGAGCCCAGAATCCATGAAATCGTTTTCAAAGGTTCTCGTAATCATAAAGTTTTCAGTGAAAACAGGAACCCCTCTTTTCCTGTAGGCCTTCCAGCTCGCAATTGAACAGACTTGACATCAAGGCAACTGGAAGCCCTCCTGTGCCTTGAATGGTGAGTTCTGCCCAATGTGTGGCCTTTCCTTCCTGTGTCAGTAGTGCCGTCCAACAGAACATGCTGCGGGACACAGCAGTTGATTGCAGTGCCGCCTCTGGTGCAAGGGAGACAGCGCTCAGCAGAAGGCCACAGGGCTCCCTGTGAATCCGCACACCTGAGGGAGGCCCTCCGCTTTCCAGAAAGACTGTGCAGCTGGATCCGGGTGGAACATTGCCCTGCAGCAAGGAGCAGTGTGTGTGCCTGTGAGAGCGCCCGGCTTCCAAGACTGTTACAGCAGCTTCCTGGGTCAATTTCTCTCCCTCCCATTCATATTAGTGTGAGCAAACATCTTGACCTTGATTCTCACTCAGCACAATCGCTCTGTGCAGAGGAGTTTGCCTCTGAGTCTGGAACCTCAGCACAGGCTGAGACACTCCACAGCCCAGGGCAGTATGCACTTTTTTTTTTTAAATCCTCACCCAAGAACATCTTTGCACTTATCTTCAGATAGAGCGGGAGGGAGAGAGAGAGGAAGAGAGAGAGAGAAACATCGACGTGAGAGAGACACATCAACTGGCTGCCACCTACACAACCCCAACCGGGGCTGGGGACAAACTGACCAAGGTATGTGCCCTTGACAGGAACCCAACCCAGGTCTCGGGCTGCTGCTGTAACTGCTGAGCCAAACTGGCCAGGGTGGTATGCACATTTTCATGATGATAGTTTATTCTGTCCGTAAGCATGGAGTGTGCTTCCATTTATGTTTATCTTTTTCATTTTCTTTCTTCAGTGTCTTATAATTTTCTGTAGGTCTTTTCCCTCCTTGGTTAAATTTATTTACAGGTTTTTGTTTGTTTGTTTTATACAATTGTAAATGGGATGGTTTTCTTAGTTTCCCTCTCTGAGAGTTTATTATTGGTGTATAAAAATGTAACTGGCCCTGGCTGGTTTGGCTCAGTGGTTGGAGCGTCGGCCTGCGGTCCAGAGAGACCCGGGTTCGGTTCCCGCTAAGGGCATGTACCTCGGTTGCAGTTTGTCCCTGGCCCTGGTCGGTCGTGCGGGTGGCAGCCACTCGATGTGTTCCTTTCACGTCGATGTTTCTCTCTCTCTCTCTCTCTGTTCCTCTCTCTCCCTCCCACTCTACCTGAACAAAAAATGGAGAAATGCCCTCGGGTGAGGATTAAAAAAAAAAAAATGTAACTGATTTCCAAAAGTTTATTTTGTATCCTGCTACTTTACTGAATTCATTGATCAGTTCTAGTAGTTTTTTGGTGGAATTTTTAGGTTTCTCTCTATATAATATCTTGTCATTTGCGAATAATGACAGTTTTACTTCCTCCTGTCCAGTTGGAGGCCTTTTACTGCTTCTGCTTGTCTGGTGGCTGTGGCTGGGACTGCAGTGCTGTGCTGAGTAAGCGTGGTGGAAGTGGACAGCCCTGTCTTGTTCCTGATCTTAAGGAAACGCTTGTAGTTTTTGCATTGACTGATGTTGGCTGTAGGTTTGTCATCTATGGCCTTTATTATATTGAGAGATGTTTCCTCTATTCCCACTTTGCTGAGAGTTTTTATCATAAATGGGTGCTTGATTTTGTTGAATGCCTTTTCTGTAGCTTTTGATATAATCGTGATTTTTAGTCATTTTGTTTATGTCATGTATCATGTTAATTGATATGCTGGTATTGAAACAACCTTACGTCCCAAAATAAATCCCATAAAGTATGTGTATTTATGACTATGTCTTAAGTTATTTAAAGAATCATTTAATGTAATAATAAAATTGCATAAACCTAATTTTTTCCAGATGATTAGATTTTTAAACATGTTTTCAGAAGAAGAAATGCTTGGTTTCTCAGAGCATTTTATCCTACTTTTATTCTTGTTTTTATTTTTTAATCCTCACTCAAGGATATTTTTCCATTGATTTCTAGGTAGAGTGGAAGGGGGCGGGGGAGAGAGAGAGAAAGAGAAAGAAACATTGATGAGAGAGACACACATCGCTTGGCTGCCTCCTGCCTGACCCCGATTGAGGCTGGGGATGGAACCTGCAGCCCCGGTACCTGCCCTTGACCGGAATCAATCCTGCAGCTCTTCGGTCCACAGGCCGACCTTCTAACTGCTCAGCCAAACTGGCCAGGGCTTGTTTTTTCTTGTTCTTTTTCTCTTTAGATTTGTCTGTCTGCTATTATTAAGTGTAAAGATAACTGCTGTATTTTTTTTTAATTAATTAATTTATTATTTTAAACTTATCTTTATTATTGAATGTATTATAGATGTTCTTCTTTTTCCCCTCGTATAACTGTTGTATTTTAATAGTATCTATATGATTACTTGGAAGAAGGAAACTTAACATACTTTTTTTGATTTCCTATGTGAAGTTGCATTTTAAAATATGTTAGGAATAAATTGAGAGAAAAAGGTGAAAGAAAGTAAATATTCATACTTTAAATTGAAGCATGCTTTCTCATTTAAATGTAATTAGGGGGAAATTGATTTGAATCATTTATAAAACTGATTAAGGAGAGTTAAATAGGGGATCAGAGAAGATTTATTATATATGTTAATTTTTTGAGACATAAAACAACTTGAGCTACTTTGCGAGAACGAGATTATTTTGTTCTGTCTGTAAACTGTTTCTTCTACTCCTCAAGGGTAACTTAAACCTTAAATTTCAATTTATAAAGCTGTGACCAACTAACTAGTCTATTGAAAAAAATCCAAAGTACCTCTTTGTTTTATCATTCTTTGATGTCAAGTAGAAGTGATGTCATTGAGTTTCTGTGGTGGATTTTTCTGAGCAGAAGTTTTATCACTGCTTTATTTGTATAATATGTTTCTGTTTTGTCTTGTTAATCCTGACCCGAGGATATTTTTCCCATTGATTTATTTTTTTTAGAGAGTGGAAGGGAGGGAGGGGAAGAGAGAGAGAGAAACTTTGATGTGAGAGAGACATATTGATTGGTTGCCTCCCATATGCGCCCTGATGGGCTGGGGATCAAACTTGCAACCCAGGTATGTGCCTTCCACTGGAAATTGAGCCCTCAACCCTTTGGTTCATGAGCCAGTGCTCTAACTACTGAGTCACACTGGCCAGGGCTGTATAATATGTTTGAATAGGTGTTTCACAAGTGCCTTTAGTGCTTGGTTAGTGCTTTGATTGATTATATAGTTATTATGGATTATTTTCAGTATTAGTCATGTATGCTTAAACATGCTAATCAAAGTTCTTTTGATTTAAGGGGTTATAATTTTTAATTTATGTTCAGTACCATTAATGATCAGGAATCCTTGCCTAATTTTTAGATAAGATTTTTTTCTCTCTTAGCAACATGATGCAGAAGTTGTGCACTTAACTGAAGTTCTTAAGGAAAAAAACAAAGAGAGCAAGCGGCTCAGGTCTTCCTTTGACACCTTGAAGGAACTGAACGACAGCCTGAAGAAACAGGTGAGCTCTATGTTAACGTGTACTGGATTATAAGACATTCCTGGGACTGTGTGACTTATATACAACACATCGTAAGTCAGTTTTAGAACATCTGGCTAGAGAAATTTTTGATTAACTTTGGCAGCTTTATTACAATACGTACAAATATAAAATATTCTTAAGCTTCTGATCTCTCATCATCTTATCCTGGCAACCAGCTGAGACGTTTTGCAAGTTGAAATTTTTAAAAAATATAAAAATAAGTACTAGATTTAAAAGCAAGCAAGGGAAGAAACCGTGTAGTCTGGGGACTCGAGCTGCTGTTGCACACCGCTTCCCTGACCTCGTCTGCTCTGCGCGGCTGCCTGTGAGGCTTCGTGCCGGAGGGGTGTTCACATCACTCGTGCCCGCAGAGCACAGACAGGGTCGTTGCCCCGTGGTGATTTACTTACACGAGCGGTGTAATTTAACACTGGACTCAATGGTACTAAAGTTTGCATAGCATATTTTTGTGAGTTATATGTTTTTTTTTCAACTTCCATTTGCCAGTTTTTGACTGAAAAATGTGGAAGTGGAGGTATGTTGAGGAGGGACGGGAGAGAGAGTCATTTGTATGGTGGAAGGAGGAGTGGAAGAGCAGAGTGGGTTAAGCTCAGTTTCTCAGCAGACAGAGAGCCCTGGGCTGGAAAACTGGATGGGATCTGAGGTGGCTCAGCTCAGATTCTCAGAGTAATCTGCCTCCTTGGATCCTTAGCTGGCTGTGTATTTTCTGTTTTATTCTCTTTTTATTTAATTTTTTTTCTTTATTTTTTAGAGAGAAAGGAAGAGGGAGAGAGAGATGGAAACATCATGAGAGAGAACGTGGATTGGCCGCCTCCTGCATGCCCCCCACTGGGGATCGGGCCCACAATCTGGGCATGTGCCCTGACCGGGAATTGAACCAGTGACCTCTTGGTGCATGAGTCAGCGTTCAGCCACCAGGCCACACCAGCTGGGCTATTTTTTTTTTAAATCCTCACCTGAAGATATGTTTTTATTGGTTTTAGAGTGAGAGGAAGAGAAAGAGAGAGAAACATCCATCAGTTACCTCCCATATGCGCCCTGACTGGGGATCAAACTCGAAACCTAGGTATGTGCCCCAACTGGGAATCTAACCCATAACCTCTTGGTGAATGGGATGATGTTCCAGCTACCTGAGCCACCTGGCCAGGGCTCTCTGTTTTCATTCTGATTTTCCCTGATGAGTCTTGAACTACTTGTGACAACCTTTCCCCTTTGCAGTAATAACCAGGTACCGTATTTTCACGTCATCTAGTTTTTTGGCTTCCCTGAGTCATTCATGACCTCCCACAATTGGAATATGATCTTGAACTAGTTCTCTGGGAGCTTGCTCTGTACCTAGAGAGAGTACTTTTCCCATCACCATCTCAGTTTAGCACTCAGAAAAGACCAGGATTTCTTTAATCGCTGGCAGGTACATCGTTGCCCATTCCTGTCTCTGGGTTTATGTTTATGTACTCCTTGATACTTTACATGTGCTTGCATGAGTGTGCAGTGATTGGAGTGGCCGTGTGCGTTCGTAAGTGATGGAACCTGTCAGTAATTGGACTTGTGGCCGTGTGTCCATACTCAAAGAGGCTGAGAGGAGTTCTTTGGTATGGAGCGGCAGGATGCTTTTTAATTGTTTGTTTAGTGTATATTAGGGGTCAGCAAATCTTTTCTGTTGAGAGGCCAGATAGTAAATGTTTTGGACTTTGTGGATCATCTGTTCTCTGTCATAATGACTCAACTCTACAAACACAGTTATTGGCTAAGTAAGTGAATGAGCATGGGCGTGTCCTGATAAGACCTTATTTATAGAAACAGGCAGGGGTCAGGTTGGGCCCTCATGCCGTAGTCTGCCAGCTTCTGGCATGATGAATGATGTATGCTTTGAAATTGCTAAATATACAGGTCAGTTATTTCTGTGATTCACTTACATAGCACTTTACGATAGCATTGGATATAAATAAATTTTATCAGTAATAATAGTGAATTTCCCATGAAGTCTTATCAAGTTGAGGAGACGGCCAGTGTTCAGCACTCGTTGCAGGGCCGACTCCGGTGAGCACCCCGGCTCACGTGGAAAGCGCAGTGCTGAGCCCGGAGGAGGTGCATTGGAGGGAGATGGAGCCTGTCAGAGTGAAGCCTCTCCTTAGCAGGCTAACTCATCTCAGTCGTCATCAGATGACGGTGATCAGTCCCCTTTTCCTTTATGATTTTTATCTTTACCTGAGGATATTTTTCTGTTGACTTTTTTTTTTAGAGAGAGTAGAAGGGAGGAGAGACAGAGAGAGAAACATTGATATGAGAGAGACACATCTATTGGTTGCCTCCTGAATACATCCTGACCGGGGCCAGGGATTGAACCTGTAACCCAGGTATGTGCCTTAGATTGGGAATCGAACCTGTGACCCTTCTGTGTGCATGCCGACACTCTAACCACTGAGCCACACCGGTCAGGGCAGTCAGCCCTCATTTTATCTTATTTATTTATTTATTTTTTAAATCCTCACCCAAGGATTTTTTTTTCCATTTATCTTCAGATACAGTGGGCAGGAGGGAGGGAGAGAGAGGGAGAGAAAGAAAAAGAGAAACATCCATGTGAAAGATACACATCAACTGGTTGCTTCCTGCACGACCCCTACCAGGGCCAGGGACTGACCTGAAACCTTGGTACATGCCCTTGGTCGGAATTGAACCTGCGAGTCTTTGGTCTGTGGCCAACACTCTAACCACTGAGCCAAACCTGCCAGGGCAGTCAGTTCCCATTTAAATACCTAGCCAAAGAACGGAACAGCCCTTTCTAAAAGATGATATCATATGTATAAAAATTGCAACTTTCTGTCCTTCTATACAAAATTAATAAGCACATTAAAAGACAGAATTGTAGCCTCTTACCAGATAGCTCAGTTTGTTAGAGTGTTATCTTGATACGCCAAGGCTGTGGGTTCATCCTGGGTCAGGACACATAAAGAATCCACCACAGAATGCTTAAACAAGTGGAAAACAAATTGATTCTCCCCCACCCCCCAAAAATAGAATCATATGACTAAATATGAGGAGGGAAAAAAAACACGGACAATATGAACATGTCTATGGGTGATCCAAATATTAGAGTTAATAGGCAATGACTTTAAAATAATGATTAATATGTTTACTAAAGTTGGAAAAGATTGAGAATTTATTAATTTATTTAATTATTGGTACATGCCCCTAGCGGGAACTGAACCTAGGATTCTTGGGCCCACAGGCCAATGCTCCAACCGCTGAGCCAAACTGGCCAAGGCTGATTGAGAACTTTATTAGAGAATTAAGGTCTATAAAAGGGAATTTAATTAAATTCTAAAACTGAAAAATACATTAATTGAATTTAAATCTTCAATAAATGGGCTTTACAGCAGAATTAGACACAGCAGAAAGCAGGGTTAGTGAACTGGAAGGTAGTTTCATGGAAAGTCTTGAAATTAAAACATTGAGTGGAGAAAGAATATAAAATTCATAAAGGAGAGATGGTCTCTAGTTAATGAGTTTAACATGGGAATTCCAAAAGGAGATAATGGGGCAAAAGCAAAATATGTGAAGAGATAATGGTCACGAATTTCCAGAACTGGGGAAAGCTGCCAACCCACGAACTTAAGAAATTAGCCCTAGGCAGGGTAACTTTCAAGGAAAACCTATATACGTAGGCACGTTATTTTAAGACTGTTGAAAACTTTGAGTAAAGGTGGTCAGAGAAAAATAAGACACTTTGCCTTCAAAGGAGGAACAGTGAGACTCATGACTCACTGAGGGATGGAATGTCATGTCCCTTAAACATAAGTAGGGAAAGAGAGAAAGTCCCCTTCTTGTGTATGAGGCCCCGCATAACCTTTAAACTAAAGCTATCGAGAGCATTATAAGCAAAGGAAAATGTTAACCAGTCTCTCATGAATATAGGTGCAAAATTTTAAAATATCAGCAATTTGAGGTCAGCAGTACATAAAAAGGAAACACAACTGAGTGGATTTAGTCCAGGAATACAAGGGTGGTTTATCATTTGAACATGAATGCATTGTCTCATAAAAGGAGAAACTTTATTATAATTTCTTTTGATAAAAAATTCAGAACCACCCTGGCCAGTTTGGCTCAGCGGTTAGAGCGTTGGCCTGCAGTCCAGAGAGAACTGGGTTTGGTTCCCGCTAAGGGCACGTACCTCAGTTGCAGTATGTCCCCGGCCTTGGTGGGTCGTGCGGGTGTTAGCCACTAGATGTGTTCCTTTCATGTCGATATTTCTCTCTCTCCCCCTCCCTCCCACTCTATCTGAACAAAAAATGGAAAAATGTCCTTGGGTGAGGATAAAAAAAAAATCAGAACCAACTCATACTAGTAATAAAAGAGAACTTCTTAATTCTGATAAGAGTACCTAAAATAAACCCAACAATAAATTTATCCTTAATGCAAGTTACTGAAATCTTTTCCTTCTGAGATCATAACAAAATTAATGTGCTAACTATTACTATTTCTGTAGAACATGATGCTGAAAGCCCTAGTCAGTGGATCAAGGGACAGTCCTAGAAAGTAAGGATTTGGAAAGGAAGAAGTCAGAATTATGCACATATGACACAGTTGAATACCTGTGTACATAGGTATCCAAAAAAAATGTACAGACAAGTTACTAGATTTAAGTCAATTTAGGAGAACTTTATATAAGTTCAGTATACAAAAATCAAATGTATTTTTTATATACTAACAAATAGTAAATGTTATTTATTTATATGTATACTTAATCCACATCCTAGGATATTTTTCCATTTATCTTCAGATAGAGTGGAAAGGAAGGAGGGAGAGAGAGAAACATCAACATGAAAGAGACATATTGATTGGTTGCCACTTGCAGAGCCCCAACCAGGGCTGGGAACCAAATTGCAACCGAGGTACATGCCCTTGACTGAATTGAACCCGCAACTCTTTGGTCCATGGGCTGATGCTCTAACCACTGGGTCAAACCGGGCAGGGCAAATGTTATTTATTGAAAGATACCATAGTTGATAGCATAAAATACATTAGCTATCCAGAAATAAATCTAAAGAAAGATATATAAAACGTGTACTGAAAAGTACAAAACATTAAAAGAAAATAAAGACCTAAATAAATTGAAGAGTATGTTATGTTCATAAATGGAAAGACTCAATATTGTAAAGATACCAGTTTTTCCCAAATTAATATATTTATTTAATATGATCTTAATAATTCATTACATTGCATACTTAATGGTTTTCACACTTTTCTGTACATACATTATAGTTCCCAAAACGTTCAGTTAAAAGACATTATAAGATGTTGGGAGACTTGCAAATTTATCATAGAATGAAACAGACTAGATACTGTTAATGTTTTGGGGACAAATGGTGATGTTAGCTGTGATCTTGAATTATGACTGCCACCTCTGTTTTGTTTCATTGCATGGTTATGCAGACTAGATACAATTGTGTTATTTGGGAGACCTTTAGTATGAAATCACTTCAAGGTGAATGCTTGCATAGAAATAACCAGCGTTTTTCTGTTTTAGTTAAATGACATGAGTGAAGAAAACAAGAAGATGGAGATTCAGGCTAAACGAGTTCAAGCTCGTTTAGATAATTTACAGGTAAGTTGCTTGTTCTCTTTTGGCATACGTGAGTTTTAAAGTGATTGCCTTGGGATTTTCTCGCTTCCAGTGCAGTGGCTGACTCATGGATGTTTGCTGTTGCAGAGGAAGTATGCGTTCATGACGGTGCAGAGATTGAAAGCAAACTCCCATGCTGCTCACGAAACGAAAAGTCTAAAGCAAGAGAAAGTGCCAGCTTCAAAAACATACAAGGTATGATCTCATTTAAATTTTCTCTTGTGAAAAGCTAGGAAACTTTCTCTTTGTTCTTTAATCTTTTTTTAAATCCTCACCTGAGGATATTTTTCCATTGATATATATATATATTTTTTTTACATAGAGTGGGAGGGAGTGAGGGAGAGAGTGACATAAACATCAGTGTCATCAGTGTTTCACATCAATTGGTTGCCTCCTGCATGACCCTTACCAGGGCCAGGGATTGAACCCACAGCCACGTATGCACCCTTGATCAGGAACTGAACCTGAGACTCTCGGGTTCTTGATCCAGTGCTCTAACTGCTGAGCAAAACTGGCCAGGGCTGTTTGTTCTTCAATCTTTTTATTTAATTTAGCAAACGCTGTTTTTAGTATGAAAGGAATATCTTTATATTTCAAATGTGCTTTTATTAGCAAAAGCAAAATAGTATTTCAGCAGTGTTTCAGGTACAGTGGCACTGGTCAGTCACAGGAATTTAAGCTTAGTAACAGCTTTATTATTCTTTGTATTTTGAAATTCCATAAGCCTTCATTGTTACTTTTGTATCAAAACTGCAATCCATCCCTTGGATGAGCTCCATTCATTTTTTATTCTAAGAATTTTGGGGTATAAATTTCATATGGAAACATAATGCAGAAATTCTTAAGTGTACGGTTTGATCAGTTTTGACAAATGCCTACACTTAAACTACATAAAGAACATTTTCATTATCCTAGAAAGTTCCCTCATGTCTCTTTTCAGTTATTCCTTGCAAGAAATAGTTGTTGATCTAATTTCTATGAACATACATTAATTTTGCCTATTTTAATTGTTTTTGTTGTTGTTTTGGTGGTACATTGCCCCTAGCGGGAACCGAACCCAGGACTCTCTGGCCCGCAGGCCGATGCTCAACCGCTGAGCCAAACTGGCCAGGGCTAATTTTGCCTATTTTAGAACATCAGTCAGTGGAATTGGATAGTGTTTCCTCGTTTTTGTATGGGTTGTTATGTTCCTCATAGTTGAGTCTATCAGTAGTTTGTTCCTGTGTGTTGCTCAGTAAGTTTTTATTGTATAAATATATTCGTTTGTTTATCCTTTTTGTCGGTAGACACCTGAGCAGTTTCTAGTTCCTATTTATTATAAATAAAGATGCTAGTGATATTTGTGTGCAAGGTTCTTTTTTTAACTCATTTTTATTGTTGAATGTATTACAGATGACACCCCTTTTTTCCCCATTAACCCCCTCCTCCCCAACCCTACCCCCCTCTAGCCTTCCCCACACTATTGTTGGTGTCCCTTGTTTATGCATATAGCATAGAAATTCTTTGGTTAATCTCATCCCTCCTTCCCTCCCCTCTTCCCTTTGAGGTTCATCAATCTAACAACCAATTTGTACTTCTTACTTCCTTCATCTTTTTCACCCATTTCCCCAGCCCCTGCCCATTTGGCCAGCAACAAAAAATTCTCAGTATCTATGAGTCTGTTTCTGTTCTGCTTGCTTATTTTGTTTGTAGATTAATTGTTGATACATAAGTATTGATTGCCAGTTTATTCATATTTTTGTCCTTCTCATTCAAGAAGACCCTTCAGCATTTCATATAATACTGATTTGGTGGTGATGAACTCCTTTAGCTTTTTCTTATTTGGGAAACTCTTGATATGTCCATTGATTCTAAATGATAGCTTTGCAGGGTAGAGTAGTCTTGGTTGTAGGTCGTTGCTTTTCATCACCTTGAATATCTCTTGCCACTCCTTTCTGGCCTGCAAAATTTCTTTTGAGAAAATAGCTGACAGTCTTATGGGGGCTCCTTTGTAGGTTACAGACTACTTTTCTCTTGCTGCTTTTAAGATTCTCTCTTTGTCTTTAACCTTTGACATTTTGATGATGATGTGTCTTGGTGTGGACCTCTTTGGGTTCATCTTGTTTGGGATTTTGTGCTCCCTGAACTTGTATATCTGTTTTCTTCACCAGCTTAGGGAAATTTTCTGTCATTATCTTTTCAAATAGGTTTTCAGTTTCTTGCTCTGTCTCTTCTCCTTCTGGCACCCCTATGATGTGAATGTTGGCACGCTTGATATTGTCCCAGAGGCTCCTTACACTGTCCTCATTTTTTTGGATTCTTTTTTCTTTTTGCTGTTCTGATTGGGTGTTTTTTGCTTCCTTATATTCCAAATTGATGGTTTGCTTCTTGGCTTTACCTACTCTGCTATTGATTCCCTATAAATTATTCTTTATTTCAGTTAGTGCATCCTTTGTTTTTCACTGGTCCTTTTTTTTTATCCTCACCTGAGGATATTTTTTTGCAATTATCTTCAGATAGAGTGGGAGGGAAAAATGGAGGGGGAGAGAGAGAGAGAGAAAAACATCTAAGCAAGAGAGACACATCGAGTGGTTGCCATCCACACGACCCCAACTGGGGCCAGGGACAAACTTCAACCCAGGTACGTGCTCTTAGCAGGAACCAAACCCACGACTCTCTGGTCTGTGAGCTGATGCTCCAACCTTTGAGCCAAACTGGCCAGGGCTGACTGGTCCTTTTTAATGCTGTTGAAGGTCTCACTAAGTTCCTTGGAGATCTCCTTAAGTTTCTTGAAGGTCTCACTAAGTCCCTTGAATGTCTCACCAAGTTCCTTGAGCAACCTTATAACCTGTTTTCTGAACTCTGCATCTGATTGATTGCTCATCTCCATTTTGTTTAATTCTCTTCCTGGAGTTTTGTTTTGTTTCATTTGGGACATGTTTCTTTATCTCCTCATTTTGGGTGCTTCCCTGTGTTTGTTTCTATGTATTAGGTAGAGCTGCTATGTCTCCTAGGCTTGGTAGGGTTGCCTATTGTTGTAGGTGTCCTGTAGGATCCAGTGGCACAGCCTCCCTGATCACCGCAGCTGGGCCCTCAGGGTGCACCCCTAGTGTGAACTGTGCACCCTTCTGTTGTAATTGAGTCTTGATTGCTGTTGGCTTGTCAGTGGGAGGGATTTACTCAGGCTGATCAGCTACAAAGACTAGCTGTGCCCGCTAGCCACTGACCTCTGACTACCTTGGAGGATCAGCTGTGCAGGGGCCCACCACAGAGCAAGACTTACTTCATCAGGGCTCTGGTACCCACTGAGTCTGCTCATTGAGTGTGTCACTCTGGAGGTGGTTGGGTGGTGGTGCTTCGATGTGGTCTGAAGCTGTCCACTGGGTGTGCTGGCTCTGGAGCAAGGTCAGCCTCTGCCTGTGTTCTGCCTGGGCCACCAGGCATAAGCTACAAAGTGATCTGATGGCTGCTTCTTGTGCTGGGCTTGGAGGTGCCCAGGAAAAGCCAAGTGGTGAACCAAGGCTGGCTGCTTCTAGTGCCAGGCCTGGGGCCATTTATTGAGAGGTCTGAGTCTCACTGAGACCAGATGCTGCTTGTTTGAGAGATTTTAGGGAACTCTGAAGCAGGATTCAAGACAGGCCAATTCTGTGGTAAAGCCTTTGGAGACAGCTTGGGTGGGCTGGAAGGTTGGGTGGGGCGGGGCCTCCGGGAATCACCTGGGCGGGGCAAACAGTGTGAGCCAGGTTGCTGGAGTCCCAGATGTGGCAGCTGTCTGCTGCCCGGGGAAGGGCTCACTAAAGGAACAAAGGCCTCTGGGAAAGTCGGCCCAGGGAAAGTCGCCTCTCTAGACCTTGTCCTGAGGCTAAACAACTCAGTTCTTCCCTGTATGTCTCTGGCGCCCCTCAGACTGCCTCCCTGGCAAGCTACGAGGGAGTGAGTCTGTGTGTGGGCCCTTTAAGAGGAGCTGCCTGGGACTCCAGAAGCCTCAGCCTCCCTGAGCCTCAGTTTCTGCTGGTTTTCCAGCCAGAAGTGATGGGGATTCTCTTCCTGGCACTGGAACCCTGATCTGGGCTCCTGGTGTGGGACGAAGACCCCTCACTCCTCAGGAAGGACCTTCCCAGCCCAGGTGTCCTTCTGATTTTTATCCACCACACATGGGTGTGGGGCCAGCCTTACCGTTCCTCCGCTCTCCTACCAGTCTCGATGTGGCTGCTGCTTTAATGTCATAGTTGTAGGACTTCCATTCAGCTTGGTGTCAGGTGGTTCTAAATGATGGTTGTTCTGTAGTCTACTTGTAACTTTGATGTTGTGGGACAAGGCGAGACCGTGTTTATCTACACGCCATCCTGACCGGATGCTCTGTGTAAGGGTCTTTTTAGACATTTTCATTCCTCTTGATAGTGTTACCAAGACTGGAGTTTCTGGTCATAAAATAGATGTATATTTAACTTGAATGAAACTGCCGAACAGTTTTCCACGGTGGTTGTATCATTTTGTCCTTCTAGCCATGCATGATTGTTCTGGTTGCTGCATTACCTTGACAACAGTTGGTATTTTTAGTCTTTTTCATTTTGACCTTTCTATTGGGTGGTTAGTGATACCTCATTGTGCTTTTTACTAGTTTTTTATATATTCTGCAGTTCTTTTTGTAAGGTAAGTTGGGAGTTGAAAGATGGTGGCAGATAAAGGCCCACAATGGGAGCAGGAGCTGCTGCTGGCACAGGCTCTGAGGTGTGAGTCTGCCTGTGACACCACGGCCAGGGCTCAGCAGGGCCAGATTCAGCAGAAGAGGGCTGTGTCAGCCCCTGGTCTCAGATGCTGCAGCTGTCAGTGCAGCAACAGGGAGTGTGGGAGAGGGACGTCAGTCTGCAAAGGTCACGGCCTCCGCTGAAAGGCTGCATCTGCAAGACCAGGTCGTTTCTATGTCTTGTCTGGAGAAGTGTCTGTTCAGGTGCTCTGCCTATTGTTTAGTTGGATTTTCTGTCTTCCTTTTGTTGAGTTGTATGAGTACTTTACATATGTTGGATATTATCCTGTTAATGTGTTCTCCCATAGAGTGATTTCCCTTTTCATTTCGATGCTGGTTTTTTTTTTGCTGTGCAGAAGCTTTTAAGTTTGATATAGTTCCACTTACTAATATTTTCCTTTGTTTCTCTTGCCTTAGATGCTGTATCAGTGAAAATCCTGCTACTTGTAATGTCTTAAGATTTGTTGCTTAAATTTTCTTTAGGATTTTTATGGATTCACGAGTTACATTTAAGTCTTTTGTCCATTTTGAGTTTATTCTTATGTGTGATGTAAGTTGGTCTAGTATCATTGTTTTGCATGTAGCTGTCCAATTTTCCCAGCACCATGAAAGAGGCTGTCTTTAGTCCATTGTATGCTCTTGCCTCCTTTGTCAAATATCAATTGAGCATAATGTCTTGGGACAATTTCTGGGTTCTCTGTTCTGTTCCATTGATCTGTCTGCCTGTTCTTGTGCCAGTACCAGGCTGTGTTGATTACAGTGGCTTTGTAGTGTAACCTGATAACCGGTATTGTGATCCCTTGAACTTTGTTCCTTCTCAGGATTGCTGTGACTATTATGGGTCTTTTTTGGTTCCATATAAACTTTTGGAGTTTTTGTTCTAGATCTGTGAAATATGCTATTGATATTTTAATAGGGGTTGCATTGAATCTATAGATTACTTTGGGTACTGTGATTGTTATCTGCTTAATGTTACCTTTTTATTGTTTTTTAAATTTAATTTACTTTTATATTTTCTGTCTTTTCAGAGTTTGGAAATCTAATCAAATCTGCATAGTTTCCTACTTTAAATAGTCATGCAGTATTTTTTTTTTTTATTCCTCATCCGAGGATCTTTTTCTGTTTATCATCAGAGTGTAGGGGGGGGTGGAGATATCGATGTGAGAGAGACACACTAACTGGTTGCTTCCTGCATGACCCCAACCAGGGCCGAGGACGAACCACAACCCAGGTACGTGCCCTTGGCCGGAATCGAACCTGCGACTCATTGGTCTGTGGGCCAAGGCTCTAACTGCTGAGCCAACCCAGCAGGGCTACTTTTTCATGTTATCAAACTTGGATAGAGAATTTTTATGCGAGTTCTCTGTTTTGGTAATTAGGTGCAGTACTTTCAATTTTGTCATTATGATGAGTTTCTCAGCCCTCCATGGACATATTTCTAATGTTAACTGAGGATGTTTGAGTTCGAATTTTTTTCATTTGGAGCTTTTCGAATACACACTTTAGTGAAGTGCTTTAAGGTAAATTGTTCTGTAATCACATACCAAATTTAAGGCTTGCCTTTGTTTTGTTTTTTTTTTTGTTTTTTTTTATCCTCACCCGAGGATATTTTTCCATTTTTTGTACAGATAGAGTGAGTGGGAGGGAGAGAGAGGAAGGGAGAGAGAGAGAAACATCGACGTGAAGGGACACATCGAGTGGCTGCCACCTGCACGACCAACCAGGGCCGGGGACAAACTGCAACCGAAGTACATGCCCTTAGCGGAAACCGAACCCGGGTCTCTCCGGACCGCAGGCCGACACTCTAACCACTGAGCCAAACTGGCCAGGGCTAAGGCTTGCCTTTGAAGAGTAATGAGGTTGTGAACTGAATGAAGTGTTTTATTTTTTACATTCAGGTACCACCTAATGCACAAGTCTATGAGCTTTTAACTGTCTTCATGGACTGGATTTCGGATTATCACCTGCGCAGATTGAGAAGTGAGGAACCCGGGACGGATGGCGAAAAGCTGCAGCTCCAGCTCGCTTCTCAGAGAAACGAGATTCAGGAGAGATGTGTGAAGGTGTGTCTTTTAATTTGAAATATGTGATTCCATAGATATGAAGAGTGAAAAAAGGAAAGCCTGTGTATATTTTACAAGAGAAAAAATATTGAAAGTGTTTTTGGTGGAAAATTGACCATTACCGCCTGGCTGGTGTAGCTCAGTGGTTGAGCATCAACCCTGCACCAGGAGGTCGCTGGTTGGATTCCTGGTCAGGGCATATGTGCAGGTTGTGGGCCCAATCCCAAGTGGGGGGCATGGAGGAGGTGGCCAGTCGAAGTTCTCTCTCGTCGATGTTTCTATCTCTCTCCCCTCTCTCTTCCTCTCGCTCTAATATCATTGGGGGGGGAGGGACAACCAATAAGCTTTAAAAAATAAGTTTGACAATTACCAATAGTTCTAAAAAGATTCATTTCAGACTTAATTATAATTAATTCATATTTATGTATATTTTAACATGATAGGAATTTTTTTTAAAATGTAGAGACCAGAAATTGAAAACCTGTCCCTGGAATGGAAAAATAATTGTATATTAGAGTTAGGCAAATAATCAGTGATAAGAATAATTCCCGGTACATAACATTTTAGGATTCGTTCCCACTAAAGTGACTTTTATTTTGCCTTTTGTTATAAAGAGATGAGAAGTCTATTTTCAGGGGCCTTCTCATTAACAAAGAGAAATGGCTGTTGTTAAATTACAGACATTAATTTGGATATTGGTACTCATGGTTTCTAGTTGGTATAAATGTCATTAACGATGGACAGTCATATTCAACAAGAAATACATTAAAATTTTGAAGAGTATACATCTAAAGTTGTTTGGTTTAAGTTTTCAGAAACAATTTTATGATTATCAAATACAGGCCAGGGTTTCATATTAGGACTTTTTTTTTCCGTTTTCACCCTTATCTAAAAACCTTCCTCTAAATGCCTTTTGTGCTAGGCAGAATAATGGCTCCTAAGATGTATAAATTAAGGTTGCTGATTAGCTGACCTTCAATTAGAAATTAACCAGGATTATCTGGGTGGGCTCAGGAATCACAGGAGCTCTTTAAACCAGACACAAGAGACAGACAGTGGGTCAGAGTCTTAACTCGTCCTTGCTGGGTTTGAAGAGGCAGGAAGAGGGTCATGAGCTAAGAAATGCAGTCACTGCTAGAAGCTAGGAATTACTTTCTACGGACATCCAGCAAGGACACAGGGATCTTAGTCCTACACCACAGGGAACTGAGTGTTGCTAGCAACTTGAATAAAGGAAAAATGGATCCTCCCCTAGCCTCCAGAAAGGAATGCAGTTCAGCTGACACTTTGATTTTAGCTGCTTGGAACACACATCAGATTTCAGACCTGCAGAACTCTAAGATAATGAATTTGCATTCTGTAAACCAGTAAGGGGTGCTAATTTGTCATGGCAGCCGTAGGAAACAAATACAACTTTGTTTAGAATTTTGTCTCTCTTAGCACCTACACCAGCTGTTCTGTCTACCTCTAGCCTTACCTTGGAAGTAGCTGGTAGTTAGGGGTGCAGTATTAAAGTTCTTTGGAGAAATGTCCTTGGTTAGAAATGAATATAATAGGATAGTATTATGATAGTAAGGGTAACAATTGACATTTTAACAAATGGAATATGAGTCATGTAACATTCTGTTTTTGTATCAGATTCATGGCATAAGAGACTATTTAGCACGTGTTTGTCACAGGATTTTTTTTCTCATGCTTACGTACAGTCATTTATTGACTTATTCTGCACTAACAATTTTTGTTAAGCCTAGATCCTTAACGAAAATATTTTCAATTTATGGTTACTAATATATTAGTACAGGTAAAATAATTTCAAAGGTTATGAATAGCCTTTTTTTTTTTCTTTTTAAACTTACCTTTATTGTTGCATGTATTACAGATGTCCCCCTTTTTTCCCCCATTGACCCCCTCCTCCCCACTCCCGCCATGTTCCTGCCTTCCCCACACTATTGTCGGTGTCCACTGGTTAGGCATATATGCATAGAAGTTCTTTGGTTTCTCTCTTCCCACCCCACATCCCCCCTTCCCATGGAGGTTCTTCAGTCTAACAACCAATTTGTACATCTTAATCTCTTCATCTTTTTCACCCAGCCCCCCACCCATCTGGCAACCAACAAAAAGTTCTCTATTATCTATGAGTCTGTTTCTGTTCTGCTTTCTCATTTTGTTTGTAGATTCGGTTATTGATAGATATGTATTTATTGTTCAATTTTTAAAAATCTTTTTTTTCTTCAAGAAGACCTGTCAACATTTCATATAATACTGGTTTGGTGGTGATGAACCCCTTTCGGTTTTTCTTTTCTGGGAAACTCTTTATATGGCCATCAATTTGAATTGATAGCTTTGCAGGATAGTCTTGGTTGTAGGTTGTTGCTTTTCATCACTTTAAATATTTCCTGCCACTCTCTTCAGGCCTGCAAAGTTTCTTTTGAGAAATCAGCTGACAGTCTTATCTGAACTCGTTGTTAATGAACTGCTTTTCTCTTGCTGCTTTTAAGATTCTCTCTTTGTCTTGAACCTTTTGCATTTTGATGATGATATGTCTTGGTGTGGGCCTGTTTGGGTTCATCTTGTTTGGGACTCTGTGCTTCTTGTATTTGTATGTCTGTTTCCTTCACCAAGTTAGGGAACCTGTTTTCTGTCATTTTTTCAAGTAGGTTTTCAATTGCTCTCTCTTTTTTCCTTCTGGCACCCCCATGATGTGAATGTTGGCATTCTTGAAGTTGTCCCAGAGGCTCCTTACACAGTTCTCATTTTTTGGGATTCTTTGTTCTGATTGGGTGTTTTTTGCTTCCTTATATTTCAGATCGATGGTTTGCGTCTTGGCTTCACCTACTCTATCATTGATTCGCTGTAAAATATTCTTTATTTCAGTTAGTGCATCCTTCATTTCTGACTGGTCCTTTATTATTTGAGGTCCTCACGAAGTTCCTTGAGCATCCTTATATGGAGTGGTTTGAACTCTGCATCTGTTAGATTGGTTACCTTTATTTTGTTTAGTTCTTTTCCTGGAGTTTTGTTCTGTTCTTTCATTGGGACACGTTTTTTTGTCTCCTCATTTTGGCTGCCTCTTTGTGTTTGTTTCTATGTATTAGGTAGAGTTGCTATGTCGCCTAGGCTTTCTAGGGTGGCCTGTTCTAGTAGGATTCAGTGGCACAGCCTCCCTGGTCACCCAGCTGGGCCCTCGAGGTGCACCTCTTGTGTGGACCTTATCCCCTTCTACTGTAAGTGAGTCTTGATTGCAGTCTTGATGTGGCTTCTTTAATTTGGTAGTTGTAGGACTTCCACTCAGCTCGATTCCAGGTAGTTCTGAAGAATGTTTGTTCTGTAGTTTAGTTGTAATTTTGATGTGGTTGTTGAATAGCTTTCTAAATAGACTACGAGAAAGATAAATAGTACCAAGTAAATAAATTAATTAATTGAATACACTTGTGGCCAACACAAGCCTGTGTTAAGATTTTTTTTAGGAATAGGTACAATTTATAATTATAAAGTAATGCAGCCCTTGTTTTGAAACTTTTGCAACAGCATTCTTGTATGAAACTTTGTTCACTATATTTAAGTAAATGTACTGGTATGACTCAAATATTTTTGCCAAGTAATCTCTTCCCAAATTACCTTTAAAAACTCTTCATGCATTTTGTTGTATATAATTTTTTACATTTGTGACCCAGTGTCATTTGAGAATTGAGTTAATATTTTAAAACACACACACACAAAGACCATTGGCAACAAATGTGGTAAATTAGGTAGATGATCAAATTGGTATTTCTTATGAGACTGATTTTCTTGTGTGACTCAAAAACAGAGGTGGAATGTTTTCAAAGAAATTGAGAAAAGAGTAAGTACAACTCTTAAGTGGATTTGCCAAGATGTGTTAAAAATGATGGTTGAAAAAATATCTGTAGAAGATTGATGTCACCAAGATGGCAGAGTAGGGAGCTCCAGGCCCTTGTTCCCTCTGGAGACACTGAGTTAACAATGTTCTGACCAGAACATATTTGTAAGAATTCTGGGGACTCATTGAGAAGCGGTAGCACCCAGGCCAACACATGGCTGGGAAGAGATTACATCAAAGGAATAGGAACATTTCTGCCTTTTCTGGTGTAGCACAGTGCAACCAGGAGAAAGCGCTCTGACACCATAGCTCCTCTCTTGGGATAGAAACAAAAGTGGACTGTGCCAAACATTTTACCTCAGGAGGACTTCTGGTCAAGATGGTGGCGTAGGTAAATGCGGTATCGCATCCTCCCACAACCACATCAAAGTCACAACTAAACAAGCATTATTCAAAGCCGCCTAAAATCAAGCTGAATGGAAGTCCTACAAATACGGAATTAAAGCAGCAGCCACATCGAGACGGGTAGGAGGGGCGGAGGCAGACGCAGATGGGCTGGTCCCACACCCACGTGTGGCAGATAAGTATCAGGACACCTCGGCTGGGAAGGTCCTCCCTGAGGACTGAGGGGTCCCGGTCCCACACCAGGTGCCCGCTCAGGGTTCCAGTGCCAGGAAGAGAATCCCCATAACTTCTGGCTGGAAAAACCAGCGGGAACTGAGGCTCAGGGAGGCTGAGGCGGCTGGAGCCCCAGGCAGCTCCTTAAAGGGCCCGCACACGGACTTATCAGACTCTCTCCCTCTCAGCTTGGAGGGGAGGCAGCTCCATGGGCGCCAGAGACATACAGGGAAGAACTGAGCTGTTTGGCACTGGAGCAAGGGCTGGAGAGGGGGCTTTCTCTGGGACAAACATGCTCTCAGAGGCCTTGGTTCCTTTGGTGAGCCCTTCCCTGGGGAGGCAGACAGCCACACATCTGGGACTCCAGCAACCTCGCCCTGGTGACTCCCTGAGGCCCCCGCCCCACCCAATTTTTAGGCCCACCCAAGCTGTTGCTATTTGGTTAACTATAGGATTGGCCTGTCTTGGATCCTGCTTCAGGTTTTCCTAAATTCTTTCAAACTAGCACCATCTGGTCTCAATAGCCCCATACTTCTTGTGAAGT